ACTTGTCCATTTCTTGCCAGGCTGGCTCATTACAAGTAAGGCCTAAGCCGTATCCAGTAGCGAGAAAGGCCAACGACCAAGCAACCACAGAGAAGGAGGAAGGAGGGAGAAGCCAGGAGGAGAGGCAGAGAGAAGAGCAGGGGGAGGGAAAGCCAAGAATAGCAAGGGGCAAGGAATAAATAGAAGCAAAGGAGCACAGAAAAGAAGATAAGTCCAAGAGAAGCCAGAGATAGAAAAGAGACCAAGCAGGGGCAGAGAAGAGAGAGGAGAGGCAAGCAACACGAAATAGATGGTGCAGGTGAGCAAAAGTGCCAGAAAGAAAGATAAAAAGACAGCAAAACACTACAGGAGTGCGGGATACCAGGAGACAAAGGCAGTAAAAGTCAGCATGAGGTGAAATGAGAACAGAGAGAGAAGAAAAATACAAGGAAGCTTCAACATACATATAGTCAGGATAGATAGATTATATCAACCAAGCAGAGGAAATCAGATCCCCACAGCCTCCCCAGAAGGAAGGGAGGGAGCAGGAAGAGGGGGAGTGAGGGAAGAGAGAGAAGGAGAAGAGGAAGAACAAACGCAAGGCACAGAAAGAAGATGGTGGGAGCAAGCGAACCAGAACCAAGGCATAGACAAAAAAACTCAAGAAGGCAGAAGAGAGACAGAGGAAGCCAGGAAGACTCACAGACAAGATCAGAGCAAGCAGTGGGAAGCAGGGGAATGGAAAGGAGCAGGAAGAGACAGAAGCAAGGAAGAAGGACAATCGCAAGCGGAAAAAGAAGGCAGTTTCTATTGAGAAATCCAGAGCCCGATATATGGAAGCGCGTAGGAATGCACCATCCGTCAACCAATAATAAACGTCAGGGATGCCATGAGACGTAGTTGAAGAAACAAGGCACATCGCACATCCAAATTGTCACAAGACCAGGAGCGAAGACATTCAAACAAAGAAAGCCAGGAGAGGGCAAAGGAACCAAGCCCGGAGCCACATAACAAGACTAACAGAACACAGTCAAAAAAGACCAGGAGCCACACAAAGAAGAAAGTCCAAGTGGGAAAGAAAGAAAGAAAAGAAAGAAGGGATTGCAGTAACTGCACATGGTACAGATCATGCAGACATCGTGGGCCCACTTGTGGTCCCCGTCATCACAGATGTTGTCAGGGACCAGCCCCTCTTCGTCTTCCTCGTCACTGGAGCTTCCTCCTGCTCCTTCCTCTCCTCCTCCCTCTTCTCCCTCAACACCTATGTACATGTACATACGTTTTATTAAAACAGTAACATCTGCAGTTCATTACTACAATAGTTCTTGAACAGGTCTCAAACATTTGAAGGATGAAAATGGCTAGGAAGATTCATATTGACACTTGTAGCCACAATTCAAATGTTAGCGGTCAAATTTAAAACCAACCAGGGTTTCATTTGGACATTGACTCAACATGTCTAACAACTCAACTCCAAGCTGCATTTCCCAGCATCAAATACAGTGTGTATTAGGTTTTCGAGGGCACCTTTTTCCTTGGGGGGTTTGTAGTTTCTTCCACACTGTCCAAAAGAGTTGTTGCCAAAGGTGTAGACCACTCCGTGTTGTGTGAGGACAGCCGTGTGCGACCGACCCATGGCTACCTGGCTTGCTGGCATGCCCAGCAAATCTGTCACTACTCCTGCAGCGGAAAAGACAACTCAACCACACAATCACAAGGCGAAATTTAAAACTGTGTACTCTGGTAGCTATACCAACTCCCCAATCAATATGCAAATGGACAACTTAAGTTTGAGCAAGTTTGCAGTGAAAGAGCAAGTAAATCTGTGGGCATATGAAAAAGGGAAAGAGAGAGAAGTAAACTCTAGCAAAATAATAAGCAGTTCAGCATAATTTTGCACTTCCATCGATTTCATATGAGCAACACTTACCAGTTGACTTATCCACCAGGTCGTCCTCCAGACTCCCAAACATGTAGAGTTTCCCGTCTCGTGTGACCATGCCTGTAGCGTGGCCGCCACAGGCACATCCACACACCTCCTGCTTGCTCAGCTTTGCGACTCGCTTCAGCTTGGCCGGCTTTGACTGCCCCCTACCCCCAGCTGTGTGCAGTGTAATACAACATCACCCTTACTGCAAAAAACCGATGGGAGAGCATGCGTACACGGGACACGCCCCCGCTACTTTTGCGCACAGTTAGCTAGCTAGCTTTAGCTACGTAGCAGTGGACCAGAACTATCAGGCTGGCCCTGGATGTATAACGCGAACGCTAAAGCTACCGACCACCAACAACGGCAGTATATACCACCGACCGGCGGCCGGTAGGCACGGCGGGCGCGTTTTGATTGCGCATGCGTACAAACCCCAGCCAGTTGGCGGAGCGAACAAGAACGACGGCCGGCGCCGGGGCTGTACGGAAACATAGCGATGGCAGTAGCGCCAGATTCGAGGTCGCTGTCATTGAAGGAGCTTGTGCGACAAAATCCTTCCAAACGAGGACTAGCGATCATCATCACGAACGAGTACGCAAGCCGTCCACGACCGCTCAGAACAAGGAAAGACGGAGAACGAATGAGAATAGCGTTTTCCAGATTGGAAATCGCCAATATATGGATGCAAAATGTTACGAAATATCAGCTACAACAGCTACTAGGAGAGGTGGAACAAATTGGTCCCTTTCCAAAAACGTATGAGAGCATATCTTTTGTTTACTCTGGACATGGTGATAATGAGAGTTTTTGTCTAGAAGATGAAAGCAGCATCACAATCCAGGAAGTTATTAGTGCACTTTCTGCGACAAAATCGCCGCAAATAGCAGCTCTTCCAAAGCTATTCTTTATCGATGCCTGTCGTGGAGACAAAAAGATTCGACCGATAAGGGTGCCAGCAAGACGGCGAGAAAGCTCTCTGCGAACCGAGTTACAACCACAACCTCGCACATTTGTCACCTCTCAAGAAGGAAACGTTCTTATTGCTTACTCCACCGTAGCTCCCTATGTATCTACTGATTACGACGATGGCAGTGAGTGGATGAAGATACTGGCAGATACAATGTGCAAGAGCACTGACCATATTGAAGAAGTGCTAACCCAAGTGCGAAGGGACTTGCACGCTGTGTACCAAATTCCCAAGTTTACTGAGGACATGCAAATGCCTGAAACTCGTAGCACCCTATTCCAAAAGGTTTATCTAAACCGAGTAGCACGTCAGTCTACACGCCGGCCTACACGTCCAGTTGTTTCTCGACGCGTTGCCGAACGACCTTCAAGAGCCTATTCTGGACCGCAATTCCATATGATGTACGCATCACAGAGCTTTTTTCGATTTGAGAACTCAATGGGAGCATTTGGACAGCAAGAAAGATTCCTTTTTCGATTTTGAATTTTGAAAGAGACAGTAATGGACACTAATTTGTTGTAATTTCATAAGGGTGTGGTGATGTTTTCATAGCATTTATCCCTAGAGACATTGCTGACGAACATTATTACGTTGAGTCAGGCGCCCACCCAACAATGCAGGCATTTACAACGTACATACACACAAGCCTGCAGCCGCACTGCTAAGTGCAGATAACCGTAACACCACTGTCCTTATGTTGCTGCAAAGAACAACGGTCTGGGGGCAAGGGGTCTTCTCAAGAGCCTTTAATTTCATCCTTGTTATCACAGATACAAATCGCCTACTCCTTTGAAGGTAGCCTTATTCACTGTTTTCTTACTTTTATTACAGCGTCATCTCTCTCCTATTTGACTATCCCCTGTAATTTTTCCGAAATCATTGGAAAATCAGTTGATTGTGAGCTCGTTATACACAAATTTCCTTCACTACATGTGGAACCATCGGGCGCTAAATTTGCCTCCACAAATCACCTGCTTCCCCGGCCTCTCCCTTCTTGTTGACTCCTCCAAAGTACACCGTTCCCTTGTCGCTGACCACCAGACAGAACGTCCCTGCATTGTCACATGCACAGTGCTCCACCTATAAAAGAAGAGTGCCAACATCCTCCTCTTTTAAACACATTGAAATTTTTGAATAAGTGATTTTAGGTACGTCTAAGTGTCCTATATTAGTCAGAGGTGTCTTTCATTCGGAGGTATATACAACTAATGTACAAGTGCCTTTTATAGACAGATCTCATTTATTCGGAGGTCAGTTAGTAGCAGAGTTGAAAGAAAGCTAACAGACCTTGACGTTCTTGTCTGGTAGAGCTACCTCCTTCCACTCTCCTTTGGACACGTCCTTGGATGTGATACCAAACACAGCACCACTGCCAGTGTACAGCAACTGGACAGCAAGACAATACTTTACAGCAAGAAAACTTCCAGGCCCCAGACCTCTTTTCGCTAGCTAGCAAAATTTTGTAGGCAACAACGCATTAGACGTGCAAATTACAAAAGTTATCCTGTGATCAGCAACAATTTCCCCCCCATCTTATGGTACTATAGGCACTCCATAAATGTGCAATGGTCGGATCGATTATTGCGCACCTTTCCACTGGTGGTCTGAACAGCAACAGAGTTCCGCGAGGCCATCACTCGCACAACTTGATCACTTGTATCTTGATCTGTAAAGCAACAACAAAGAAAGAAAGGATCAATTCTCAAAACATTTCTGGAGTCGGTAGTAGTACTAGTCTCGTTGGTTAATAAAATAGACAAGAAAAATACCCCAATCTATAGATTTATCCCAGCTACACATATGTATGTATGTGTCTCACAGAGAGTGTGTATGGACTCCTGGGAATCATACTTGGCCTTCCCCATCACCAGTACTGTCTTCTGGGAGAGCTGGAGAGCCTTCTCCTCCACCACAAGCATCGGAGATGAGAGCGTTGCAAACTTTCTCAACACACACCCTCCCTAACACACAGACATTACACATTTCTTAGGACTAAGGTGATTGCTATGGTACACACCTCTTTCTTCACTTTGATTTGGCCAATGCATTCCCCATCTGAGAACAGGCACTGAGAGCCAAGGCAGTCAACTGAAAGACAAACAGTTGTATATGTACAGTTAGTGGGGCTGGCTGCAGAGTGTACAGTATCACTACCATCAAGGTCCAGTGAGGTCTCTTCCTGGAGTGTGTCAGCGTTGATGACCAGAACACTGTCTTCTCCCTGACCCAGTGGATAGTAGAACAGCTTTCCCTGTGGGATAGATGTACACAAGATCATGATTGTAATAAAGAAAGCAGAGGCATCCATCGACGTATGGTATATAGATGTACATGGTGCATATGTACATGATTGTAATAAAGAGATATGAAAAACTCAGGTATCCCCCCATCAATCCACATGGCACATAACATACAAAACCGTGCTACACTAACAGGGAACATTTAGGAGGTAAAATTCAAATTAAACAGACAACTTAGCCTATGACGTTTTGTTCATCAAGTTTCCTACGATACACAGGTACATATGTATGCAATACCTCAGCAAGGCCCAGCCAAGCCTTTTCTCTAGGTCTGAAAGGCTCCATCTTGTACACCAGTCCCTACTCATTGACATCATAATCATTCTCAAAGGTAACACAAAGTAACTCACCCTTTGTGTGTTTCCATAGCCACTCCCGACCTTTGCTAGACCAAACGAACCGTGAATGTACAAAAACCGACCGTCGCAGGCCACAGCCGCCCCACCCCTCCCCCCTTCCTCCTCCCTTTCCCCTCCCTCTTCCAGAGGAACACTGATGGTCCACTCTTCGACGAAGGACTTGGCTGGAACTCCCTTCTCGAACCAATCAGCCACAGTCACACAGCCCAGTAGAACTGCCTTCACTGAGTCTTGTAGAGAGTAGAATATCTGGGGAATCTACGGACACAGACAGAGAGAGAAAGGTGAACACATGTCTTGTAGGTCTAGCACTCTGTATAAATCAATGTTCACAGTTCACGTAATGTATACTAAACAATTCAAATAACAGAAATACAGTATACATTAGAATAAACAACGCTATGCAAATGCAAAACACATAATCAACGGAAATGCCATTTCCTGTTTTGGCACCGATAATTGACATTTACTTTTCCATAATCTCTGCTAATGCACATCACGGCAGTAGACATATTAGAAGACTACTGTACATAACGGCTCTATAAATGGCTCTATATACAGACCTGGAGAGTGTTCTGAGTCAGGTGATGAGGTGCCGTGATGAGGGAGGAGACGGCAGTCAGCATCTTCCCCGTGTCTCCCAGAGCTACCACCAGACTCAGGAGACAGCCACACGCCACACTGGACAGGTCTGGTAGAAAGAAAAAGTATAAGAATAGCCCAGTTTTATAGACACTTTAAAATGTGTTTGTAAGCTGCTTGCAGTTTACGGGTATAAACTGTTTTAGACACTACAACATAAGGGCCTACATAGATAAAACAAAAAATAGGGCACAGTGCATTTGATTTTCTATTTTCAACAAGAGTTTTGTCCTTATGTTGTACTTCCACATTCGCTTCAAGAAGGAAATCTGAATAACCCGAAAATCCACCTCATATCCACGAGTCAAAACTCCGGAGTTCAGTGCTACAACTCGCTGATACACATACACTTACCAGCAGCCAGTTCGTTGTCAGGTGGAACAGGCTCCACCACCATTTTCATCAGTAGCTCAAACAGAGCGTCTGCAGCAAAAGTCATTACAGACAGGTGTATATACATACACAACATCATACTACTGTTGCCCACTTTCATGCTAATAGCTTAATTCCTCAATTTTAGCAAGAAATGTCAGTCCAACTAACAAACCATCTTGAAACTCTAATCTTACCACCTACTATGTACAACTTTCATAGACCCATGCTATCTAGTGTGGAGTATTTGGGAGTACTACGGAGTAATACCTGTGGTTTCCTTGGGTTCGCTGCGTAGACCAGCAGGACTCTGGCCTTGCAGTATGTTGAGAAATTCCCTGAGAGCTCTGAGACAGAGAGACGGCATGGTCTGCCACACCTCCTGGATGATGGAGAACACTCCGCGGACACCTAGTCCTACCACCTGTTAGCAGGGGTGAAGGAAGGCGGAAGAATGAGGGAGCAAGGGAGGAAGGGAGGGGAAAATGGAATGAATGAAAGGAAGGGAGAGAGATTTTGGCTATTCAGTGATCACACAGAGTGTCTTGTATGGTGTGTATATATTCACAGTGTATGTATGTACAGATTCAATACACAGGTCCAGAAAGATGGGACAAAAGGGAAAGTAAAAAAATCTCAGTACTGTACATTCATAACATAACAAAGCACTATACTACTATGGGTAATTTAGATGACACATGTAACACAAGAGAAAAGAAATGCCTCTTGCTCGCAAAGAAAGAGCTACTCTACACTCCATGTATGGAGCTGAGTGCGACATGATGAATTCAGGCACAAAGCAGGTGGCCTCTAAACAGAAAACACACAGTTTACCACATACCACTGGCATTTTGGCTCCTTCATCTTTCTTGGTCACCTCCTCCTCGTCCCCACTCTCCGCCTCCCCTCCGTCCTCCGACCCACCCAGGAGACCAAGTCGAGAGTTGTACGTCTCACACAGCTGGCTCTGGAGGACAAAATGGCGGACGTGAGAGAACACGGAGAAGGAGGAGGCGTTGGGAATCGAGGAAAGGGCAATGAGATGATGTGCTTTCTGGCCGTCTCGCACTAGGTGCTTCTCCTCGCTCTGTCTCTTCGGTTTCTGGAGAAGAGGAATAAAGATCTGGACTTATGCATAGTACACATGTAATATGCAAATACACAAACACATTATAATGTAGTACACAACAACTTATGTAATCCCTGGTTACCTTCTCTTCCTTCTTTTCGTCTTTCTTGTCCTTCTTAGACTTCTTCTTTGGTTGCTCTTTTTCTCAGACCTGCAAAAGTAGGGGGAGAATGTTGAATAGTGAGGTTCACAGAGAAGCTATAGAGAAACGGTAGATAGAGAGCGGCTCACTCGTCTTTGACTCCAACCAGGTCCTTCATGAGCACATCTCGGAAGGCACAGCCCAGGGAGTGCAGCAGGACCGAGCCCTGCTCTTGCTGAGCCACGGCCGCCATTTTGTTGGTCGCCGGGCCAACGCCCCTTCGATCCAGTAGCCGTGCAGAGCTCGTGCGCCTTCTGCAATCACTGCGTACTACTGGGGCGGCGCGTGCTTCTGCACAGTTTGACTGCAGTTGAACGTAGTTGCCGGACAACTTACAGCACGGTCACCACCAAAGGCAAGCGGAGAGAGAGAGAAAAGAGATTTCGCTCAGCTGTAGCTCTCGTACCGCTGTACCCGGTGCGGTTTGGAATCTGAAACTAAAACTATCACGTGACCAACACGTGGGGAGTATTGTTGGCTTCTTTTCCTACTACCCAAGATATATGGCGACTCCTTCGATTCAAGAGCAGATAAAGGCCCAAGGAGAAGTAGTGAGGCAGCTAAAGAAAGACAAAGCGCCGGACGAAAAGGCAAGCATTCACTCGCGCTAACACACCCCGGATACTCCCGCATATCCGAAGTATCCGTTTGGAAGTCACGTGATGGCAGTTGCACTGGCTTTGAGGAGACGTTTTAGAGCTGTCACAGTGGTGATTTTTATGCATTGTGCATGGAAAACCAAATACTAGACAGTCTATATATGCCATGGAATAATGTCTCTAGATTGTGAGTGTCACTTATAAAATGCTCTATGTGTCTGTGTAGATCAAGGAGGAAGTGGCAAAGCTGTTGGAACTAAAGAAACTGGTGGACGATGGGAAGAGCAGTGGCCAGTTCGTGCTCAAATGTCCCAAAGTATGTGTCCTTTAAACCGTGCCATGCACAGTGTATGGTATGGTATTGCTAAAAACCCTTCACAAAAGCAAGTGAATATGGTCGGCTGGCACGCATGCACACTAGAACTCTGAAGAAACTTTGTAAGACGTTATTTTGCAAAGCCTTTTTGTCGCGAAAGTTTCTAGTTATGGTAACGCCCGTACCTACATTTATAGCTGTTCACAATGTGTGTGTGTTGCTGCAGGGGACAAGGGACTACGACCCATTCCAGATGGCCATCAGAGAGAAGGTTTTCTCTGTCATAACCTCGTGTTTCAAGAGGCACGGAGCCGTGGCTATCAGTACCCCAGCCTTTGAGTTGAAGGTACACGTCCACACTCAACTGTTTTGCAGCAAACTTTAAAGAAAGAAGATAGGTTGCAACAAAAGCCCTAACCTACCAAATTTCGCAAACTGTCGGTATCATGAAATTTTGCTCCTACTAAAGATTTCGCAATAAGATGCAATTGTCACTGGTGGTATAATTATACATAGGCATTATTGTTGTGTGTACCCACTGGTACATGCCTACACAGGAGACTCTGCTAGGAAAGTATGGAGAAGACCAGAAGTTGATCTACGATCTTGCAGACCAGGGAGGGGAGCTGCTGTCTCTCAGATACGATCTCACTGTATCCCTCGCTCTCCTTTCACCCCCTACGACAGCTCTTTTTAAGTGACTAATAGAGCCCCTTCTGGAACATGAAGTACTACTCTTTATGTACTCTTTATGTGGTGTTTCACATCTAATATTTTTATGTTATCCCCTGTAAGTTGTATAAAATCTGGACATATTTCTCTAGTTAGTAATTCACAGTTTGCTAGGTGTTGAGCCTTGACTGTTGTGCGGTGGAATAGGTGCCGTTTGCCCGCCATGTGGCCATGAATAACATTAAGACAATGAAACGCTACCACATTGACAGGGTGTACAGGAGAGACCAGCCGAGGATGACACTCGGTCGCTACAGAGAGTTCTACCAGTGTGTGAGTCTGTCAGCATTCGGGAGTAGTGTTGGACACAGCAGGCATTTTCTCTGATTTTTTGTGGTGATGAATTTACCCTGATGCTTCCTACCAAGTTTTCCACTCACATTAAAGGGAATTTGGCAGTATAATATAACTATATAATTTAAAAATTTTTACTGAAAATGGAACTCAGTCACATTCTTTCACTGTGCCCCTATTGTTTGTTCTATATTTAGTAAATTTAGCCATTATATACTGGACTGGTACATTCCCTTCAACAATGAATTTGTGTGTGTGTGTGTGTGTGTGTGTGTGTGTGTGTGTGTGCGTGCAGGATTTCGACATAGCCGGAGAGTACGACCCCATGATACCTGATGCTGAGTGTGTGCGAATAGTGTTCGAGATCCTCTCTCAATTGGACCTTGGCAGCTTCGTCATCAAGGTAAGCCACCCCAGTGGAACACCAGTGGGACAGAAGAAAGTGTCTATATTAGTGAGGTGTCCATGGGCTAAATCACACACAAGAAACTGCCCTCGGAAAAAGAAAGGTAGAGAGGTGTCCTACATATCTCAGGGTAATGTTCAGTGTATACCTAAAGGCTAAGGTGTGTACAGTTTTTGCTGTGATGGAATTTGGTTTTCATTTCAGGTGAACCATCGTAAGCTGCTGGACGGCATGTTTGAAGCCTGCGGAGTACCTCCAGAGAAGTTTAGGTCGATTTGCTCTGCTGTTGACAAACTGGATAAGGTATGCACCATATATACCAGTGGTGGAGTAAGTTATGCTCACTTGGTGTACCTGCTATTCTATGTGTGTCTTGTGGGCCTAGCATGTGTGCTCTATTCTAAATGGATGGCTTAGTGTATTGCCTAGTGTGCTGTGTGTGCCTCGCATGCCTACAGCGCTCCATGTGCCTATATTATACATAATGTGACCTCTCTGACCTCTCTTCTGTTGGTTTACACTCTTGCATTGTGGGTGTGTTCTTTTATGTTTGTGTGTAAGGAGCTGTGTTGGGGGTGGCTATATTATTGTATGGTGATACGTAGCTTCAGTCGGTGTGTTGTGTTGGCTAACAGGCAGAGTGGGAGGAGGTGAAGAAGGAGATGGTGGAGGAGAAGGGCCTGGAGGAAGTAGCTGCCGGCAGAATCGGAGAATACGTCAAACTGAACGGTCGGTTAGAGCTACTGGAGAGACTAACCTCGGACGAGAGGCTGACAGCTGTGCCCAGCTCCGTGGCAGGTCTGGAAGATATGAAACTACTGCTGCAGTACTGCAAACTCTTCGGAGTCCTCGATAAGGTTTGGTATGATGTAACGGTTGAGTGTGTGCACGTTTGACGAAGAAGAAATCTCTCTCACTAGCTCTGTACTGAGCCTTTCATTCCAGTCCTACGTTAGTAAGCCATTTGTATAGGATTTGTAAGGAGTCCCTTATAACCCTCCGCTCTCTTCTTTTTTATCACTTCTCTACTTCTAAAAGCGTGTGCTGTTTAATTCTCATGTGTGACAGTTGCTTCTGATGCACTGTGCGCAGGTCAGTTTTGATCTAAGTCTGGCTAGAGGACTGGACTACTACACTGGAGTCATATATGAGGCAGTTCTGACAGGTAGAATTTTCCAGCACAAGTAGTGTTGGCACTTTTCATTAAGTAATGTGTATATAAGGGCTAAATTTAGACTGTTACTAAAGATGGAAATCCAGTGCATTCTTTCTCTCTGGGCCCTATTGTTTTAGCCCTTTTGTACCCTTTACTTTCAACTCTTTGTAATGGTTTGATGGTGTAGTTTAGTGTCGATATCCTTGTTCAGGTGATCCGTCAAAGGGGAAAGAGGGAGGCGTCCCTGCTGTTGGCTCTGTGGCTGGTGGTGGTCGGTTAGTATCGTACTATTGCTGCGTGCTCACTTGCTATTGATTTGTCAGTTTAGTGTTACATGAGTATGCAGCGTGGAGTGCTTTTGCTGTCTCTTTTTCACTCACTGCCCCTCTTCAATTCTCTCTATATATGTGTGCCCCAGCTATGATGGACTGGTGGGTATGTTCAATAGCCAAGGGTAGACAGGTCCCGTGTGTAGGAGTCAGCATTGGCATCGAGAGGGTCTTCTCTATCCTCGAGAGCAGGGCCAGGGCAGCTGGAGGCCAGGGAGTCCGCACCATTGAAACACAGGTAAACACTACAGCAACATACTACTTAAATGGTCAGTTCTGTAGTTGTGCTATCATTGACTGAGGAAGGTCTACGGACCGAAACGTCTCAAGATACTTGTCAGTAATATTGCTACTACGACTAAGTTCACGATTAGCTCTGACTTATTGATAGCCGATATCCTTTTACCCCTAGCTTTAGGCTTACTATTAGTAGACTGCACCTTTCAGAGCATTACATAACTATCAAATTTTTTTTCCAGACAAGGCTGATATTTGAGATTTTGTACCCTCCAGTCACACATACAAGCATTTGTAGATAAATTTTCGCTTGAAATACAAATGTCGGTGTCATGGAGTTAAGAGTATGGATGTTGGGTGTGTGTTTGCAGGTGATGGTAGCTTCAGGTCAGAAGAACCAGTTGGAGCAGAGGATGAGGGTGTGCACACTGCTGTGGGATGCCGGGATCAAGGTCACTTATATACACACACCCATCACCATTAAAGGGCATTTTGTGTATAAGGGCTAAATTTACTAAAAATGGAAATCTTTCACTGGACCCTTTTGTTTAGCGCCGTCTGTAGTCAAAATTTAGCCCTTATGTTAAGACATTCCCTACAATGATGTCTGACATCGCAGCAGGACACATTTTCTGCCTGCAGTGGGGGAATCGCTGCTAAGCAGTGCATTGCTGCACAAATGTTTACACAATGGTGACTCTCAAACGAGGTTTTAGTCAGCAAGCAATTTAAGGAGGGATTGACTCACCATATGCCCCATAATTACTCACTGAAGTCTTTGCACTTGCTACACCATAATGTTCGGGACCATTGCAAACATGCGTACGTGGAAATAACCAATGTCTGACGAGCCTTTTTCCCCACTGTTCCTGTACCACTGCAGACCGAGATGTTGTACAAGAAGAACCCGAAACTGCTCAACCAGTTCCAGTACAGCGAGCGAGAGGGGGTGCCCCTGCTCGTTATCCTGGGGGAAGAGGAGACAGCCAGGGGAGGGGTCAAGATTAGGGACACTCACACCAGACAAGAGGTGCGTGTGTTATGTATTTATGTACATAATTGTATGAGCCGAAACAAGGCATTTGGGCTTTTTGGAGGGAGGAGCAAACTTTTTGCAGTGAAATAAATTGCGTATATATAAACTTTTTGTTCACTCTTTCCGCAGGAGTTTGTAGAGATGGCTCGCCTAGTGCCAGAACTAAAGAAAAGACTAGCTGAAACCCAGTAGCTACACACGTAGATCCTTTATTCTCACACAATCATTGCATTATTAATGTACGTTAAAAGTTGGTATTATAGTTATACAAAAGTAGGAGAATGGATGGGGGTGAGAGGAACTAGTCACTAGAGCTGTCATGTCTGTGACGACGAGAATTTCTTGTTTTATCCCCCCGTGGACTCCGCCTCCTCTTGTTACTCTCCCTGTCTTCCGACCCACTCTCGGATCTTCTCCTTGGTCTTTTGTCCCTCTTCCTCCTCATTCTCTCCTCCTCCTTCTCCAAGTCTCTCACCCCCAACTTGCTTATCTCCCTCTGTCTCTTCTCCCTCTTCCTCCTCTTTCTCCTCTGCTCTTCCTCAGAATCACTCTCTCAACCTCGTGTCTATCTCTCCGTACATTGTCCTTCTTTCTCTTCCTCCCCTCCTCTTCAATGTCACAATCCCCCGACTCACACTCAGACAATCTCCTCTTGTCCCTCTTCCCCTCCTCCTCTGAATCACTACTGCTGGGAAGCCGTCTCTTCTTTTGTCGTTTCTGGTCGTTATCTTCCTCGAATGTCACCACTACTCTCGTCTCGTTTCCTCCTCTGTCTGCTAGTCACTTCCTCCGAATCACTAGATGAACTGCGATGGTTTCTGCGGCTGCGTTCCTTCTTCGGCTTCTTTCTGGATTTCTCCTTCTTTCTCTTCTTCTTCCTGCAATAATTGCCCATTGATTACATCCTGTCGACTAGCAACGATTATGGCTAAGCAGGAGGTTAATGAGGTCTGGTATTTCAATTAATTTGGGGTTTCTGGTGTCTGCTAGCCAATAAAAACGCGGTGTAACATCCTTATTAATTCCTAGTAGCGCTTGAGTGAGGAGGGTTTAATATGTATGTGTACATCCTTAAAGGGGGAAACGATTTGTGCACAGCGGTAGGAGATGTACCTTGCATGGGCTTATGTATTGCATATGCATAAAGGACACCTGAATGGATCCAAGTGTCCTTTATCGGAGGCTTCACTGTGGAGGAGAGGAAATGCAGATAGCTATAGTTGAGAACTGGACTTTAAATACAGAGGGCTCTCGTTCTGGAGGTATTATTGGTGAGCAAACCGAGCCTCCCTTTGTCATCTGTATGGCATACATCTGTAATGGCTAACCGACTCCACATATATCGCAACATTTACGTGGCGTGAAAAACGCTAGAAATATCGAAGTGCTCACTTCGCTTGCCACAATGTTGCATTGTTCTAGTATCATAATTATATAGAATGGGACAGAACCATGTTTTTCAGGTGTCCTTTCTTCGGAGGGGCATTTCTCTGAGGACGATGTATAATTAAGCCAAACTCTCACTTTTTGTCCTTGCCTCTGCCGTGTCGAGAAGCGGAACGCTTGTCCTTATCCACCAAGAGACCCTCCTGTGTCCTGTGCTGGCTGGCAGCCACAGAGGTAGCAGTGGTAGTGGAAGGAGATGGGGGAGGGAGAGAAGGAGGGGCCACTGGGCCACTCTCCACCTCATGAACTGGTCTGGACTGAGGATAATAGAACACATGATCCTAGGATTCTTTGTCTGGACTGAGGAAAATAGAACACATGATCCTAGGATTCTTTGTCTGGACTGAGGAAAATAGAACACATGATCCTAGGATTCTTGGAGTGGAACCCCTCCTTAAAAGACACCCCTGAAATGAGGACACACATGGACCTTTGCTTTTCCAAACAAAAGTTCCTGTGTACGATAATTTAGCTGTTAATTAATAAGGACACCTCCTAGTATGCACACCATCTCCCATTGGTGTCTGGATGAGTTATACTGTGTAATCCAAGGCAGGGGTAATGTTAGTTGGAGGAGACAGACCTCAAACATGGCAGCTCCAGTGGCAGCTGACTGGCTGGAGTGACGATGAGACCATCTGTAGTGACATGGTGGAGCAATGGTCTATATATGTACTGAACCAATGGGAGCCAGTAAGCGTATACAGCATCATAGGAGCTATTGCACACACACACGATCACTTACACTTATCGCCAGTTACTTCTGGTCACATGACTTCTGACCAATCAGAGGTGTAGAAAACTATTGTACATAGCTTATTTACTAGTATCGTGAGATCAAGGATTGGCCAACTTTTGGAAAGCCAGGACCCCAAGTTATACTATTCATAGTTCTTAGCTGCTAGAGTATACGTACTTCATAAAGCCGAGGCCAGTCATCCTCTCCTCCTGCCCCTCCTCCTCTTTCTCGTCCACACTCTGTCGCCTGCACGCCTCAGCCAGCTCCTGCTTCGAGACACTCCCTGTCGTCAACGCCTTGGGCTTCAGTCCTCTACATACATACATGCATACATACATACATACATACACACACATACGTACATACATACATACATACATACATACATACACATACGTACATACATACATACACATACGTACATACATACATACATAGGAGAGCATTGACTTTACAGATAGTTGATTGATGCTGTACACATATCCAAAGGATAGAGAGTCTAGTTTTACAGAAAGGTTGATTGATCCTGTACACATATCCAAAGGATAGAGAGTTGATTTTTACAGATATAAGATTCACAAAGAAATTTTTTCCACGAGAAACCAAAGAACCTCCAAAAAGAAACTGTAAAAAACATGCCTGGTCACAAAAAAAACACCGTCAATATTCCCGTTTAGAGTGTGTATATAACTTTCACGATTTTTTACTGACAGTGCAGCTGCCATTGCTTCTTCCTCTGCCCTTTTCACAGCTGCAATCTCCTGTAAAACACCAATAGAGTGGAGGAGAGAGGTGAGGGGCAGAAGGGAAAGAGAAAGGGGAGAATTGGTGTGTGTGGTGTGTGCGTGCGTGTGTGTATGTACAGTCAGACACCACTCCTACACACTTCATACCTACCGCCTTCAGGATTTCTTTTTGACCCAGAACCTTTGATTTCTTACTATACCTGTAACAATCGACAGCTCATAGCACTCATTTCACATAGTCTGGATGACTCACCATGAAAGGTCTTTACCCTTCTGCCAGCGACCAACAGGTGCCATAACCGAGTGACCTGGCAATACCAGGAACAAACGAAGTATATACACAGCTCTGGACGGGGTATAAAGCCGGGTGTGGTCTTACCGAGATAGTTTTCCCTATGTTTGTCGGCCTTCACGTCGTCCCACTGGAACTGGTCCTTCCCTCCCCTCGACCCTCCTCGTAGCGGCATGTACGACATCTCAACTGGCCCCTGTGGAGCGTCAAAAGAATGGTTGTCAACTGGTGGTCTTCAATTAGAATCAGGCCGCCGTGAGTAAGGTCAGAAGGTCGAATTGCAGGCAGTTTATAGCACTGGTTTGTTACTCAGTCTTTCTCTCCAAATTGTAGTAAGTGTGTATATTACACTCTCCCTTCTGCAGAGTCCTCCGTAGCCAGTCGGAACGACCGAGAGATGCAGGGAGGTGGGCTTCAATTAGGGGGCATGTCTGGGGGACTAAAGCTAAACTTGGGTCAGCCATCAGGTGAGCGGATGATGCAACCTTCGATACTAATGAAGGAATCGACTTTATTGTTTGTGCGTTCACACCATGCTGGACATTTTTGTTTTTCAGGGACACATTTTTGTTCCAAAAACCCTAGAGCTCTAGAGAGCACACACCCAAGGCGTTATTGTGGAGTGTATGTGTCACTTGTGTGCATGGCCAGGTAGGTGTGGTTATTGGTGGGCGTGGCCAATAATCCTAGAAATTTGTGCTCTCTCTTGTGGCCAGCTTTGTCGGTTTGAAGCCAGCTATTTTGCCATTTTTTGGCAGTTTGGCTCTTGTTACAGGTCACAAGTGGTTTAGAACCGGAAGCAATCGGGAAGTAATAAATCTTCTAAAACTAAGTGTTTATGTCTGTAGCCAAGGTAACTGGATTAGGCGAAACACTAATTTGATCAGGTGTTCCCGAAGTGAAGCACTTTGTCTTTGTTTCTAATTTGTCGCTGAGTGGTTTATTGCACTGTTCCTGTTTATTAAAATCACTCACTTTGACCACCGTCCAATTGGATTGTTGAATTCCTAACGCATTGCTCACCCGCTTTTGTCTGCCCTGTTCAAGTTATGTATGGACACCTGTTGAATGTGTGTATGTGTATGTACTATATACTGCGCTCATGTCAGCCTTTATAAACTGGTGATGCCAGAGAGAAGTTGTGGTATGCTCTGCTGATGAGGGCCAACAAGCCCAAACAGCTGTCCAGAGCTCCCATCTTTTTTCTCTTGGCATCACATGGTTTTTTCTACATACTGTATGTAGTATGTATGTATGTATGTATGGCTGTATGTATGTATGTATCTGTATGTCACATGGTTTTCTACATATGTATGTATGTATGTATCTGTATGTAGGACTAATGTTGGGTGGTGCAAATACTGCCACCACTAGTTCACTGCTTGGAACAACAGGCCAGCAGCCGAGACTGGGGACTGGGGGATTTGGGACTGGAGTTTTGGGGACTGGAGGTTTGGGAACTGGGGGATTGGGAACTGGGGGATTTGGAACTGGAGGATTGGGAACTGGGGGATTTGGAACTGGGGGATTGGGAACTGGGGGATTTGGAACTGGGGCATTGGGAACTGGGGGATTGGGAACCGGATTAGGCATGGGTGGTTTAGGGACTGGAGGATTGGGAACAGGAGGTTTTGGAATGGGGGGATTAGGTACTGGGGGGTTGGGAACGGGTGGTCTAGGACTAGGTACAGGAGGTCTGGGGACTGGGGGTCTGAAGGGGATTGGAACTGGAATCGGACTGGGAGGACTGAACACACAGAAAGGTGCTTATCAGTAGAACCCCCACTCTAAGGACACCCCTAATGGAGGACACCTCTCTAATAAGGCCACCTATCTTTCCCCAAGAACATCTCTTGTATGTGTGCAAATGGAATAAGGATACCTTACTGGTATGGACACTTCCTCTATTCCACCACCACAGGTGTCCTCGTTAGAGGCTCATTTTACACTGTGTCCTAGTAGCCATGATTTCACCCTGTCTCTCCTCAGGTCTAGGTGGTGGTATGCTCAGCCAGCCACAGTCCACTGACTTCACAGCTCTCCAGGCACAGCAGCAGCTCAACCACGGCATGCTCACAATGGTCAATGCTGTCCGTTCTCCGGCCATCTTTGACGACGATCGAGACCAGGTGGTCACGCGATTCAACGTCCTCCAGGCCTGCAGTGGAGTGGGGAAGGGGATCGCGAGGGTCGAGGGGTACAGCGACCTGCAGAGTGTCGACTTTACTCCCGAGAACCCCTTCTGCAAGTTTAAGGTCTTTTTGTGTAATATTACACTAACTACTAGGTAACGATGTAATGTTTGTAGTGGCAAAATTTTCAAGGGCCGACAGTTTTGCAGACACGTAAAAAATTTGTTGTTTCATGAAAAGATTCGGGTACAAAAACTGCCCGAGCAAATCGATGCTTTTCAGCACATGCACAGGCTAGCTAGAGAGCTTCCTCAAGATGTGCATTAATTTGGAGCTGTACATATACGTGAACTTGTCTACACTTTGGCCTTCAAACTATATTGCATAATACTGTTGTTTTTTACCCGTCTCATTTTTCGCTCCCTCTCCCGCTCTCTTCAAGACTCTGTGCTACAATCGTCTCCCGAGCAGTAGGAACGAGGATGGCATGGTGACGCTGCAGTTTAACAAACCGGACTCCGTCCTCATGTCGCAACAAGAAACACTCGTTAAAGAGCTGCAGACTATCGTCAGTGCCGCCACTGTGCAAGTGGTTGTCAATACTATTCGCCCCCTCCCGGACAACTGGTATATTGCACAACGCTATATATAAACTGTACGAGCAGTTCAAAATATTGTAACATTTTTGTCTAATTGCATAATACCGAGGGAGAGGGACAAGTACTAGAGGTATGCAACGCATTTTTTGGCGAGTGAGTGCGAGCAGTTCAATATTTCGTGCGTGTTTTGTGCGTAGTGGAATCATGTAGAACATTACGGTATGTTCAGCGCCCGACCAATAGTTATAAACATATAGAAAATTCCCGCATTGAAACAATCTAGGTACAGGCCCGCTTCGCTCGCCAATTATGCAATACAATGGAGACAATTTCTACTCCCTCGTTGATTTTCCTACTTTACGGTGCTAGCTTTGCCGACAAGGCCTGGCGCCAGACTAGAGCGCACCAGGGAAATAATCTCTGGAGCTGGCTCTGCTGACATAAAAACATGCTTGTGGCCATTTGATACGTTTGCTTCTGCTCATGTTGGACACTGTGGGAAAATGAGTTACGTAACTCTGATCTTGTGGTTTTAAGCACCGAAATGTGAAAGGAACTGACTGATTTGAGCAGTTAGCTCCACCTCCCTCCTGCTATGTAAGTACTTAGTACACCTACACATGTGTTAGGATGTGGTTGCATGACATCACCCAGGGATTGCATGCAGAGACTTGGCTAGGTCCAACCAACCCCTTGCCAGTTCCCTACGTTCCAAGCATGCCTCGCGACTTTGTGGCCAAACAATAACCCCACGAGTGGGCTTTGATCAGCTCTCACCTCCTCCCCCCTCTCTCTTACTCCCCCTTGTGACATCACTTCCTTGTCACCCTCCCCCCTTTCCCCCTTGTCACACCTATCCCCCTTCCCTCTCCACTCTCCTGCTTTTTGACAAAACTCTTTCCAATTTGCATTATCAAGAAAAATCTCCCTCACACAAAGTTCTTTTTGTGCAAAGGCTGTAGCTCTGTCATTAGCGAAGAAAGAGAGAGAGAGAGAGAGAGAGAGAGAAAAGAAATGTTCTTAATGACTTTTAGTGCCCGCCAGTTGTGTGACTGTTTCCCTTTTCTTCAAGTTTGTATTCACTCCCGAGCTGCCCCCAACTCTCTGCCGGGACTGTTTGTCCGCGCATTTTATGCCTCTGTTTTCACAAGTACTTGCTTACTTTGCCGAGTGTTGGTACAAGCTGAATTAGTCATGGCCAATATTTACATGAAGATATTAGACCGTGTACGCGAGGTTTTACGTCCCGAGGTGTTTGTTTCGTCGTGTTTCATTGGCAGCGATTGCTTGCATGTGAAATTGGCCAACCGCGGTATCCGGGCACGATGTGTTTGTGTGTACGTCTATATAGAGTATAAATGTACCAGCACTGAATTAGCGAAGAGGGTGCCCGACTAATAATCATTTAAGAGGTTGTGAAGGATGTTTCATTAGTAAAACTGCCGGGGATGATTGCTTCTGTTAGCCTACTTCGTTTCCCCAATTCCCTAGATTAAGCCCTACCTCTTAGTTTCAAATGAGCCTTCATTGACCGAGCGACCTACTGTATGTAGTCTGGATAGAACCTTGTAAGGCTTGCTAATATGGGCACCACGTAGAGCCCTGTTCATGTGGTGTATGTTCGTTTGTTAACGGTTCCGCCCATTGCTCTGGGTGCGTGGTCTATGGCCCTAGTGCTATGGCAGCCACCTGAGTATTATTATTACTACTGAGCGCCACTTTAATCCGTGTGCTTTTTATTGGTCTGATCCGCTTGTTAATTTGGTTGAACCTCTGTCATACATAAGTAAGACCCGATCATGTGGTGTTTTGTTAATATGGGCACCACGCTTAACTGCACTCACTTACTGGAGCCCACTTTAATCCATGTGGTTTTTATTAATCCACTTGTTAATTTGGTTGAACCTCTGTCATACATAAGTAAGACTCGATCATGTGGTGTTTTGTTAATATGGGCACCACGCTTAACTGCACTCACTTACTGGAGCCCACTTTAATCCATGTGGTTTTTATTAATCCACTTGTTAATTTGGTTGAACCTCTGTCATACATAAGTAAGACCCGATCATGTGGTGTTTTGTTAATATGGGCACCACGCTTAACTGCACTCACTTACTGAGCCCACTTTAATCCATGTGGTTTTTATCAATCCACTTGTTAATTTGGTTGAACCTCTGTCATACATAAGTAAGACTCGATCATGTGGTGTTTTGTTAATATGGGCACCACGCTTAACTGCACTCACTTACTGGAGCCCACTTTAATCCATGTGGTTTTTATTAATCCACTTGTTAATTTGGTTGAACCTCTGTCATACATAAGTAAGACCCGATCATGTGGTGTTTTGTTAATATGGGCACCACGCTTAACTGCACTCACTTACTGGAGCCCACTTTAATCCATGTGGTTTTTATTAATCCACTTGTTAATTTGGTTGAACCTCTGTCATACATAAGTAAGACTCGATCATGTGTCAGTGGAGACATTTAAGTAAATGTGCATCAATCTGGATTGACAATCCGTGATCGAACACTTTTTTTGCAGCAATTTTGCACGTTTGGCTCTCCGTTTGTCCCCTGTACACAATGTTGTTCCCTTACCACTTTGCATAATGTCTCCTAACTCGCAGTTCTGAACTAACCCTCTACATGACTGAGAAATCGTTCATGGGCACCAGACGACTCCTTGCTGCGGATGTCTACGTATTCCTGAACAACAGAAAGGTCACTTTTCTCAGAAACAATGTCACTTGGTTTACATAACTGTGCATTCGGCACCAACTTATTGGTCTATACTATATGTATGTATGTATGTATACAATACAATGTGGGATGACAGCTATTTCACAAAACTATTTGGCTCAACTCTCGATGCACTTTGTATAATTCAGGGAAGAGGGGGAGGAAAAGGAGGCGGTTTTCCGAAAATGCTTGCGTGGACTTGTTTCTGGGTACTTTGTTCAGAGCTAATATCAGAGGAAGTTTGGCTGCAGAGGAAGTTTGGCTGCAGAGCCTAACCACTAATCTGCCCTCCCTCATGGTAGAATGTGGTGTCCTTTGGGTCTTCTTCTTCCCCACGGATGCACTCTTCCGAAAACCTCCCCACAATGTCCCCCCCTCTCTTCGGGCTAATCACTTACGTAGTGCATCGAGCGGCTGGCCAAATTTCTTCATAAACCATCACATGCAGTGTTATAGGTAAATAGATGCTGTGTGCACCAATACACTCCAGGAATACATAGTTTATAATTATGCTATAGCACTTTATACAAAGAACTGCCTACCAAAATATTTCAATGCATGTGAATTTCTCACTTGTAAATGCTATTTTACAGTATCATGCTCACTAGTACTCATTATACTCCAAGAGTATAATATGGTGTTTAAAGAGCTGTCTCATATTTATACGATCCCACAGGCAAATCTTGAGAAACTGGGGGTGACCGGTCTTTATCCCAAGACAGGTTTCACTGAGGGGAACCTAAAGCTCTACCTGCAAAACCCTCCTTCGGGTATATACATACAGTATAATATATGAACCACCATATTATTACTCTAGCCAGCATATTGTCAGTGCATGGGGTATTAAAAAGAATTGTGGTCATAATGTAACTGGTCTAGAGCTTCCCCGTGTGGGATTTGAATCAACGACACTCCCAGCTTTTCAGGCAGAGTGCTTTTCCTACTGAGCTATATACCAGGGCAGCTCAGTAGGCAGGGCTCAAACACTAAGCAACCTTTGGTGTGGAAAACCGTCACTAATTACTGTATGTGTTACTTAACACTCTGGCCTTTTTTCTCTAGTGTAATTGAATTGCATGTGGATAGTGCATCATAATACTTGTATTAAGTGATGCTACGTCCTTACAATGTACTGTATAATTGCAGTTGAACTGCATACACATTATAGTGTATGTGTACACACATACACACTAGGTTTAGGGTTAATAGTGGGTAGTGTTGATGGTCAGTATTTACGATGAAAGGCATTCCTCTACTTGCATCAAAGCGGATAAAGTCAGTAATCTTGTTATGCCAAGTGGCTGTCAGTTCCTTGGCTAAAGGACAGTAGTGCAGTGCAGTGCATGTCATGAAAAGTGGAATATACACAGTTATGCAGTGGGGAGCACCATTTTAAGCAGTGCAACTGACCCTAGACAGGTGTTTCTTATAGAAAGTTTAAAGTAGGGATTACAGCTCTGGCAGAGCCAAAAAGCACGGCAGCAAGTAACCAAAGAAGTGATGGAGACAGTTAGCCCCTGTAGGAAGCCAGCGTTGGCTGACATTGGAGCTAACACAACAGAAGACCTCTACTGTGTGTCCAGCTAGTCATGTCACGCTACCTCAGAAAATCCCCTGGGGGAGCTGGAGCCCATTCGAGACCTTTAATCTATCCCAACATCAAACTTTCACCTTCAGTTGACTCACTGTGGTTTTGAAGCTCTAGGTATATAGGACTGTAGTTAAACCCTTTTCAAGGACACCTCTGTAATAAGGAACAGTTCTTGAATAACCCTTGAAATGAGGATACCTCACTAATATGGACTCTCTATATTGTGGGGTGGTGTCCAGATTGGAGGGGTTCCACTGTAGCATGTCAGCAGAGGAGTAGCAGCACAGGGAATCATCTCAAAAGGCCACTGCAAACTGAATCCATTGGACTCAGTTGAGGCTGCAATGTGTGCATACTTACCGGGTTCCTTTCTCTTCCAAGTGTGCTTTCAATGTGATTAGGGACATTCTGTGGTCATCTTGTTTAGCTCAGCTTGCATGCCTTTCCCCACCTCCCCTGCCTGCCTCTCACACTCCCCTCCACTCCTGGGCCATTGTCTCTACTCACTTGTGGGGAAGTCTAGAGTGTTATGAAAAGACTCTCTCGTAATAAACTGGCCCAGCTACAAGTTGGCTAGAGTTTTGTTCTTCCCTCCCCCCACTATGGCCACTGTATTCCCCATTCCATTTGATGAGGTTTAGACCTAGTTTAGACCAAGTTAACAGTGCCTAGACTGCCGGGTGGTGTGGATGGCGGGGTGGGCATGCGCAAAGGGAGGTGGCTTTGCGCATGTAGCCAGAGCAGGCAGCATGTTGTGCCGATCAGTGCTAGAGAACGATAGACATCAGCAGATTTTTTTCTTCTTCTCTTCCTTTGGTCCTTTCTTTTTCTTTTCCTGTCCACTGGAGGCTTTTGGGCTTTCAGTGTGACCTGCATGGGCTGGGCCGGGTTGGAGGGGCAAGGCCTCTCCAAACTCTCCTCCCCCCAAGTTGCCACGCCCTCCTTTATACGGGGGTGTGGTGGGGGTCCCATACCCATGCGACCGCCATAACCCGATACTCCACAGTCACAAGGGGTAGCCCATTCCTAATTACATCCATCTGGAAGTTGTCAGGGGGATGTATATGGATGATTGAGGCAGGCAGGTGAGCTGTTAATGTCCATTGTATAGTTGGTCTTACAGCATTTCACTCCAAAAATAGAGTTTCAGTTTTCAATATCAACTTCTGTCATCTCAGTAGGTTATATATCTGACCATTGCACCTGCCCACTACACCCTTGTAGCTCTCTTTCATCTCATACTTTATAAAGGAAGCTCGGTTTGTTCGGACTCTCCATTGTGGTCTGATATCTGCATTTGTTGCATTCTGTGGATGCTGACAGTAAATTAAAGTGATTGGCGTCCGTAGACCCACGGCCAAACCTGAAATCCAGTTGAAGTGAGTGTGAAGGGGGGAGGTTTATAGCTGTGTAAGTAGGCAAGCAAGTTGTGACCTTCTTATGACACTACTTGAAACCTACTTGAGAGTGTATAATGATCTATGGGTTGCATTTGAAGGTGAGAATGTTGGATATGGGGGGAGGAGGAGGAGGGGGAAGGTAGGAGGTTGGATAGCCGTCTCGGATTCTAGTCGCTGCTGGTACGCAGCCAGCTGGAGCGAGAGACGGCAGTCGCCGGCCGAGAGTGTGGGAAGGAAGGTGGGAGGTGAGGAGGAAACCAGAGGGAGGCGAGAGAGACTAAGTACCAGTAATTTGGGTGTGCTGGACACGGCGAGGGTGAGGGAGTGAGTGTCTCTTATTTCTGTAGGAGAGATAACAAATTGCCAATTATATCCATGCTGCATCTGTGCAGTGGATCGACTGACGTGTCCCAGGCACCAATTAATTCCCGCTGGGCCGAGCCTATATTCATAGCCAGTTTCCCCTCACACACAGTCTGACTATTGTCTCGCATACGCTGCCATCATACCTGCAGTTTCACACGTGTTCCCTGAAACCACTCCATTAGCGCTAGTTACCCGCCCCTGTACGCGATATTATCAAAGTATTTAGTGGCGGGTCGTTTCACTGGCACAGGTGTCCCAGTGCAACGACTTGTGGCACTGGTTGTGCTTACGTACGTGCTGAAATTTCCCGCACATCTCCAGAATGCATGTCCATGACAGAGGGAGTGCTGTGTATGTTAATGAAGCATGCACAGGGCATTAAAAGAAACGAGAGAGTCTCACAATAATGTCAATGATAGAGGATATTGATACATACCTAGATGAGTAGTATGGGTATTTTGAATGTCGATGAAAGAGGAAACAGTATGTATGGGGCAATGAGAAACAGTGAAGGGTACGCATAGTGTGTTTTTAACATGAGGTATAAGTAAAACGCTTGTGACAAAATACTGTCCGTATTACCACCGTACTTGAACCGAGTTAGGAATTTGCAAGAGAACTCGAGTTTAAAATTTAAGCAGTTTTACTTAGTGTGTTCAGAATTGCGTAAAACACAGCAGTACTTGCAGTACTGGTCACACGTACATGTATACACTGTATAGAGACATATATATACAGAGACTAGGTAGGCTCACTGCATTTGCCAATAGAGTGGCAGACATCACGGTAGGAGGTTAGCTCATTTGTTGCAGTCTTTGAAGCTTTGCGAAGCGTGTGTATATACAGTAAATACTGTTCACTGAGTGGTTATTTGTAGGACACGTTCCTACGATATCGGCTCAAAATGTTTCTTCTTAAAATTGAATTGTGTGTAGAGTGTTCCTTGTAGTTTTAATTATGATGCCGATAGATAGTCTGGCCTTCGTTCAACAGGGACATTAGCGGTTTTGTTTCAGAATTTTTCTACTTGGATACCGTGTGGAATTTAACAGCCTTTTCAATGTAGCATGAGTAAGAGCTTACAGTTGTTGTGTAATGCACTACCTGTAGCACACACACGAAGGTATTAGACCATGTGATGCCAAGAGAAAAAAGATGTGGAGCTCTGGACAGCTGTTTCGGGCTTCATCACGCACAGTTCATTTGCCTTTACCAACCTGCTTTGTGGAATAGTAGGTAATAGTGCTTTTCCCTGAAATGTGTACATACGTACCAATGCATGCACTTGTACCCATATTGTGCAAGTCTGAGTCCATCATTACTCACTCCTCCTGCACATTACGCAACCCATTTCGTGCTCCGCGGTATCCAATATCTGTCTCACCTGCATCGCTGGCGGGCAGCTGACTGTTTGCGCTGTTCCTCTCACAAGAGCGGCTGAGACCACTGATGTGTTTGGCCAATCAGAGCTCAAAGAACGTTCAAGAGAAGACCGGAATGTTACGTCAGCTCAGGTGTCGGGCTTTCTTATGGGAGCTCTGGCCAGCAAGGTTTTGCCGGCGAATTACCGTCAATTTCTCTGAATGCATTACTGAGAATTTCTCACTCCTTGAGTCAGCCCTTTGTCTTTGTGCTGTTTTTTCTGTTGCCGCCAGCTAATTCCCGCTTCTTTTCTGCCAATTATTCAAATATGCGCCTCGCTTAGCCGGCTGTGATTTGTGGGTCTTTGCCGTTTGAAAACTTCCCTGGAATCTTCCTCGATTGATCTTCGTGGTTCCACCGGCCTGGTGCATGTGAAGTCAATAGTTGAAAGAGGGTTGCATGAACTCACATTGCCTATATTATACACTCATGAGGTATGCTAGTTGAGGTACGTATGTAAACACCTCTCAAAAATGGCTGGTGTTGACGTTTTAGAGTGGGAGGCTAGTGTTAGGGCTTTGCATGTTTCTCCTCCATGTTTCCCAGCGCTCTCTAGCTCTGCAAGAATCTCTCGCATGCTCTCCCTCTCTCTCTCTCCCACTCATCTGGACACCGTGGCCGGGTGCCAAATGTGTGTGCTCTTTGTTGGCGTCTTTGAAGTTTGATGGTAGCTGCCAGCCACAGCAAAGGGTGACTGTCTGGCTGGCTAGCCCACCTACCTCTGACCCAGCTGGTACATATACCACCTGGTTCAACCTACCCTTTTTTCACATACGTACTCCCTACGTGTGTATGTGTGTGTGTGCGCGTGCATGTGTATGTGTGTGCGTGTGTGTGTGTGTGTGTGTGTGTGTGTGTGTGTGTGTCTGGAGTTATATTATACTGAATACATGTGTCTCATAAGAGGTAGCGGGGCTTACTGAGATATGTAAGTATTGAGGGAGGCAGTTGGAAGCATAACCACACGCTCTGAAGGAGAAAGGTGGGCCCAAAAGTCCCGTGTGATGATGCAACGCTCCACGAGAAATTAAGGGGAATTGAGGCTGGGAGAAAAGAAGCGTAGTCTTTCATCCGCGGCAGTGCAGTGCAACATGATGCTGGTTTTTACCACTCGTGATGTACATATGTATATACTAGACTACTCGTATATACAATTCTTGGACGGTATAGTGGAACTCCCCAGCCCTATATCGTGCACGGTTAAGGAGACTCAGGAATGCTCTGCATCCAAACAGCCATCCTGTGTAAACACTATATACTCTGTTGTTTACACCCATTGTTTTGGACCTAAAACCAACCACATACTCCGCCACACACACGAAGACGCTCTGTTCTTGACGGCACTTCCTACTCTCCCTCACTATCATCCCCCTGCGTCCCTCCCTCCCTCCCTCTCCTCCTGGGACTGCTACACACGAGGTGGTGAGCTCATCCCCCCTCTGACGTGGGAAAGTCATGCCAGGTATTCCTCCCTATACTCCCCTCACACACAAAAGCAGAGACTTGCTGATTCTCACGAAGATTTTGGCCCCTCCGATGAAGGGTAAGTTCCCGAGTGGGCGGTTCGTCTAAACAAGACTCCACTTCCAATAATTGCCAGCCAGAATCGGCCCCACATCGTTTCCATATTAAAGGCGTATTCATCTCGTTATTCCTCCAAATTGCTGGTAATTTACGGCAATGCGTGTGGTGTGTATGGGATGATGTCATCAGACCTCCAAGGAGCAGGATACTTGTTCCCATTAGGAGCCACCTGTGCAATCAGTTGCCTCTCTGACATGCCTGCTTCCGTTTTTATTGGGCGTAATTTGGCTCCGAGCCTTCGTGTACTGGTGTAGTATCGAACTGCATCAATTTGTTCCACTCTTGATTTATTGAACAAAGGGAGTAAAGGGTGTGGGTATTGTGTTTCAACTCTACATCGATAGGAAATGTATCTCCCATTGGATGTGGCATTCTATGATAATTCACATTCATGCTATCGTGTCCGGTAGTATAATATTATTGCGGCCCTAACGTTGACTCTGCGGATTTAGTGGATATTTTTTAGCTTGGTTTTTGGACATTGCCATTGCCATTGTGTGACTTTTTCGCGATGGTGTCTGTAACTATAACCTGCTAGGTCCTCTAATAATGAAACTGATGTAACGTTTCATGATGGGAGTTATTTTGCTTTTTGGGAGCTTTCGTGTTATCGTTTAGCCTAGGAACCCGGGCATTCTCTGTTTATGTGTGCATATTATGCAGGTGTATCCAAGTTTGTCTTGGAAATGAAGCCCACGTACAATAATTCACACATGCATGAAAAGGGTAGTATGGAGCTAATTGTATTGCTATGATCCCTAGGAGTGTTGTTGACTTGTCCGAATGGCAGATGAAAAAATGACGGACCCACACAAGTGGGTGATTAAAAATATTGTGGGATGCGATCAAGATATGTGATTGGCTTAATTGGCCACCCAATGAGTGAGTCCTATTGTTGTAAAATATCAAAACAAAGCATGCGTTAGTTCGTGGTTTTACATTGAAACAGCGTTAGTATGTAAATCTTAAGTTGAGTCAAGGGTCGGTAAGATCAAGAGTGTATTGTATGACAGAAGATTGGAATTCTGAAGATGCTGTGGATGTCAGGGAGGGAGTGAGGTGTCTATGGTCCTTTCCGTACAGAACTGGTGAGTAACACGATCCAAATATTTGCTTACAACAGGAGTGCCCTTGTTATGCAACGTGACCTGATCATCAGAGAAATGACATAAATCATCCACCCACAGTGGGAAACGGTCGACATGCTGGGTGCAACTTGTCGCATTAGAGAGAATTGCAATGGTGATGGTTACGAGTTGCATGGAGTAGAGGCCGGTGTTTTCATGTTCATCATCTTTGAACGGACCGTGATTTTCAAAGTTGCTGGAGACCTTATGAATAAAGTTAGCCGTGTATGTTTCCAAGTCAAATTAAAGGGTGCAAATTTTCCATAACTTACGTATATTTAGATCTTACACTCTGTTAGTTTACTCACAGTGGAAGTCTTCTTCCTTTTCATTTCGACGGGGCTTGCAAAAAGCTCAATAAGTTGAAAATGAAACCGTCTATTTTGCCTAAACTACTCACCCGGAAAATGAGTGAGGGGGTGGGAAGGAAATCACCAGCTTATGCAAAATGCATAGCACATCATCGTTCATTCACTCACACACGAAATGAGTTTGTTTGCGTCCTTCGCTGCCAAGGGAGGCAATTTGCGGAGAGCGCTTGTCGATTGTTAGAGTACCCAGTACGTAGATAACTTGTCGTAAAGGAACGTGACAAATTGTTTTCTGTCTGTCACTCAAAACTTGAGCGTAGCTCGTGTCCAGAGCCGTGGGAGGCAAACGAACCACTTTTGGCAGGAGAGAATTGGGTGTGAATGGTGCACTTTGTTTTTCGGCTGTTTCTAGCCTACTGTTGTGTATACGGGCAGTTGGCTGACGCACGGTTGTGCATGCCCAAACTGCTCGTTGTGTGGGGTAATTAGGGAGGTTAGCATTTGTTGTGTTATTATTATCATGCCACCCCTAAATTAGGGTACAAGGGGTTTTTTAAAAGGTGCCGAGTTCGTTGGTGGGGTGTCACGAAGCTTAATAGAGTGCCTTTCATTCCAGGGCGCTGTTGAACCAATACAGGCATGTTTACTGAGAAGTGAGGATCGAAGATGAGCAGTGTTTGTGTTTATGCAGGTATCACTGCCCAAATGTGGGAAGAGAGCAAGAGCACCAATCCTGACTCCCAAAAGTGAGCTCACTTCACTTTGTTTTCATGAAACCCAATAGACCAACACAAAAGGCATGTCACTCTGATGCATGTATGTAGAAGCTGCCTTTGCATTCTACTGCTCATTCTACTGCTCATTCTACTGCTCATTCTATTGCCATTCTACTGCTCATTCTACTGCTCATTGAAAGAATAGGAGTGTGGAAATTAGGGTAAGGGAAAGGGGGGTATCCATAACTGGGTCAGAGGGGATGTATAGGGGAGGGGTGGCTGTTGATCATAAGTAGCCAGCATGGAACTATGTTGTGGGAATGTAGAAGGGAGGGAATGTTAGAAATGGGGAATTGCTGGGTCAGAGTAGGTGATGTGGAAATGTGGGAGAGAGAGGGAAGGGAAAGGGGATGTCCTACAGTTGAGATTCTAAGAGGGCGAAGGGGAGGACCCGCTAATCATTATGTCCTGCATGGAAGGTGGCATGTTATGGTAATGTAGAGAAGGGAGAAGGTGATGACTCTCTATTCCTTTTTGATGAGTAAAGCGAGCCAACCCCTGGTCGTTTGAATTGCGTCATTCCGTGTTTGTGACCCGCACTGCACTCGCTTACTTTCAAAATTTGCACTCTTGTTTCCTTGCCAAAAATGTGAATTACTCCAGTCCAAGTGGTAATGTAGGGAAGGGAGAAGGGGATGGCCCTATAATCATTACATAATTGCCTGGGTCCATGGGGTATATAATGCATGGAAGAAGGGCCACTTGGCTCCAGGTGAGGGCTGAGGCTCTGAGTTGTAGTGGTACGTAGGTGCCTTTTTAGTCCCTAAACTGATTAGCTAACTAACTGTCCATTGTGTGTCTGAGGGGGTAATGATGATTGAGGTCACCAGATTAGAGCCCTAGATATTACTATATAGTAGATTCCCCTTTATACACAACTAACAGATGGAGGCATAAAAGGCCTGAGAATTGCACTGGGGCGCAATGCAAGGACAGTGCATCAAACAGCTCAACTAGACCCATGAAAAGAACAGGACTCTAAGGCTAGGTTCACAATAATATGTCGCTTTGCTTTTCACGTCGCGTCCTGCCGCGAAGATAGAAATGGATTCTGTCCTCGCGGCACGGCAGCGCTGCTAGATATTGTGAACCTGTCCTAAGTTGCAGTTACGTGACATGTGACAAAAGCTGTGTGTGTTGGCCTTAAAAGAGCAGTTTTTCATACCTGTACATAAAGTGCATCACAGACCAGTCCAGGCATGCAACTTTGTAACATGATAGTGTGTGTGTAGTCGGGAGGTGTAGGGGGGGAAAGCCGTGGGAAATTGCACTGTGTGACTATCTTGACCCGTTGAATATGTCGGGAATTCACCAACACAGACACTGGGAATGCATTTACCGCGCTTCCAGTCACTGCTGACGACGTGTAATTCTCCGAAAAATTCGAATCTCCCTCAGCTTTGCAGGATGTTTACAGTGGTGTCTTCATAAAGTGTTACAATTACAATTAAACACTTTGGCATTATTTTAGTACCTGATTAACCACTTAGCTTGTGGGGCTCATGTTACAACTGCTAATCCTCGCTAAGTTTGTGGGAACCCCCACAAAAACACACATTTTAAAAGCTGTGAGAGTTAAAAATATATAGTTGCGAGCTGTGAGAGTTTAAAAATATACTTGCGATGATTTTACCAGAAGCAAAATTAAATAGCTGCGAACATGCGAATTCCTGTCAGTATTGCAGTCATGTGCCGCTTAAGTAAAGCATGCGCAAGATTTTGACACCTCAGATCAGGTGAGGCGAGGTGTGCAGCTTAAGCCTATTAAAAAAACAGAGGAAGAGAATTAATACTCACGTGCCGTCTATAGCTCCAACACTAAAAATGAAAGCCCTGCACTTCATGTACAATCTTACTGGTGTCTGTCTTACATCCTGGACACTCTATAGTTACCCTACAATGCAAGATTGGGACCTGTACTAACACATGCAATATTTCTGACCATCAATAGCTACCTACTCCTACAATCTGAGGCACAGTTTAGATGGGGACTATTGAGAGCAGCCTTTGTTCTGTAGCTAGTATGTGCCCAGCCAGCCATCAGGGCACCATCACCTGCTGGCTGTCTGGGAGAGTGTTCTTTTGGCAGGCTGGAGACCAGCATCTTGGGAATGCACTTTGATTCCTTTCTCCAGTTGCTTGGTCTTATCTGCCATAGCACTTTGGAGGCTTCTGGAAGATTTTGAGGACACAGGTGGCAAACTGCTGTATACTCAATAGAGAGTCACATGTGTATATACTACTGGAACCTCTGAAAAGATAACTCTTGCATAAAAGACGCCTCTAAGGGATGCTAGGTTCTGCCCTCTCCCACTCGAAAGGACAGTGAGGACGTTGGAAGAAATAAACAACAAAGTTGATGGTGCAGTCACTGGGCTTCCAAACCAGAAGCTGTATACATTAGCGAATAAAGGGCACTTTCATTGTCCCAAAGGGGTTTCACTGTACAAATTATGATAGAGTTCTCACTTTTAGTGTACCAAGTTTCATTGTTAGACCAACCACATGCAGGTTATAGGCACAAACACCATTTACAAGTTTATATTGCCAGTTGCAGTTTACATCCCTGCTAGATGTCTTGCTATGTGTGCCAATGATTGTTGGAGCTTGATTTGTTGGTTGTAAGAAAACTACCGAAGTATGCTGTCAACGATCCTACAAAGCACATGCTTACCTGCCACAGATACTATATATGGACACCGCTCATTGGAGCACATCTGGGATAGCACAACAGCGCCAGCATGACCCCTGCCCTAATTTTTGTCATTTTTTGGATGGATGTACACAAACACGTCACTTTGAAAGGGCAAGAAGTTTGCAGTGTTCAGCGGAAGTTTCCGTAATTCGGTCTGCGCCGCCGCTTCGCATTCTCGCTTTGAATGATTATAGGGTTTCTGCTTTGTGCAGTACATCTCTAACACACCTGCATTTGGACCTGTCATTTTATCTTTAGTCGGGGTCTCAAATGTTCCATTGACTACTGCAGTGAATATGAAATTGTATGTAATGTACTAGGTGGCCCTGTGGAAGTGATATAATGGCCATGCTATTGCACACAATGGGGACATTTGGTGGTTACTCACTGTGGTTGCCATGACAGACTCTTCCTTGGCAACCCGGCTGGCTCTGGTCGGCAAGGGATCCCTCACCTGTAAGGCTTCTGTGGGGATGTTGGCCGGCTTCTCTCAGTCAGCCGTTTGTGGACCTGCCATTGATTCCTCTGGTGTATACTACCAACAAGACCCACAATCCCTCATCGGCACTGTCCTCTCTCTCTCTTGCACGCTCGCCACGCCGGAGTCTGTAGGGCAGGTTGTGGTCAGTGTCGAGGCTTTCACGACCAGTCCTTGACAGCTGGTACTAGGGAGGCTCTGAATGAGATGGTGGCTGGTTTGTTTCCACATGTTCTGCAACTGTTTGTCTTCATTTCTCACGATCATGCCACCCCCTAGTTGACCCCCCACTGCTCTTTCTCTCTCTCTCTCTTGTCTCACTGGAGTGAGGACGAGGGCCACTCATTGTGTTGCCATGTGTTGTGACACGGTGTCTCTAGTAAACACACCTATTGAGGAACACTCTGCGGTGGAAACATAGAAGTTGTGGTGTGGTTTGTGGCAGTAAAACCTGTGAATCAGGTTTTGGCATCTACTCACACTCGTCTGCTGATCAGCGTCCAATCTAATTACGCATGTATCGATTATCTAAATCTTCATTGTTCTTGACCCATATTTAGCCTCTATCGTAGGTAAGCACCTATCTGTACAAGGTCGCGGACACGTTCCAAAGCGCATAAACCTAGATTGGCATCAATTCGGGTCAATCCTTGATTTCTAGTGTATCCTAAAATGCAGTAGCTATTCCTGACTGGAGTCCGTACCAGGCTTTCTTTGGTAGAGGGGGCATTTCCCCTCCACCCTCCATCGCCCGGTTAATCCCTAAATTTTTTCTGCCATGCTTGAACACCTCTGCAATTTTGTGTGTTATACCGACAAATTTCACCCCCTTCTATGGACTATAGCTCTGCAGTGTGTGCTGCACCTAATATGTGCTCTGTGTGTGTGTGTGTTCCACCTGTGTCTTCACATAGCTCCGTGCCATAGAGAGGCATGGTGGACTGGAGTTTCCCAGACTGTCTGATACTATTGGGTTGCCGCGGTCACTGGGGAGTTGGGAGGTGTCCTACCTTTCCCAGCAGACGGCCTCTGTGTGAGATGCCTTCTCATTGAGTGTTCTCCTCTCGTATGGTAGGAAGCCTCACCGAGTGGCTGGGTTAAGTGACAGTCTGTTTGTTTGCGGTATTGGCTGGCCGTCCTGAGCTTCAGTTGGTCGTTCCTATTAGCAGAGAGTGATTTTACTACGTGCATAGCTGCTCAGGACACTTTTGAGGGGGTCTGGGAACAAGGCTGCATAATTCTTGACTGCTTCTCTTTGTCTCTGTTAAAGAATGTCCACTGAAAGAAGAAGTCTTAGACAGTGACAAATGTCGTAAGAGTTAATCTGCTCCCAACTCAGCAAAGCACTGATAGTCTCCCAATTGAATATGAAACTGTAAACAAAGCCAGGCAAACTGAAACACTGGCTTCATAACCAAATACCTAGTACTCTCTAGCGTTGATCAGCTGACTGGTCCATCTTGTTCTCAATTACTAGTGTGTGTTGTTGGACGGCTCAGAATGGAGTATGCGTGATGCATATACTGTTGAATGGATGATCTCGCTTTCCTATCCCGCTTCACTATCACACCACAGCCACACTTCTATACCCTATTCTTCCCTTCCCGGAAGTACAGTATGTTGTCTTTTTCACTGAATTTGCATGCAAGCCCAAGAGTTATCATAGTTGGCAAGCAAAGTGAGCCTAGTACCTTTAGTTTTCTGAATGTGGGATTTTAAACTTGTGTGTGACCTGCACTCCACGCACCGTAATGCTTGTAACAAAATCGAAATACCTGTGTTCGCTCGGCAAAAAATATGTGTTGCATTAATAATACTGGTTGATTAGATGCAGGATTCCGGCTATGGTTGGGTTAAATGCCTTGTCACAGAGAAAGTCTAGTGTTTTGTTAATACTACTGTTTTACACTTCATATCAGACGTGATGGATGTCAAAATGTGTATATTATGTTGGGCTAACCCCAAAAAGTTTGGCATTTCATTTACCGCAGTTTGAACTGAAAATGTACCTAATGAAATTTGTGAGTGTTGTCATCGGATGACGTGCACATGTATGAATGATCGGCATATGGTTGGTAACGCGTGGGTTGTCAGAGTGTGGGGTGACTCTCCCTCCCTCAGCATTGCTAACTGCTGTGGACACTGCGCTAGGAATTCAGCGGTCGTGCCCAGGCAGTCTTGTCCGTCTGGCCATTCCGAAGATTGAGGCCGCAAAACCGTTCAGGTGTACACTTTCTCCAGGTCGTTGCACAGGGAATTTCATACACCCATTCCGAGCATTTCGCCGACACTCTGCAAGACCCTTGTTCCGCTCTCGCTTATAGAGCTGGTTGCTGGCTTGTGGCTTTAAGCTTTTGTTGAAACGAGAATCCTCTGGTCACTCTGCTATTCTGATGGAAAGGAAATAGCGAGCGGACACTAGAGTACATACGTAGGTGTTAGGATGCTTGTGGAATTTTCTGTTTCATTCACTATAGCATCTGCATGGCATTATAATGCAAATGTGACTGTATAGCGGTTTTCTGATTATTAAGCTGTAGACCCGATAGGTTATACGTTCTAGTTGATTAAGTTGTAAGGTATGTGGTTGGCGTTAGAGGAATCCTTGGGTATAATATACCAAATCATTTTATCGCCACGGCTGAATCTCACTGCTTGTAGCTACCTACACCTTTATTGCACGGAATGTAGCGTTGTTTTTTGTTTTTGCTCGTTGTTAAAGCAAAACGAGTCTTTCACACTGTAAGCATGCAAGTATTTCTAGCGATCTGAGTCGCTTGAAGAGCAGAAGGTCTTACGTGCTGTGGTTAAGTTACTCTGCCAGTGAAATCCAATAGGGCAAACTGATTGTGTGCTGTGGGTACTTGTTTCGCTTCATGCTCTGTGAAATACGGCCTTCACTGCCCCATTCCAGCCAAAACTCTCCCTTTTCTACATCTTCTCTCTTCCGTGATTTGGTTGAGGACACTCTGCGAAATAAACCCACTTCCTCCAAACCTGCCATTCTAAACTCTCGGTACAAACATCATCGAACAACAGAGTTATTGACATTCTGTGTAGTTTAGTTGTCGATAATTATTCCAGTTAAATATTTTTGACTGCAAGAAGGAAATGGGGGAGGTTGTCTTTCGTGTAGGGGTTGTATATAGTGCTTTGCTGCGTTACTGGTCACTAGGCTGTATTTAACTCCCAACAGTAGCTGGTTTCTCCATGCTCTCATTGGTACGAGTATGTAGCATAGTATAATCACTATGGTGGTGAATGTTACGCTCTGCCTGGAGTGCTGAGAGTTTTGTGTGTGTCTCTCTCTCTTCACAAAAACCATGAACTCTGACCAGCTCCTCATAGTATGCAGACATACAGATCGCTCTACGCAGAGTGACTGGCAGTTACGTAACAAAGAAAAACTGCAACAGATTGTGTATACTACAGTTGAAAGGTAAAAGAAAGGTGTCTGCACCTTGTGTCTGAGCTAGAGGTCCAATATCCTTTGCCGTTGGTGATGCTGTGACTAGAATTGTCTCACAATTGGCCGAGCATTCCAGGAAAGGAGGATGTGATACCGTTTCGGCTGTCATGGGTTACCTCTACTGCTTTAAACCACGCTTGTCCGCACGGCTTGTGACACCTGCTTGAAAGTACTCTGAAGTGTTAATTTCCAAAAACTATTTGGGTTGCTGCATAACTACTCATTTATTAATACATGCACAGCGAGTGTTGCTGTACTGTTTGTGTGTGTGGGAAAGGGACACTGTATATTGTTCACATTAGGATCCAGTTATACAATGACAATTTGGGTGGATTTCCCCTCTTCCAGTTTCAATACATACGTATTTGGACTGTTTACTTCTTTCGTTTGTTCCCATATCTCAGGTATTTGTAATTACTTCCAGTCCTGCGAGCCCCATTTGCCAGCGGTTGAATGGGAATTTCAGTCATGTCATATAGCTACGTAATTTACCAGCCTTTCATTCCAGCTGCATAATTTCCCTTGTTCCATAGCCCCAGGAGAATAGGAAAATATTTGCCTCCAAATTTTCGCCATTTTCGGCATTTGATTTGGTTGGAATGCAGGTGCTGTGCACTACATGTGTTTCAATTTGCTTCTGCACCACAGAATATCGCTCTCTGTTTCGAATCCACGTCCTTCTTGTTCGGAAGCATGAGAGCTGGCCAGTGTAGTGCAGTGTATAGTACAAATAATGATCCTCTCCTGTGATTGGTTCAAATCCCACACAAGTCTGACTTAATGTAGTTTTCCTTTCGATATTTACCTTTATTGCAGGTGTACCTAGAAATCTCATTGAATACTATGTCAAAGAATTATGTTGCTGCACTTTTAGCCGTAGTACGTACTTTGGGGTATTCGAAGAATGTAGTTAGTTTATAGCTAATGTGTGGAGAGAGGAGTCAGTTTACTGGTGTTGTTTTTTCATGTGCCGATTTTGCTTCTGTTAATCCCCTTTGCTTTTGTCCATGGGGAACCTACTACTCACAAACATTCATTCACATTAGGCAGTAGTGAGGTATGTGGGAAGCTTGGAGTAAGGTCTTAATGCTGTGTGGCTTACCTCTCTCTCTAATGACAATTAATGGAAGCCAGTGTGTTGTTGGCCTACTCACCTCTGGTAGCCAGAGAGCAGGGCGGTTGCTAACAAAGGGAATCTCCTGCCCTGATTAGAGAGTGCACCCAATGGTATCAATCTGGTATGTAGGGTATTGTTTCCCTTGTGATTAGGGTTAGGTCAACAGAACAGGCTGTGGGGCATGCTTGGAATTCCCATCTCATTTAGCAGCAGTCTCCTATTCCCCAGGACACTTGCCCATGCACAGTTCAATCTCAATCATGTCTTTTTCAGAGCCTCATAGTGTCTCTCTATCACTGCAGGTACATCCCAGTGGCAATACTAGGCTCCAAGGACCTACTAAAGCGTGCCAAACACCAGCAACAGGAGACCAAACAACACCAAAGCAGACTAGAGGTAAAACGGGAACTCTCCTAGCAACTTTCCAACTGGAAAAGTTCTGCTTCCCAGCCAACTGGGGACAATGGTGCTTTATCAGGCGCTCCCTCTCACTCTCCCCTCTTCCTCCCCTGTGGGGGCCTTATCTGGGGCCTTATCACTGCTCCTTGGGCCTCTTATCACAGCTCCCCAGTGTACACTGCCAGGAAGATGCCCTAGCAACGCTGGGAGTGAGTATGGCTTCTGGCTGGAGGAACACCTGTCCCGTGGGGTGGTTGTACTCCCACACGCAGCATTCTGACTCTACTCTAGCACCCCACTCCGCTCTCTCTCTTCCTTGGTCATGGCCCTGGATTGCCTGCTACCCTAGTACAAACTGCCACTCACAAAACAACAGCAGGATGCTCTAGACTGACCTCACACTGCTCTCTTCACAACCCATTGGGAAGTTCTTTCCTATTTCCTTGAAAGGATGGACGAATTTGCTTTTGCATGTCTGCTTGAGTGTGCTATTTCCATGCCTCTTTTTTCACTGGAGGCTTTTTGGCTGCAGATAATAGCCACACACATGAACACGTATAATTATTCGAAAGCTTGACTGGCTTATATCACAGACTTCAAATGTGCATGTAATCAACATACCGGGCTGATGCTGACCTTATACCGACTGATGCTGACCTTTTATACTGGCTGAGGATACTACCTGTGTGCAGTATTATATTAATATGCATTCTGGCCCCTCAATTCCCGGTTCGTTTTCCAAACCTGTGGTCACTACGCAGCGGTACACCAGCCCTAGCCCTCGGGCTCACCACCCAAGCCCTAGCATATACCCTCGGGCTCACCACCAAAACGCCCCGACCTCGAAACACCAGCTGTAAAGAGGTTTTACGCAGACCCTTACCCCAACCCTAGTAACCACTCCAGTCCCGCAGAGTCCATTATTGGATTAGCTCTGTGGCCAGCTCTCTCCACTTCGGGCTGCGCGGGCTCTGCTCCAGTCAGGCTTCTCGGTGGAGAGTGGCAGAGATAAGATCAGTCTTGAGGTAAATTTGCGTCTTTGCAGGGCTTCCTTGAGATTCAGTGGCAAAATCGTTTTGCAAAATTTGTGCGAGAGGCTCTGGAAAGCTGTTTGTATAAACGCGTTCAGAATTAATGCATGTAAAATGCGCTCTTCGATTTCCTATTTTTAAAATGTGTGATCTAAATACGGATGGAAAATCTATCTCAATTCCGTGCCGGATTAGATCCAGAATCGAGTTGTACACAGAAACTGATTGGTGGTGGTGTCCGTTCTCGATTCGATGAACCACACCTCTCGATATTATTAATCGCTCCACTAACCATGTTGGGTTCGGGTCTGATGCAATAGGTTATTTGTTGTTTACACACAGCAGTATGCTCGTTTAAATGTTGTCCACTTGGAAACAGTTTAGGATGCGTGCATTAATGGTGATCTCTGTGAGCAAGCTAGCCAAACGTCACAGCCTGCATTGGCCTACCTACTTACATATATGGGCCGGCCAAGTCTTAACCGTAGGGAATGCATATTCATAGTTGTAGAATTGACACATTACTGGCAGTAGTCCACTGGACTGTGTTGCTAGCCAACTGCCTAACAATGCCAGTAGTAAACACTAGGATCAGTGTTTACAGCCTGCTATTACAAGCAATTAAAGATCAAGTGACTGTTATAAGGATATTGACTGGTTTGAGCTTCTCCAGACTGAAGTGAGTAGGTGAACTGAGAGGCTGTGTTGACACAACTGATTGGCTGTTGGCTAACTGGTCTATTATCTTGTGCTAGGCTGGGTGTGTGTAAATAAACTTATCGTAGGTGGAAGGCACAGTAGCATCACTACACTGGCCTTACTCACATAGACTTACTTACACGTGTCATGAAAATTTGGTAACTTTCTCAAAGTAATATCTGGTTATAATTGAGCGATTATTCAGTGCATGTTCATCGCCCAGTATCTTACAGCATATGAGTTAGCCAGATTGCTCTGTAAGTTAGCAGAAGATGTATATACCTTCCTCTTCTCCCGAATGATTCCTTCATGGAACATGCTGCTTCACCCACAGAAGGAAAAGATTCCTTCTAGCAGCTCATGTGCTGACGACTGGGTTCGGTGTAGCTGGTCATGTTGTCTGGTGTGGGACCGTTTGTTGTCTGGTGTGGGGACCGGACCGTTTGTGTACGTGTCTCAGTCTGGTGTGGGACCGGACCGTTTGTGTACGTGTCTCAGTCTGGTGTGGGACCGGACCGTTTGTGTACGTGTCTCAGTCTGGTGTGGGACCGGACTGTTTGTGTACGTGTCTCAGTACTGTAGTACACAGGGCATTGATTTGTCACAGGGGAGCTGCTTGTTGGGCCACAGTGAAGCTACATCACATTCCCAGGCTCCTTTGTGTCCTAGTATGTGGGCCGTTGAACCTTTGTATCACGCATCATACTGAAGGAAGTTCTTGTAGCCGGCATGTCTATCAGACGAATGGCATGCAGAAATTTCTCCAAAAACTGCAATAAATTGTGTTTTATGTGCTTGTGTATTACGCACTTAAGTTGTTTTCTCACCTACTGTACATACAACATCAATAATGTCATAGTTTTCCTATTATTATAGTTGTACGATGTTTTGGTCCTTGGTATAATTGCAGTAATGTAGCAGCTGTCTTTTGAATTGCATGCACCAAAACTTCAAGAGTTTGTGCCTTGGTTTTGGAGTTTCTTGCGAAGACCTTGCTCCAGAAGGCAGGAAGTGGAACCTCTCTGGTTATGATGTAGTACTCTGCCCAGATATCCACTGGCCACCTCTATGCAAACTTTGGGTGGGCATCTCTATGGCCTCTGGGGATCTTCACCCCTCTATGGTGCACCAGAGAGGGGGCTGCTGTTTCCTCGTTGCACTCCGTGTGCCCTGGAAAAGATGAGTGTGGGCGATAGGGCACCGCCAGCTACTATGGCCACCAGACCGCCACAACCATACACATGGATGAAGTAGTTCCTGTCTTCTGAGTAGCAAATGAAGACTTACCTCTCGCCTGATTTCGTGCCCTGACTAAGTAATGGTTGTTACAGTTTTATTAGGTTCTGTTGTTCGGTTGCAAGTGCAGAAGACTACTCCTTCACTATCTTTTTTTGGTTGCAAGTAATAGCTCATCAACTATCATTTGTTTTGCATTTTTGACAGCTTACCTGCACCAAATGATCGTTTTCCAATTCCCATGCTGTTCTTATAAGTGTAACATGGTGCACTCTCCAAAATAGAATTATGTCAACAATCAGTCTTGAACTTCACTGCAAATGTACCTGCAACACACCTACCCCTGACAATCTCCATAAATTGCGATGTGTAGGAAACTGAAGCTACATGTATGAGTATGTCAATGTAGAGTATGTATGTATGCCGGCTGTGCCAAATAACTTTTGCTCCTGGTTTGTTGCCCTCTATGTCGACTGGTTGGCCTGTGTGGGCTGCAACGATGTCCCCCCAAACCTTCCTGACCTCCCCCCACACACAAACACTTCCCTGACAAGACTCGCCGACCACACGCTATCTTGGAGCCGAGACTCGAGCCAAATCTCTCCTCCGGTCTTGGCAAGTCGCTCGCTCCAATGACATTGCTGCCGGCGGCAAATTGCAGCTTCAAAGCCATTGTTTCTCTTTCAGCCCGTGCCTCCGTTTCGAGTACTCCCACCACTCCTGTACATGTGCAGTCAACCTTACTCTGTACGAGTTGTGTGACATTTGTTATAACTTTCCGCACACAAAGTGTAACAACTTAGCTTAAGCCGCGTGAGATGTTTAACCACCCAGTGTTTATGCTAAAGCCACACTAAATGTTGAACTGGCAGCATTTAGATCGTAACAAGTATTGAAAACGTGAAGAGTACTACTGTATACGTAGCAAGCGCACGAGATTTTTCAGTAATGTCGTTACATTACAGTGGTATGCATTGTATGCTCATTATTGGGTGCTCTTACATTAAGTGCCAAAGCACTGATGGGAAAATCATCAATTTCGCTTTTAGCCGTAATAATATCTGAAGATCTAGGCCATTAGTTATGTAATAGTCTGTCTAGCGATGTGAAAGTTGCGAGGTGCCTGGCTTTGTGGAATTTCAAAGACTCTAAGTGCGTTTTTGTCTGTTGCCATGTAGTGTTTACCATAATAAGTGTTTATGTACATGTTAGGTAGTATTGCAGGAACTGACTGTTTGACTCCTCCGCGGTATGCAATTTGGTGACACACAATACTATGTCGAGCACCGGTACTAGTATATAGTATGACAAGGGGTTTACTTCTGGAGGAATCCCGCGACTGCTCCCAGCCCCTTTGTGTCTGAAGTTAGAGGGCTCGCAGAGGAGAATCCCGGTGGATGCCCGGCATTCCAAGCCAAGAGACAGTGACCTAACTTGCAGCGTTGAGTGGCCTTTGGCTGGCTTTTGTTTGGCTCTCCCTCTCGCGCCCTGGGAGGTCTCCCCTCCTTTGTAGATTTCTCTCCCACGTTGAGAGTGTTCGTTTCTCTCCCTCTCCCCCTCCCCCTCCCCTTCCTTCCCTGGCTCCTTGTTGTCCCGTTTTGTTTCAAGCCGACCATGTTGTGTGCATTGACAGGGAAGAGATGCACAACCATTCATTAGCTAGTGTTTCCCATCCCTAAGTGCTACTCTGTTGGGTTAATGTCTATTTGCAAACAATGTATTTTGTCTACGGGCTAATTAGTGTGGTATAATCAGTAATTAGCCCCGTCCCCAGTGCATACTAAAAAGCTGTCTACTCTATATTGCTACTCTATATTGTCTATATCTCCCTAGAATTACCCGATGATGCTGTAAATTCTTTGTACTCAAGGTGGTCTCTTTCACGGAAAGACCCTCTTTAATGTGTTCTGGGATTTGTTTCTGTTCTTCTGTAGTACAAATTGAACGTGAAAATCCTCATCTCTCTAAAATTCTTGGGATTTTTTTTACTATACTCAAAATGAGCCCCATTTGATCCTTTACCCACCTCCTTCTTCCTACATTCCTCAAAACACACACGTTGTTCTGCGTACTCACCGGCTGTCTGACTGTCCAGATAATATCGGCGGAGGTTGCTGACCTGCAGAGCCACAGAGCTGTCATGAATGCCAAAATGGAGGAACAGAGAAGGAAGCTGATTGACCTTGGCCACCGAGTGTTGCGGGTACATACTAATACCTTCTTGTTCTTACGTCAGTGCCTCAAACTAAACTTTAGGGACAATTGTGAGTACCACATTTTCCATATTTTGCATAACAGTTTTGTCTATCCGCTGTTCAGTTTCGTATCATTCTCTATCCGCTGTTATGGAACTCGTCACATCTTCTCCTTCATGTTTTATGCCCGCTAATGGTGTTTAAAATACCGCTGAGTTGGACATTTAGGGAACCAGCTTGTAGCACAGTTATGCGAAGATTCCAGAAGTTCCAACATAATAATAATTATGCGCACACATACGCTTCCTCTCCATACTATACCTCTGTATTAGTTATACTCGCTCTGCATCATAGCAGATGACATAGATGCGCTGTATTGTGAAACATGATCATGTTCCGAGGCTGAATCTACACGCAATTGAAAGCCAATCTGCCTGTGTTGATATTTGGGCTGATGAGCGACTAACTGCCACTGATCTAATTGTGGCCAAGCTACTATGACTACCACGCGGTGGGAAATGGCGAATCACTCCCAATAAGCCACGTGTGCCGTTGCATTCTTGCCGCAGGTGTCCTTGCGGATTTTTAGCTGGAGCCAGTAATGCGCATTTGATGTAGGAGAACATAATGCCAATTGGAGCCTCCTCTATATTGCAATAACGATACGCATGCATATCATCAGCTATCTGGGCCAGCACTTACACACTTACATTCTCTAATTCACACACCTATGGGGACAAAAGAAAGTGTCCATATTACGGATGTTTACTTATTACTTGGTCAAGAGCTATTCTTGGAAAATAAAAGTAGAAAAGTGTCCTCATTTCAGGTGTGTCCTAAGCGAGACCACCTGTAGTCTTGGCTATATTATTTGGCAGGCTCTGGTGTCGTAGACAAGGTGTTATATGGCAAACATCATCCACTTTGCTGGAAACTTCTCTCAATTAATGAGTGTGTACTGTGTACTGTGTATCCTATGGCAGGTTTAGTTACACACTTTCATTCCAAGATAGCGTTGGACCAATTCTGTTTCCACAGAATGTATATTAAAATTTACAGTAAAGTGTCAGAGTTTTAAGTGAAAAGCAAGAACGCATCAACAAAAAATGCTGTGCAGTAGTAAATGTATGTCCTGGTGCAGTGGGGCAGAAGAGTTCCCTAACAAAGAAACTGTTCTACAGTGCGTGTCGTGATGTACATACATAGCTACGCAGCACTGCAGTTGGCCAGAGGAGGAATAGCGAAACACAGTGTGGAATGCCGTGTGTTTTTGTGAATGGAGTGTGGTGAAGGTGGCCCCTCGTGCTGCCAACGGCGGCATTTCATTAGTGGATAGTTTGCCTGATTAGCAGCTGCAATCATGGGAGTTCCACTGCTCCAATATCTCCGGTTTCTTTCTATTCAACATAAAGAGCTAACCTCGCCATACAACTCACTACTACATAATATTATGTAAGTGAAGACATTTTACTCAGGTTTTTTTCCCGGCACGTAGCTACTGCCCCAAGAAAAATCGTTTTAGAGTAACCTAAATTTTATCCCAAGTAGGAAAGTGTAACAGTCACTTCATGTTTTGAAAGTTATACTTATAAGATATTTTTTCTGAATGGGGCAAGGGAACCCCTTCCCCTGAAACTGAATAATTCCCTGGCCTTGAACTAGTCTCAATCACCAACTCGTGTCCTCCTCATTTTTGTCAATTTTTGCTAAGTTGCACTGTGCCTCCCTTCGAATTTTTCCAGGAAATAGTCCCTCATTTGCATGCATTGATTAGCATAGGTAGAATGTCAGAGTGGTGTGAAAATAGCTAGGGCTGTTACACTGATAGTGTATGGTCCCCAGCCATTTCTCCTGCAGGCCCCACCTCTCAGTGAGCTATCATCCGCCATTCCTTTGCCCACTTTTGGGAAGCTGTCACACGGGAAACGGGCGCGCGACCTTACAATGCACACATACGCGACGTAATCACGTTCGTGGTTGTAGCATGCATGTGGAATAATTTGCGACAAATGTATACAAGCCACCCCTTCGTGAAGCCGCTAACAGGTCTAACGTACTTATGTGGGTTTTCACTTCAATACCTGTCTAGTAATACTAGGCTTGTGTCGGTGGCAGAGTAATGCTTTGGTTTGTGTGTGTGTGTGAATAAGGCTTCCTGAGGTTCACTACGGTAGTGGGATTTACAAACGTTCTTCTCTGCTCCTTTAAAAGGACATTGCTGGGCATATTTACTGCTTTAAAAGGTGCGAGAGGCGGCAGATTAGGTCAACCCACAAGTACCCATACTGCTTACTAAAGGATATGTGGGCAGACCAATTCACCTGAAAACCCGTGTGCTACAGTGGAACCCCTCTAATCTGGACACAAATTAGAGATGTTCTATGTCAGGGGTTAAAGTTGTATGCAAGAAAGAAAAGGTCTCCTCATTTTATAGACGTCCTTAGAGAGGGGTTATAGTATATCATTTGAAGAGGCTATGTAATATAACACCAGATGTTTACTATAGAGATGTGTATTGTGCAGGTGATGGCAGCTCAGGAAGTAGTGAGGAAGAGCGGACATTCAGTTCAACCACAGGAAGAGCAGCTCAGGTTGTGACCTAAAGACACACACTCTATAGTGTATCTTCTAGTGTATCTTCAATTGAGGCACACAGTGGAAACCCCCTCTCCAAGGACACCCCTGAAATGCTGACACCTCTCTAATAAGGACACCTCCTCTTGCATGCGTGGTTGAAGTTTTATGCATAGAAACTGTTCTTGGGGCTAAGAAAAGGTATGTAGGAAGATGTCCTCTGTTCAAGAGGATTCCATTATACTGACATGCATGACGTAATGCGAATTCTAACATCCATTGTCTATGAATATCGCGGAATGTGTTAGCATCTGATGGTGTAAATGCTGGCGGGAAGGTCACACCTGTTGCAAACGTGGAAAGTATGTGGAAAAGCAGCTCATTTCGTGCCACACCACACATTCACTGTGGTCCATGTGACCTACGGAATCCCAGGCATTGTGGACACATACGACGGTTGTGTGTTTGACACTTCCATCTAGTGGCGTGGCTGAATTAAATGCGACCAAGCCTATTGCGGCAGCAGCCTCCACTTTGCTACGTACCGTATCTACGTACATGTTTGGAAATGATTTATAGATGCAGCCTCCGTTTGTGTGTGTGTGTGTGTGTGTGTGCAGGATTCGACTGGAGAGTATGCAAGCTCAACTGGACGCTCCACTGCAATTCAAGGCAAGCAAGCATTATACAGTGGAACCCCTCTAATCCGGACACCACCGTACTACTCTGATGACCTTATTTCAGGAGTTAAATGCACGCAAGGTTATTGGGGTTTTGGAAGGGGAAATTGGTGCCTTGTGCAGTATCAGAGGTGTGCACACAGTAACTCACCAGCGCTCCAGACCTACACCATGTAGCTCTCGCTCTCTGAGTAAACTCACCATAACCCATAACAGACATAACACTATGACCCATATTGGTGCGCTCCATCACCTACCTACACATGTACTACAACTTCACTCTCTAGGGAGTGAATCATTACGATTCTATTTTTAAGGGTAGTATATATGCCGTTGCATAGAGTACAACAGTGTTTGTACGTAAGGTGTGTATACTTGTACTTTGAAAAGGGATTGCCATGGGGAACTTTATACAACTTTCAAAACACCTGTTTTGATAATGGTGCCTGTGAGATAATAGCGGTAAATAGGTAAATAAGCCATAATATGAAGTCACTTCACTGATTTTATGCCACTGTGAGGAATGTACATAATTAGCATAGGAACATAGTGCGTAAATGACTACAGCCTACTCCACTTGAAAAAATCATTTGATTGTATTGGCTGGACATGCCTGACCTCACAGAGCACATGCGCACTGCAATAACCCAGCATTAGAGCTGTTTAGACGTTTAATTGCCACAAGAGTGCACGTCTAGTGTCCTGTGATTGCCCGCTCTTGTACTGCCGTGCCTCGTGTGCAGGTCATAATGAGTTGACACTGGAGGCAGCTTACGGAAGTAATTGGTGTGTGGCCATGTTTGGCCCTGGACAGCTGACTGCTAATGTCCTCAGAGTAAACACCCAATGATGTACCGCTACAAGCGGTATTTGCACACAAAGAGCTTCAAGTTTATTTCCACTCTCTTCTAACAGCTTAATCGGATTACCAATCTGTTTTAATGACTTAACGCTCAAACCTTATACGTACGTAGTGACGTCATGGTATGAACTTGTCACATTACATCGTATGTTTTGGACCGTGATCACTTGTAGCATAAACCCCTCTCGTTATTCAATTACAACTCTGTTCATGAAAAGCTGTTTAGCACGTCTCCTCTGTGCGAGGTGGATTGGAATCCAAACAGCCTTTGGCACGGGAAGGAAAGTACTCTAATTGGCTGCGTGGCCGCCATGTTTAAGAAAACAGGTTAAATTGCCAGTGTAGGAGTTACAAACCTGTTACTGTACGCATATACACTGTACTCTGGGAAGCATAGGGATATTCAATGCCTGTAAAGGGCTGGTGGTTGTCTCTATTTTGAATGATGAGACAGCCCTCTGTAAGCATTAAACACCCAAGGTGTGTATACCTGGATGAATGGGGAAGTATCTTGTGTGACTTTTTTCTCTTTCACTCTTTGCAGCCTGAATAATTATCATAAACCATGTTTTCTGTGAGCTCGTGCTTTAGCCGTTTCAAGCTTAGTTTTGAAGACAGCTCTTTCACGCACTTGTTGTTCCATGTCACTTCTTAGAGATTTCTTTCTCCTACTATAATGTAGTGAAGGGGTTTTTATCCACTGTTTTGCCATATAATACGTAGTGAAGTTTCATCTACTGAATATGTAGGGAGGGAAGTGGGGTTTTATTTTGTCTCTGCGGCTGCAGGGAAGACTGAATGAGCTAATGTCTCAGATTCGGATGCACACCCAGATCCCGGGCAGTGCTGGCAGCGAAGGTAGCTATGCAGTAGATCCTCCACTGATGGGAGACATACAGCAGGTGAGACGGAAATTCTACAGGATTTTGGGACTTGCATGCTAGCAATGTTATTATAATGTCAAGGAAACAAGCGAAAAAAGTTCCAAATTGCGCATTTTGGGACTTGCATGCTTCCCTATATTATTATTGCTGGGTGGCCTGATGAGCATGGTGTGACATTATAATGTATCCTCTACTGGGAATATTGTGGACCAAACTCATCCACAACATTTTCCAGTGGAGTGCGCGTACTGACGTGTATGTCAGTTTCCTTTCATTGCCTGCCGAGTTCCCTCTCTGGAATCTGTTTCTGGCATTCCTCCCAGTGCCTACACACTATGTGTGGCAGAGTACGAATTCCATGGTGCCGTGATATAGACTCACAAACAATCTCCCTTCATGCCCCTTTTAGAATGCGTACTTCCTCGTCTTGTTGTTCTTTTGCAGCAATGTACATAATATATGACACGGGTAGCATAATTGGCGGGCGAAGCTATCCTACCTAGTCATCTGAATTGCGTGGTTTTTCACACACACAGCAGTTCAAAGGTCACTTCGCTCACCAAAGAAGCGTTGGCATTCGTTCTAGTATACCTTTAATGTGTAGGTGCATGATCTGTGTGTGATCCCTGGTGCAAATTCTAGAGGTATCCCTAGGTAAACGGTTCTCGGAATTTGCAGTGACATTGTTGCAGCCAGCCTGCAATGTTAGGGCTTCTGAAACCTACCATTGGTTCATTTGGCAAGTCTGGGTACTATTTACAGCGGAAGACCTTTTCAAGTTCCACCTTCATAGCTGAAAGCTTGTTAGCTGCTCATCAGGTAGAACTTAGCGTTCCTTAGCCTAGCCGCCCAGCTCTTTGGTATAACAACTGGTAATACCATTCCATACCTGGGCACCTTGCCAGCCACTCAGTTTGTGATGTGGGCCGTGTAGACACTCTTCCGAGACCCAACATGTTGGTTTCGCAGTGTTAGCTGGGATGTGGTGGAATTCTTTAATGTCAGTGTGATCAATTTCATACGCACGGTCACCTGTGCCAAGGGAAAGTGAGCTAGCTGTACAACTCCTGTACCTGCCAACCACCAAACCAGACGGCCCTTTCTGTGCTCCTCGGTCGGACCGTACATCAGAGCGGCATTGGAATGCACTTTCGGAATGGCAACAAAGTGCTGGCTTCCTTTTGATGGGCATTCCAGGCAGACTCGCTAGCTAACACCTGGGCCGGGGCGAGCGGTATGGGGGAGCGGCGTGTTGTGGTGTTGGTTTACAGACCGGGAGCAGGGAATGCTTCTCGGGAGTCCGGGGCTCTTTGGCAGCCGGCGAGGAATATCCATCAGAGGGATGCTCTGGTTAAAGTGGGCCGCCGACTTTGAGGTTTGCCTCCGTGCACGACTGCAGCAGTGTGTCGGGGTCTCAGGAACATGCAGGAGTGCCCCGTGGGCTGGTGGATCGGGTGCGCTCTTCACAAACATCTCGGTGTAGCTTGTTTTAGGCCATGAGATTATACATACTAACATCTGCAAGGTATTAATGTCATGCCTATTAAATCTGGTGTGGTTTCTATCACACATGATTCCGTATTTCTGGCAGTAAAATACCTCGGATTCATTGCTTTATTATATCTCATTTACTGCTGATTTCACCTCAAACGAGAACTGAGACCAACTGATGTCAAATTCAAAAGAGAATGCTTACTAGAATGTGCATGTATCTATAAGTGGTCTTTACGGTTGGACAAATAATATACTTGTGGTGGTAGTCGAGGTACTTTGGAAATGCTTTCACCCACCACTCAGAAAGTGTGTACCACTGCACCGTTAACACGAGCACCGTACAAGCTGTAACAAGCCCTCTTGAGCAAAACTCTTCTGAAGCAAAGGCCACTGCTGTACCACTGTCTCGAGACTGCCAAAATACAAGTGTCACAAGGAGAGACTTCAGGTTGCAGCGAGTCTGAAGGACTGAATCACTTGCTGGGCCTCTGTTTCCTATTTTGATGGTATAGAGCATATCAGTGAAGCATCCCATGTTGTCAAATTCAGAACCACTTCTCTCGTTGCTAGTCACCTTCGAATTCTGCGTTATCCTTATTCATTGTGGTCGCCTAGTCGTGGATGGTAAAAGAAGGATAGAGGTCTTCTCCTTGTTCTACCGTTTGATCCACACCCTGTATGTCGTTTAATGGAATGTATCATACTCAACCACAGTGGATTTCGAGTCATGCACACTTACACATTCGGACATTCGCACGTATAGTGTGTATTTCGTTCAACTATTTCACTACACTTGCGGGTGAGTAGAAAATACTTCGGGTTAATTTTGCAACCACTAAACCAGCAGAGTGCCTCCAGAGTGTAGGTGGCCCATTCCCGGGCATAATCAGCAATCAAACGCCCACCATACCACACATATGTGGTCAGATAACAACTTGTTTTCATCCAGTGTCTGGGCTCGAGAAAAAATTTGCATAGCCACAAGGGGCCTATTTAGACTCACTCTTTCGCCTCCAAGTGCCTTCCAGTCTAATGATTGTACCAAACATTAAGATCATAGTTGGCTGTCACTACGTTAAACCAACCGTTTTCCTAGCTATTATGTCACAATCTGCACGCCTTATTCGCAGGCTTACAACAACAGTCTGCGACAAAGTGCTGTGCTTTACTAAAACATGAGCATTACTATGGCCAAATTTCTATGTATACTTGTATTTTTTCGTAGCACTTGGAGCAACAACAAGGAGCCCTGTCCCAGTTGGTGAAGGTCATAAAAGAAGATCTCGATGACTTGAAATGCATAGAGGAAAGTTTTGCACATGCATAACAATCGCTAACTTCCACACTTCCTTTTTCCTCATCACTTGTACATTATTACCCTATTATTCATTAATTGGAACTTCTGTATTTGAATTTAAGTGCCATTTCTGCTGATAAGCATCTTATTATGGACTGATTAATAACTTAAGCTAGTGTTTACACCGTTTCCATGGCGAAAAAGTGAGCAGGGAGCAATAAACTGCCGTTGATTAGATTCATTAAACCCAATAAAAACAAACCACCTATATATAGCACCTACCAATACCATCAAAATAATAAGCCTAACGGACGTATCAGCAACAGCTGAGTTTGCAGAGATTCTCAAATTTGTATATACTGGAGTTTGAAAAAAGAAATGCTAATTTTAGAGAGTTAATGATGGGACAAGATTGTTGTGAGGCATGATTCATTGTTGTTGCAAAAAATTTAGGATGATAGCGTGATTGTGTGACAGATTGTGATGCTATACAGATGGTGTCATATAAATTAATAGAGCTACATTTCTGATTGAGAACTGAGAGATTGGTTCACTGAGGAAGGCGTGATTGTGCATACATTTATACATTTCACGAACACACGAAAGATTGTCAACATAAAAAGAACTTGTCACGGAAAAATGATGATGGTTATCGTTAACACGGTTAACGGTGCTGTCAAAAGAGTGATGGGAGCAGTGATGGGAGTGAAATAAAGTTGGAAAGAGAGAAAAACGAACGAGTGATGTTCAGATAGAGTTCAAAAAAATCCGTTCACCTGTCTTGTTTTGCTATGTAGAGGGAAACACGATTTGCTGATAGATGTATGGAGAGGAGAATGCCGAGCCAAATTCTATGGTGAAGTTGCTGCTCTGAGTCATTGTACTTTGGGAGGGAAATGGGAGAGCATCTCCTTTTATTCATGCAATGATACAGTTCTACTGCAATGGGGATCCGTGCGATTTCGGGTGTTGGTGATATTACCATGCAGTGGGGAGCGCGTGGATTGGCGGAGTGGAGCAGACTGGGTTAGCTGAGGTGAGGGGAGGTGGGGTGGGGAAGGTGACTGTGCCTGTTGGGCTCGGGAACACAAACTGGTTGTGCGTGTTCCACGGTGCGGACTGCGAGTGACTGTACATCCCATGGAACGCCGTCGATGTGGCGTTGTGGCTGGTACATGGGTGGTGCAGGACAAAGCCGGCGTGGGGCTGCTTAGCCATGAGCGCAGTTCCCGGCGGCGTAAGTGCCGATTTAGGGGTCATGAGGACGGAGTTGGTTGGGGAGAGGCTCCCTGGTGCAGGGCCAAAGGCTTGAGCTGACATTGGGTTCATGTGGTAGGGACCTGCCAAGGCTGCATGGTGCCCAGGATGGAGAGGCAGACCTCTGCCGTTCATTAACTCAGCCATTGCCATCTGGTTGGCCTTTTGCGTCCTTCTCCATTTAGCTCTGCGGTTCTGAAACCATACCTGCAGGCACAAAGATGAAGATTCACCTTTCACACGTGCACAAAGGAAATGGATACGCAGGAAGAACGCCACAACAACGCCACAACAAGCAGCTAAAACAAAGCAGCGATATGTAGTTACGTTTGCATACCTGCACACGAGCTTCGGTGAGGTTGATCCGCATCGCGAGGTCCTCGCGCATGAAGACGTCCGGATAGTGCGTCTTGGAGAATGCGGCCTCTAGCTCCTGTAGCTGGTAGCTGGTAAAGGTCGTGCGGAACCGCCGCTGCTGTCGCTTGTTCTTGGAGTCGCCGCTCTCCGAACCCGTGTCCGTCTTGCCGTCCGAAGACTCGGAGAGCTTTCGCTTTTCCGGCGATGCCGGATGGTGGTCGGCGAGTCCGTTCGTCGTCAGAGCCGTTTCCCGCGGAGAGTCGGAGAGTTTGGGGCACTTGATGTCTTCGGGCATTTCGGTGGGAGAGTGTTGCATAGTTGCTACGGGCATTGTAATCGGTGAATCGCTTTCCAGGTTGGCGGTAGACTAGGACCGTCACGAGTGCAGGCTCGACACTTGCAGAAATGAAGCAGGAAAAAATAGGCGTTGAGTAGCTAAGCAGTTGAAACTAGGCGGGCGCTGCAGGCTGAATTTTCTGCAGCCGGCTATCTACCTCAGGGAGGAAGAAAATCGTCGACGAAGGAACCTTTTGCAAATGTTTGTTGCTGTTGTCTCACTTCTTGTAGACGACGCGGCAATGACTTACTACCCCCGGCTGCTCAGCCAGGCTTTTATAGCGCCCTGCGACCTGCAGCGCAGTTGGAATGCAGCGATTGGAAAAGGCCACCGCATTCCTTGCGCTTTTCCAGCCAGCGCGTCATTGTAATCCGGTCGGCATCGGTTAACAGGCTGTGGTCTTTTATGGAAATGCAGAAACTCCCAATTTCACAAAGCAAATACCAGAATGCAATAATCTCCACTGAACAGCGAATAACAATAGCTCATAATAAAATGGAGGTAGTAAAAAAAATGCCAGTCTTTTGCAATCAGTGGGTCCACATCTCTCCTTCACTCCCTCTCCATCTCTTCTCCCTCCCCACACACAACCTCACTCTTCCTCACAATATGTCCAGATATTCTTGATATGAGTGATCTTTTTGGCCTCTCCTGTTTCCCCTAAGAAACAATGCCATGTTGTGCACTGATAACCAACAACAACCACCAAGTGAGCTTTGTTTGTTTAAATCAGCTGATACAAGCTAATTTAATTATTCTATCCCAACCAATTAAGGCTAATTAGCAAGCTTCCTAGATATATCTTCTAGGTCTGCTTTCAGCTATGTATATACCGGAGTTGGCTGTTCTCCAGCTCCACTGTGAGTTCTGGTGAAGTGTCTCATCATAGACTGCTGTAGTGGGTGAGAGGCAGTAAGAGAACAACAAATGTGCCCCAGTTCTCTCTATAGCAAAACTAGGGCTGCTTCACTGAAACACCATAAGTTGCGTCTCCTGGGGCAGTTTTGATAGTGGCTGAGACCTATTGTAACTGAGGCATTTCCACTCCTTTCATTCGTGCATTGAGTCAGAGCCCATCAGAAGTGGCCACATTAGCACGCCATTAGCAGAAGACCACATGTATACCAATATCAACCCATTCAACAATCACACTCTTCACACTACCCCACCGAAGCACACACACAGCGAAACTAGCCCATGATTCCTCAGCTCAATTTGCACACCAAGACATTCTTTCAGGCTCTCTTTCCAGTATGGAAGGAGCCCACACTATCTGCACTGAGGATACTTGGCCACTAAAAAAAGCCCAGGTTTGGTAAGGCAATTCATTAGGAGCTGAAACCCAGCTAGGGTCTGTTTGTGTTGGAGCACCACCACAATTTTACCCACAGTCGATAGCCTGGCCAATGGCTATTCACCAAAGAATGCACATGGCAAAACAGAGAGAAAGCATCTACCTGTATATACACACTGAACTAGAAAAATGTCAGAATACCTCTGTTTTAACCAGGCATAAAACATAACATCTGAGAATCTTACTAAATTCTGACAAACATTATTGGTCGATTATCATTAAGGAAAAGGTTTATTCGAAGGAGGGAATTCTCTACTTTCTAACAGTGTACACTAGTTGGAGCTCTTAATTAAGAATCACAACATAGAGATTAACAATTCACCATTATCTTCTCATTGAATTATGACAGCAAAATAAACAGACTACTTACTAACACAAATTCACCGCCTGCAGACTGAAACAAGGATCAGTTGCATGAAATTAAAGGGTCCACCCCCATCAAAACGAATTCAGCAACCCGTGCAATGTGCATGTACACACCAGCGCATAATGTTCCGGTGCAACCATATACAGGAATGCCAAATGTTTTGCAACACGTAGGCTACAGACTTGTACCCTAGAACTTGCTGGCAAACTTTCCCTCTGCCACACAGAATTGGGGACACGGATCTAAGCTGCATTGCTAGCCCACTTTGACCGACAGAGAGGCAACCACACCGTCTCCGCTAACAACCTTACTAACAGACAAGTGGGGGGCTGTAAGCCAATTACGTCTGGTATAAGGCAAGACACCGCATACAAATCTTGTACACATAGAGCGAGGGGAATGTTTTGTGTACAGTTACAAAAGCCTACTTGAGTCACGGTACAATAATGTACATAGATGGTGTCCTGCAAATAGCACCAGCCACCGAGACTCGAGAGCTTGGCACTTGCTTGTTAAGTGAAGAGGGGGCAGAGCTAATTGGCAGTGGAAGCATGGGTTCACGGGATTTAAAGGACATTCAAGAGGCAAGAACTAAGTTAACACTGCTAATTCGCAAGCACCAGTAATCCTGGTTTCCAGACAATTGGCTGGATCGTGTGATTATACAAAAACGTCACGGTTAATAAACAACTATAATATTATTCCATGTTGGACACAAGGCATAGCAACAGCGAACAAAAATAGAAGTGAACCCCTGCAGTGATGGTACTATGGACAAAATAGTCCATAATTTACACCACATAAAAGCCTCAGATATAAAGACCCTGTTCTCGAGACTGGCAGTGAAACAACAGCTCTTATCATCAAAGAGTTTCCTAATTGTCCAAAACAATGGCGCTAATTCTATAACAGTCTCCATGAGGACCAGAATGAAAGCGGCGTACGTCCATATACGTATCATTAGGAGCATCAGCAGATGTACTGTTCCCACGCAAGGCTATATAGTAACAGGGCAGTCTGGAGAGAGTGACAACCGCTAACACAATAGGCTCCTTGAAGTGGTTGGACTCGATATCACCATTCTCAATCACTCACCTGGTTTCAGGTTGGTAAGAGTTTGCAGCCAACTCGATAAGTGCGTTAGTTGGCCAAACGGAGAACATCAGAGGTAGGCAACGTCAGACTATAAGGTCACACTCCTCTAACATAGCTACGTCATTAGGGACTCTATTAGGAATACCTGGCCCCATTACACAGCATGGGCTTTTACCTTATCAACTTATGCAATAATAATATGTACCCTAACATAAATACATTGTGTGTTATAGCATTATACAGTGTTTCACCCTGGGGTAATAACAGATACATTAGGGGCAGTGCTCAGTATAATATAACGACAGGGAGCCCCCTCAAAATGGGTTGAACTTGCCTTGGTAGAGAAACTGGCACTGCAGTCACTCCGAGTGCACCTGAAAGGCCTCTCTCGCTTGTGAAAAGAAGCAATGTGTTGCTGGAGGTTGTATGGCTGCACGAGACAATAGCCATTCAGGAGTGAGTGAAAAAGAGAGGGAAATAGATCTAAAAAAACACATTATTGTATTTCTCATTATATACAAAGTTGACCAGGTGCAAACACAGCTTTTGTAGCATTACTGTACTGGATCTGGGTTATCCACACCCACGATACATGTTTTAGCGATCGCTCTAGGCTTTGAAATACAGACTACAAGCTCAGGGGGGTGTGATCAAAAGCATTTCACCGATTTTTATGCGTTAATGAATAGTTTTAAGACATTTGGAACACATAAACCTGTTAGTAGAACAGCACTCCATTATATGAAATACTGAAAATAACTAAATATATTGGATGGAACAATAAGCATGTATAGAGACTCGTCTACAAGCGGTTATTCAAGACATTGTCGGGAGCTACAAAGGAAAGGATTAATGGCATCTTTAATGGAGAGTCGGTATTTTGAAGTGTGTCATTAACGCCAGCATAGCTCACACATTAAAGGCTCGATCTGATGCTACTGGCAAACAGAGTACAATTCAGGAAGAGGAAGGAGATTAAAAAAACTAAAGACAAAAAGTTTGGCCCCTCCACGAGGAGAAATAAAAGCAGGATACTCGAAGACGATGAAAAAGCTGAACATGCTGAATGGCTTGCATGTCCCGTTGTCTCTTCACAAAAATCATTGATCATGGATGCTCAATTGCGTGGTTTTCGTCATTCAGACAATGTTGTTTTAACTTTACTCTTTACAGTGGAATTAATGTAACTTATTTCTGGTGAGCGACCACAAGCAGTACAATTTTCATGTGTGTACATATGAATAATCACGTAAAACAACACGGTATGTGCAGTGCCCACCACAACATAATAGAAAAACTGTTCAATTCAGAGGACTATGTATCCTCGCTTCATTAACCAATTATATGGCAGCCACAGCACGTGAGCCACAAGAACAACTACCCAAACAACTCAAGCCAGATGAATTCTGAATTAGCAGTTACATAACAAAATAATTATAGGACTCAGTCTATGAGACTCCTAATAGAAACCCAGGCAAACTCCCAGCAATAATACTAAAAAGAAGCATTTCCTTTGCCAATCTCTGCATTCACCCTTCATTCGGCATATCCGCCATTTAGCAAACAAACTTAAGCACACACAACACATGCCAAGCATGGTTCGAATTCTTGGGTACACGAGTACAGGCTAGTGGACCGTGTTGAATTAAGAGTAGTGTTCATACCACCGACATACGCAGTTCGGATGGAGCTACATTTGTGGTGTGTGTGTGCGCAGCTCGGCACATTACACCGCTTGTGGAATGCTTGCTATTTCCGTGAAATTGATGCAAAAACAAATGTGCCCAAGCAATTCATCGCCAAATATGGAGAGTCTGGGTAAGAGTCCAGGGCATCAAGTTTTGTTAATGACAATTCCGGCCATTTCGGGTGCATATTTTCCCCCAATGAATATAATACATTTCGGCACGGTTGTTTACAAGAGCTAGCAGGTCAGTTTCCAAACAGCCACTAGCACTAAGTCTCGTACTAGCCCGGGACTACCTCAGTTCTATCCCAACCACATTAGAAAAACTTGAAGTCATGAGGCCTTTCTGGCGCATTGCTCTAATAGTAGTCCTCTCCCCCTTGCTCCAGCCAAGAGAAACATCCCTCTGCTCTTTTGACTGCTCCTACGAAATTGCCCATCACTTCTAGAAGACTCGCACATTTAAGGGACGCTCAACATCTCTATGTTACCACCACATACATCAGTGGGTTATGACTGTTAATGCCACACTTGCAGGTGTACGTCACTTTCCGTAACAGACAAATCTTTTTCCTGACAGCATTTGTGAGTGCCCAAGACTAAAGCGCTTCAAGCTCTACATGCTCGTGATATGTTCAAACTGCCACGGGTGTTGCTGCAGCGGGCGATGTTTGTATTCTAACCTGACACGTCTCACATTTCGCTGCTCACTCTCTAGTACACAAGAGAGGTGGACCACCCAGATGACAGTGTTCTTAGCAGGAAACTGCCTTGGCCACTGGAATCTGGAGCTGCGACCGCCGAGAACAACACGACACTCAATCGATGATCACGTCGGTGCAATGCCGCGCATGTGCGGCCAGGAATGAAAACACATTTCGATCTCGAGTAAGATAATTAGCGAAAATATCCCTCAAACGTCCGTAAACACATAAAATACTCACAGGTAATACACAGAGACTATGTAATACGGCCCAGGTCCGGGTGTGGCACTCGAATTAGCACCTGAAATACACCTACACTCTTCTCGACTCTAAAAGAGAATGGTGTGAGATTGTCATACATACTTCAGTAGGCGATGGCCACTGGCTGTAGGAAGGAAAGGGAAACCCAGTTTTGTCCACTCATAACAATGCCTGAATTTTACATGAGACATAATAATTATGCTGGTAATTTTTCAACTGTACGGTATCGGATTGCTAGGTACCACAAGCAAGACTAGTGGCACAATGGGGAAAAGGAGGCCGAAGCTTGATTTTTAAGCACATAGATAACGTCGTAAGGGAGCAATCACTGGGGGGAGTATGAGAGACTGGCACAAGACCATTTTGTATATAGTTGTACCTCGGTCTACAGGACTTTCAGTCACTATGCCTGCACGAGCTTTATCCCTGACTAAATTCAAACCAGCTGAGATTTTAGCACATCTTTTGCTTCTCTCCCACACACACACACACACACAACCGGTGGGTGCATTAGTGGTAAGAGAACCTATCAGTATTCAGGAAAATCAGAGATTCACTATATAGCTAGTCCCTACTGCTAGATACCATTTCTCTCAAACAAAACACCGTGTCTGACGGAGGAACAACGTAGAGTGTTTTTCCAAGGCTTCCCTGGATCAGAGCAGACATCTGCACTGCGGGTACGGGACATGTGCTGCACGAATGCAGTCCCTACGCTGGACAGCTGACGTGGGCTGCAAGTTGGCTACATCAAGTACTGCACAGGTGTCCACTTCACCTTTCTTCAGTCATCCCTCCATTGAATAGGTTGATTGATGGTGCTCCGTGCACAGTATATCATCTCTGAATTAAGCAACTTGTTTTATCGTTATGCAACTGTTATTTCTGATGCACACACCATGCAGGAAAGATACGCAAAAGGAAGTTTACACGAGGAAAGAACAGTGGTCAGAAACGTCTCCATTATTAGAGATGATCAACATGGGTAGTCACAAGGTGGATGGGGTACCTATGTATACATGTTTATATCACAAGACTACTTTGTGCAACAGAGCACACTGAGTTTGTATGCACACATTAGGACCCGCAATGGAATTCTCCCACAGGAAGTGACATTCCAGCAGCAAAGGAAACAAAGACACATCCTGTGAGCTCATCTCACTACTACACACGCAACCACCCAACCACCACCAGCCTCCAGTGAAATGCCTCCAGTGAAATGTCTCCCTGTCACTGTGCATCTGTCCTTCGCAGACTGCCACACAATCGAAGGAAGTGGTTTAGAACCTCAGACAGAGTGTCCTCTGGTGGGTGGTATGAGGGCAGCTACAGCCGCGCTTTCTGTAGCACCATCTTCAGTATAATATACATAATATATAGCACTGTCTTCTTCCAACCCTCATCTTCAAAACATTCATTCTACGAATACTATGGCAATACATAAGGGCTAAATTTAGAAATGTTGCTAAAGATGGATGAAGTCAACATTTTCTAAATTTAGCCCTTACATATGGCCACATATGGCCATATTATGCTCAGACTGAGAAGAGTCCTCACGCAGGACTATTCATCAGCAATGAGTTACAAAGAAACTTCCCCATTCCCTTCTAATATTGCTCAGTGTTGAGGCTTTTATGGCAAAGCTCTACCATTTGTCTTCTTTTACTCCTCCATATACTGCCTTGCTGTTAATTGAGGCTTTTACTCCCAAACGCAAAACGCGAAAGAGCTCTCATTTTACATGATTCAATTATGGCAAAGGGTACAGCTGTCCCTTGGATGATCAAACCTGGCGGGTAAATCATGTACCTAACGGGGAAAATGCTATAATTTTCAAACCACAGTTCTAGTGTACGTGACGGATAATTCCACGCTTATGCCACCACAGAAGGTTGCGTGTGCCAAGTGCGTAGTTTTGCATCTGCAAGTTAACCCAAGTGGCACCTGAGTTTAAAATATTTGGTGAATGAACAGACTTCTAAACATCTCAGGCGTTTCATGACCGCTTGTTTCGGTGGTCAAATGCCTACACATGATATCCCAAAGAGAAAGGAATTGGAGGAAGTATCTACACTTACCACTGCCGTTTATGGTTCTTACAATTGTACCGTAGTGGAAACGCACATGTGCGATGTCATGTATGTCATGTCTAGTGTGCATGCATGTTGGTGTATGTGTTGTTGTAGTGTGTGTGTGTGTATGTGTGTGTGTGTGTATGTGTGTGTGTGTATGTGTGTGTGTGTGTGTGTGTGTGTGTACTGTTGAACACCACTCCTACGCACTTCATACCTACCGCTTTCAGTGTGTGTGTGTGTGTGTCAACCTACCGTTGTGTAGAGACGTTTGCAGCCGCCTTCAGGGCAGGCAAACACTAGTCTCGATGGAGAATGGGTGGCCATATGCAGCTTCAGCTGTATGAGAGAGACCCGGGTTGATAAAATGAATCGACGTAAACACGCTGCCATCGGCCGCAGACTCACATAATTCACGTCCAAAGTAATTGAACAATTAAGTGAAACACTCAGATATAGCGCCACACACATGTACACACACATACACATGCTTGAGAGTAAACACACACGTCGAGGGTTAACACTATTTGCGGTTGAGCCAGCGTCACATTGCGTCACGTAATAATAATAATAATACATTAGATATACCTGGCGCGCCCTGCTGAATGTTTCTTGACAAACCTCACACACTGGGAAAGGAGAACACACAATGTCATCACCGCAACTATCACAGACTCCATGGCTATGGGTAACCGACCCTTTGGGTGTGTGGGAGCATGTTTCCTGAGGTCGGACCACTTGGCAAACACCGCACCGCATTCCTCCTCCGGACAAACATAGCCTGCAAAAGAGAGTGAGTGGTCAGGAGCTACATGTTCCCCCTCTCTCAGCTCCCCCATATACCAAACCACTGATATGGGCGCCAGACCCCCCAATTTGGTCATCTAATTGAGTCCTCCACGTCCAGCAATGGAAGACCTCTGCCAAAGCTTTCCGCGGGCTCGAGATTGCAGAGTGTCGTGGGTTTGAATCTCACCAAGGGAAGATTTTTCGTAAGAAAAAAGCGTAGTTGCTTTGCCATTGCCTTGTGAGGGGACCCCTTGCATGGATGTATTGGCTTATCTTCAACCACCATACACGTTGGTCTCTGTGACCATAGAAAGAACCTTGCAAGAGCTGCATACGTAGCACAATTGGTGAACGAGGAGCGAAGCGAGTCTGCCTGATCGTCTGAATTGCAGCAGTTTTCCAAACGACCAACCGTGCATCATGACAATGCACATGTGTGAACATCACGTATATGCATTCGTTCTAGTACAAAATGTGCTTTTGCAGGCAAAACAGACTCCTATACTGTCACTTAAACACTTAGGTTCAGGTCCGTATTTCAAAACCGCTCCTACATTTGGTAGGTGTGAAAGACCACAATGGACAGAAGTATGGCACGTGTTTTTGCAGCAAACAGGATTTCAAATGGTGGCAAAATGAACAAATACGGATGGTAACCTAGGAAGCTCATGTGTTTACTTCAAACATGTCCACTGAATGTTGAGGTCCTGATGTTTTTATTTGGCTCGACCCCGTGAACCCATCCAAATTGAGTGCAAATAGCGCTGATATCAAGCTGCCACAAATCCTCAGTAAAGGAAAACAGTGAAGGGGATCCCGAGACAGTGTGACTCCTCCCAATATATCTTTTTTAATTGCAGGGGTGAGGTCAGTGGCCCTACCTCTGTGGGTCTTCTGATGTTTCCTCAGTGCACTGGGTGTCTGAAAAGACGCTCCACAGTCTTCAGTGTCACACCTAGAGTGAGACAGAGCTTCCGAAGTAAAGAAATGGTGTAGTGTTAGATATTATATATATATTAGCAATTGCTTGTTTTGGTGAATAAATGTGAGGGAAAAACAGCCCAACAAACTACCTTGGCTATAGCTGGAGAGTGCAGTGCAACCCACCCTTGGGAGTGACTTTGGAAAATATAGTCTCCCATACTTTGTGATAAAATAGGTCTTCTTGGCAATAGTTAGGATTGGGGTGGTATGTGGCCATGCTGACCTACCCTACTATTTTCAAAGTTAGATACATTATATTTCAGATGGCTTTCAAGTTCAATCTTGAAATTACGTTTTCTCCCTCCAAAGTTTCCCACTGCACTCTATGTTACTACCAGAGTGTCAGCTCACAGAAAGGGAAGAGTTCCAGTGTGTTCGGCCCTGTGAACTGCCAGCTGAGTGTGTTTCCTGTACGACGCGCCACACTCTCTGCAAGTGTGAGGCTTGGGGGTTGTGTGTGTCTTGGTGTGTTTCCTGAGGCTCTGCACAGAGCGGTACACTCTGTCACACCCTGGATAAGAACATCTGAGGCAGGAGAGCAAGAGGTGGGGAGGGTAGGGGGGGTAACAGGGAGGGCAGAAAGAGTTGAGTGTTACGTAGAAGTATTTGCTAGTGTATAATAATTACGATTAATTCATGGTAGAGGTCAGTATGTACCACATAATAGTCTATCTACAGTGCAGTTTTTAGGGGGTAAATCCCCCCCTTGAAATTGTAATCTCGATGCACTGGCAGATAGAAAATAGATTCCTGTATATACTTGTGTTCCTCCTTGGTGTCTGAGTGAGTTAGCAAGTGTCTCTTCAAGTGGTAGGACCTGATGAATGCCTTATCGCATCCAGGGTGAGTGCAAACGTGAGGTCTCTGGATAAGGAGTCACAAAGGGAGAGCAATGTTACCCACACACAAGGAGAGGTTATACAGCTACCACCCACAATGCCGCACCTGTAGCACGTGCACCGCGTGACGTACATTCGTAGTTTCGCGCGTTTTTATAGCAGGAGCGTAAGTAAGGCACCGTGGTACGTACCTCTCCGGTGTGGGCCGAGCACTGATGCTCCTTAAGACGCCAGAGCTTGTTGAAGGAAGCGCTACAGCCGGGAAAATCACAAATGTGCATGAGCACTTCGTTGTCGTCACGCCCCGAGTCTCGTGGGTCAACGCATGCGCACTAACACCTTCCACGCGCGCATGCGCGTTCAAAAATAACGCAGTGCATGGGAACATCAATGTTATCACAATACGTAGTTCTTATGTCTCTTCAGGTCTTCGTTGTTTAACCTTTATCTCTCGGCTTGCATGTTCACCTATACATCAATAAAGACATAATTTCTGCATTACATGTAGTATAGCATACCTTTTTCTGTGGTAACTGGCCCTCTTTGAATCGAGAAGGCTTTGTTGTCTTTGAAATGAACCGCTCTGCATAAAATAATGGTAAAAAATTATGTATAATGAGCGAATGAGATATTGCAATACCAGGATAAGACTCTCTCTCTTGTCGTCTTTGCTCCACATGAGTCTCAAGTATGGCTTGAGCCTGTTGCGTAAACTTACATCATCATGTACGAAAACGTCGTAGTATTAACCTTCTGTTTGCCTAGAATTCTGTCCGGCTCTATTGCAAGTTCTGTATTTGCAAGGTTGTTCTTCACCGACTGCGTGTGAGAAATCATTAATAATTGAGATCTGTTTGTTAGCAATGGAGGGAGTGAACCTGAGAAGCTGTGGATCTGGCATGAGGAGGTAGTGAAGATTGGTAGGTACTGTCATTGAACTGCTCAGGGTGATTCTTTGACGGCAAATATTTTAACCTCCAGGAGTACCGGTTATAATAAAAACACCAGGAATGCACATATGTATATAAGTTGTCTTACGTTCTGTGGGTGACCAAAGTGTAAGATCTCTCTATCAATGAACACGCTGCACCAGGTTTGCAGTGGATAGTGCCTTCTATGTAGTCTTTAGGCATATCCAGAGCTTCCTTGGCAAAGAACTGTTATATACAACACCTAAGTTTTAGTAACTAGCTATGCACTGTTCTGCTCCTACTCACTCGTTCTAGTTGTTGCCAGTTGCCCAGTTTCGCCTGCAGGGAAGTTCCGTTTGAGAATGAGTACATTTCTATCTGCTGCGGGTAGTAGCACGAAAAGATGCCGGCCACTAAATAGCCATTGGAAAAATCTCTGCAAAAACATGCAACGATCGCATTTTGCAAATGTAGCCACTACGTTTACCTTCGCACATTCCTGATGGGACAACTAAGGTCCAGGCTTTGCAACCACTTGATAACTTCCCTCGGCAAGCCACTCATCATTCACTCTTCAGCTCTGTGTGCATGCTGGCTCTGTATGGGAAGTTAGTTGCCATAGCCACGCAAGTAGAATGGGCGGAGCTCGTGTCTGCAAACTCGCGCATGCGCATATCCAATAGTAGTCTACTTACTTCTCTATACACACGGTATGCAGGTATATATACCGCTACAGTTGGTTAAAGGCAAACTGGGTGCACAGAGCAATGTGATCAGAAGGGTATGTCCAACCAGGCATGCCATTTTCTCCAATATCCCCTTCGGTGGGAATCTCCCACACAGCTTTCACCTGGAGCTGCCCAACTGTGTACCAGATGTAGTCTATTGTATACTTGGACACCTTCCCTGGCCTAAATTTCCAAGATGTCAGTGGTGGCTCTTTTCCTCCGGAGATAAAGTAAGAGCTCTCGAAAGACTCTTTGAAGAGTGTATAGACTGGCTCATTCGGTTGTGCATTGAAGTCACCACACACCACCCCAGGTAGTCCTCCACAGAACTTCCTCATCTCAGAATAGAGATGAGCTCCTTGTGCAGCTCGGATGTCGACAGCTTGTGCCTTGGCTTTGAGGTGGGTCACTGCCACACACAACTGCCGTGGTTTATGATCTACAGAAACAGACTCCCGTAGCTCCAATTTGACGAGGATTGCAACCTGGTTACTCTCTTTACTATCCTTGTTATGCAACGTGAGCTCATGTTTGTCCAGACAGGAAAACTTATCGGCCTTGTAAAACAGGGCACATCCATCAGGACCACTATTTCCCTCGACTTCAAGACAAGGAGAAGAGGGCTTGGGCTTGAAAAAACCTTCAAACCCATTTTCCTTCAACTTTGGCTGAAAGAAGTCAGGGAAATGGTCCACTTCCTCCAAGCAGACGACATCAGCTCCAGATCGAAATATTTCCTTCAGGAGTTCATCCTTTCTATTCTCCCATTTCAGAGCTTCCTTGGGCGCCTTGATGAAGTTTGTTGTACTATCTGAAGGTGACAAAGCTGTAGCAGGATTGTGGTAAGAAGGCAGCAATAAAAGAGGATTGACTTACCATCAGCTAAGATGTTCCATTGCATTACAGTGACCGGTGTAAGGTTAGACCCACTTCTTGTGTCACACTGGATCCACTTTCTTGACACTAGTTTACTTGCCATGCTGCTGTGTATGCTGCACTGTGACTTTTAGCAAAATGAGGGCGTGTCACGAAAAAGAAAACGAGCACAGAGCATGCGCATGCGCTGAACAAGGCGTGGGTGTACGACGAGTCCAGCTGATGCGATGGCCAGCGCCCTAAAGTTTCCTGCAAAGCTCAGCGAGGCTACTGAAGCCGGAGACAAGTTCGTGCGACTATTCTACGAGACTTTCGATAAGAGAAGACAGGTAAGCGTCTGGTAAAACGGTTTGAGTTTCTAATAAGTGCACACCACGATTGCACAGGTCATCAAAGGACTGTACTCGGAGACGTCGTTTCTGGTGTGGAACGGGCACACAAAGTCCGGAGTCGAAGACATAAATACCTTTTACCAGAACCTACCCAGCAGCCAACACAGCATCCAATCATTCGACTGTCAGCCAGTTTCAGGTTGGTCGAGACTTTGTTCTCTCTGTGCTGAGTGTTAGTGTCCACTTGTGCAGATGACCACAGCCAAACGACTGTGTTGGTGTGTTGTGAGGGAGAGGTGTGTTACGATGAACGCCAGTCAAACCGCCACACTTTCTCTCAGAACTTTCTATTAGTCAAACAATCAGATGTATGGAAAGTTGGCAGCGACTGCTTCAGATTTTTAGAGTAATTCTCTTCCTCTGACTTCGGTATTTCTTTCAAGTTCGTGCGAAATCCAATTCAAGTGTAGGTGTGCCTTGTGGGTGGTAGAGCACTCTGCTTGTATATTATACTACAGTGTCATTGGTTAGAGTCTCACCCCGGGCCACTCTTATTTCCTTGAAATAGTATTGTCGTGGGCATTGTTGAGCTGCTTTTTCTTCATAATAATTATGATTCATGCAAAGAATATGTGATTAGACAACAAAGATCTTTCCCCGGCATTTGGAGCAGTGGAAAGGTAGTCTGAATGGGTCCTCCAGAGCCCGAGCTCCGAAGTGGAGCAATCTGCGACTGAGCGGCGAGAGAGAGGAGCCCACACCACCTGCCCCGCTGAACCTGCTGTGGTGTACCAGATCCTCATCCGTCAGCAGCAGTTTGGCAGGGGTGGGGTGGTCTCTCTGTTGGTCCTCTGGGCATTTCCCCTGTAGTTCACTACCTAGTGGAAAGATTTGCACTAACTTGCAATCAGATTTAGTCATCTAGTTGCTATTTGTTAAGAGGCTTGAGTCTTTCCTACTATAGCAGCTCAATTGAGGTCAATGTACAGCACAGATATTTAGTCCATGCTGATCGTGATTGTGAGCTCATGTTGACAGAGTGTATGTGGAAAATGTGGTTTTGGAAAGCAAGTGGACATGCCACACCCTACTATACACCCTGTGTGTGAGGATACACATTAACCATTCTTACATCCTCAGCATTGCTTACTCTGTGAGCCAGTCTCTCTCCAGCAGTGGGTTTCATCACACGTGGAACTGAGGCTGCCACGCTCCGGTTACCATCATCTGATTTCCCTGTTGTGACTCTGGACAGCTGAGAAGCCAGGTCTCTGGAAGCGACTGTATTGCCATGTGCCAGATCGAGGACTGTTGCATTTGCACTGTCGTCTGCCAAGCTTGGGCCTGCAAACACAAAATGACCCATCACACAGCCACTGCATACAGCAAAGACTGTATATACCAAAACCAAACACATAGGCCAACATACTTACACCGCGACACACCTTGTGTTAATAGAATAAGTCCAGTGCTCATCCTAGCCAATAATTTAAGTGCATGAGACTTGTCTTATGCAACAAAGTTGTGTGTATGTATACCTGATGAGGCATATGACTGAACTGGTGAGACTGCAGCAACATTAGCTGCTCCTAACAAATGATTCGAGCAAGCTCTCGGCTTCAACCTCTCTAGCTCTGTCAGAGCTCTCTCCAAGTGAGCGTGAGACTCCAACAGTTCGTGGCCAATGTCCTCCCTCTCGTGTAGCATGTACTGCAAGGCTTTATGGGTCTCTCGCAGCTGCAGAGACAGCTCGGCTTTCCAGCTGGCTAGTTCGTCGATCATGACCCGACTGGCGATGAACTTGCTGCGCCAGATGTCACACTCGATGGCGACTTGATCTAGCTCCTCGTGGTTGCTGGCCACATGCTGGAGCGAGAGACTCAGATCTTGAGAGAGCTCGGCTTTCTCCTGCAGAATCTGCTCGAGGCGAAGCTCCAAATCGCTACCTACTGAAGCAACTAGAAGCCTCTTGAGCTCTCGGTTCACTTCCCTCTGTGCTTGCAGCAGAAACTCCAACTCTGACATATCCAATGCCTCAGTTGACTGACGAGTACCGAGTGTGTGATTCCGTATAAGGGGTGGCATAGAGAGTGACGGTGCAAGTGGGGCTCTTGAGTGATGAAATGGTCTGACGGAGGTGTGGGGAATGTTCGATTTGAGCTCCAGAGGTGGGGAGAGCCGTGGGTCCAACTGCGAAGAGGAACTTCTGCGTGACATTGAATCAGACTCACTGCACGAATCACTCCTCTCACAGCCACGCTCTCTCTCTGCTATGAAAGACAGGAGACGATAGTAAGTACCTGGTACTGCTATTGTATTATACTATACAAACCTGCCATGTGTTTGCTCCTTCCACCAGTGATGGGCTCGGCGCTGGCTTTCAGTTTCCTAGATGCAAACTCATACTGAATTGCGGTCAAGTGTTGTGCGGGCTTACCGTTTTGTAGATCGCTCATCACGTTGTATCAGGTGATGAGCACGTCTCAAGTACTACAAAATAGAGCAGGGAACGCAATTCGCCACAGTCCGACCATAGCTATAATACTTTACCCATGTATGGTCTGACCTGACACACCAACATTTTCTACGTTCACTTATTTAATAATGCAACTATCTCACCTTCTTTTTCAAATCTATTTCACTCATAATCCTGGGGAGTTCTAGTATAAACACCTCACTGCAAGCTTGTGAGGAGAAAGTCGCCGGGCGCGGACGCGAGCAAAACTCTAATAATAGCCCACCTAGTCAGCTGCGCGTGCGCGCGGGATCGGAGGCGGGGCTAGCGATCTATATAGCATGCAGAGATCGCACTGCAACGTACGTGTGGGTGGGAACGGCGTGGTATGGTAATTGCACAGCAGCTTAGTAAGCAAAGTGTGTTGTGCAGTGCCATTGGCAGTTAGACCAGAAAAAGAGCGTGAAAATCCCACGTAGCTGTTCAGTACGAGGCCCGCCCCTGCGAAAACGATCATCGCTTTCAAGTCAGTGAAAACTGTGGTGAGTACTGACCGTTACTAAGATGCACTACACCTGCAGCAGGCTAACTTATGCGTAACTGACAATTTAGCCGCTCCATATAGCAGTGACAACCATGAAACTAGGGTTTGTTTACGTTCTGTGTTTGATTTGTGCCGCCGGGCACTTATCTCAAGTGTTTTCAAGTGGCGGCACGCCCGCCTTCAGCTTTGACGTGCTCTTGGACTCCTCCGCCTTTCAGACGGCGGATAGCACAGTGTATGATTTCGGTCCGGGAGATGGATACGACCTCCTCTTTACCGACGAATGTCCAAACAACACATTCTCGATAGACCCTAATACTGGAGAAGTTGTGACCGCACAACAAGTAGAGTTTTCAGTGGAGGAGCAGGAGCCAGTGTGTGTGGATACATCGCAAGGGAACATCATTTCTATCCAGACGTACAGTTGCTTTGTAGTGATCGAGACCACCACTCAGTCTTACGGTGTTCTCATGGTAATCCACGTATTACCCAATTCACCAAGTGTACAGATCCAATTTCAGCAGGAATTTTACACAGCTGAAGTCATGGAGGGTGTACTGGGAGCGCCAGTACTTGGAGGCGGTGGAATTCAGGCCATATCACTGCCCATAACAAGCCTATTAACTCCCAGCTACAGAATTTTAAATGGTTATGGCCCATTTACACTGTCCGAATATAGCATCCTCTGCAGTAAGTATTTTCAGATACACACCACCCAAGCACTGGACCGAGAGACAGAAGACTACTATGAGATAAGGGTTGAGGCTTACACAGCTGAAACATCAGCCAATATGACCATCCTGATATCAGTGTTGGATATAAATGATAACACTCCGGAACATCAGCAACTCCCTGATAGTGCCACAGTCAGTGATAGGTCACTCAGTATTGGAGAGAATGTGGCACAATTTGCGGCATTTGATGATGACCTGGGTTTGAACTCAAGACTGTTTTATTCACTCGCCTCCCTGTCTTCCCCATTCACAATGAACCCTTTCACTGGGTCGCTGTTTCGATATTCATCTCGGGGACTGGAGCAAACCACACAGACTGTTGGAGTGTCTGATTTAGGCAGTCCCCAGCATGGAATACAGGCTAACTTCACCATATTCATAGACAACGAGAATCAACAACTGCCTATTATTCATGATTTGGGGTCAATAGTTGCTTCTGAGAGTGAGATAATTGATGGCGTGGTTTCGACCATCCACGTAACATACCCTTCTGGAAGTGTGGTGGTGAATTTGGAAAGTTTTGATTGCAACTGCTTCAAGCTTTCAGAAGTGACAGAGAATGATGGAGAATACACTGTTGATCTGCTTGTTAATTCACCGCTGGACTTTGAATCTTTCCCCTTTGGTGTGGTTTTCACAATAACAGCTGCTGATGCAGATAATTCAAATCACGCAACTTCTGCGGAAGTTAACGTTACTGTTTCTGATGAGAATGAACCTCCAGTGTTTCCTAACTCTCAGAATGAAATTTCAGTACCCGAAGGCACACCAATAGGCAGTGAAGTATTCAGACTATCAGCCGTAGATCCAGATATTGGGTCATATGGTCAAGTGTCATACGCATTCACCGATGCACCGGAAAACAATCCCTTCTCTTTGGATTCAGCAAATGGCATTATTCGCTCAGTGGCTGCCATTGACTACGAGGCTCTAGAAAGTATTGATCTGACTATATCTGCTGAGGATGGAGGGGGAGAAACAGACCAAATGACACTGAAAATCACAATCCTGGATCGCAATGACCAACAACCCCTCTTTGTCCAAACCGAGCAGACAGTTTCCATCTCAGAGACAATTTTGGCAAATGAATCAATATTTAACTTTGCCGCATCAGATGGAGACTCTCAATGCAATGGAGCTATAAGCTACTCCATTATCCATGCTGAACCACCCTTGTTTCGCATTGATCCTATTAGTGGTCTACTATACCCCTCGAAGGACAATGCAATCGATTTTGAGCAGTTTCAAAGTGCAGTGGTAGTCGTTCGAGCCAATGATTTGGGAGAGAGCAGCGAATTCATAGATACCACATTGCACATCAACATTCAAGGTGCAAATGATGAACGCCCACAACTGAGCAAGATCGAGTGCCCGTGCTTTATGGTGGAAAATGACACCAGCGCAACCTGCCAGCCACTCTCTGCATATGATGCCGACTCTAGCCACATAACATACACCTTGCACTCGGGTAATGAACAAAACCTTTTTTCTATTGGCTCAGAAGGCAAAGTATCCACGGTTCAAGCTCTACCATATGAAGAAGGTTTGGTCTACAACTTGGAAATCGTAGCGTCAGATGGAGAACTGGAATCTGACCCAGAAATTCTGAAAATCATAGTTGTGGACGACAATAACGTAAACCCACACTACAGCGATGAAATTACGATAACGAAGCCAGTTGATATCCCCATTGGATATCTCGTTGGGAATGTCAGTGTCCAACAAGGAGATTCTGGTTTCCATGCTCTTACTGAATACAAAATAGTAACCAGTGGAGTCGAAGATCTTATACGAATCGACTCTCTCTCTGGAAATTTGTACCTGAATTCCACCCCTCAAACGGGTGAATACTCATTCAGAGTGACTGCAACTGATGCACTGAATGCAGGGAGGATTGCAACAGCATCAGTAACCATTCAGTTCTCTGGCAAACGCAACAACCCACCTCACTTTCAAACGCCCATGTATCACATCGACATTGCCAGCAATTCGCAGACTGGCGAACCACTGCACACCTTCAGCGCAGAAGATGACGACAGTGGAAGTGACGGATTGTTGACATACACCTTGGAAACTTTGTCTAACTTTTTTGAAGTAACAACTGACGGTTCACTGAGACTCTCTCAGAGTTTGAGCACTGAAGTTGGCTCTGAATTCACACTGATGATACTGGTATCAGATGGGGGATCGCCTTCTCTGCAGGATACACTGGAAGTGAGCATAACCGTGTACGAATCCTCTATAAACATTGGTGGAGAAACATTTACTCACAATCCGGGTGTAACCATGCGGCACTATTTTGCTGAGATTCTCGAAGGGACCTCACAATCAGTGCCGGTATTCTCATTACCTGAAACTGAAGGGGGAAACCCGGTCCAATATGCTATTTTGCCACAGGGGAGCTTCTTCGGTGTATTTCGCATTCAAGACCAGAACGAAGTGTCTGTCAAGGAGAACTTTCAACACTTGTTTGACCGCATGGAGAATGAAGCTGTTTTCATAACTCTCAGGGCACAATACTTGAGCAACTTTCACTACATTTCCCTCACAGTGATCATTGACGACATAAACAACAACGGGCCCCAATTCAGCCAGGATCAATATGCAGTTGAGATATACCGAAGCACTCCGGAAGGTGGCTATGTTTTTGAGTTTGATGCTGTAGACCGAGACGTTGGAAGCAATGCAGTCACCACTTATTTCGTCGATCCACCTTCGGACGACTTCGCAATTGTACAAGGAACTGCATTTCTTGAGGTGACTACAAACGACTTACCAAATGACGTGTACTCTTTGACGATTGTAGCTTCTGATGCCGAATCTCCTACTTTGCCTACTGATACAACCACACTAACAATAACCATCCTGGAAACATTCAACACTCAACCACTTATTGCTTCAATGAGCTATACGGTTCCCGAAAGTGCGACAGTTGGCAATACTCTAGGGGACCAACTCCAAGTCACTGATCCTGATAGCGGAATGCACGGAAACAACATCCTGTGCATCGCATCAGGAAATGCTGGGAATCAGTTTCAACTGAGCCAAAGTGGAGACATCGTTCCAATCAAGAAACTAGACTATGAAACCATGGACTCCTTCACACTCCTCATAATGGCGTACGATTCGAGCCTCAATCCAGTCTCTAGTGCCACGCAAGTAAACATAGCGGTTGAAAACGACAACGACGAGCCTAAATTTGTGCCAGACAACTACTTTGCTACTATTGTTGAGAACAACCCGGTCGTGACGTCTGTTCTGACTGTCACTGCGTTTGATGCAGACTCGGGTGATACAGTAGAGTATTCAATACAGAATGGCACTACTGCTGTGTTCTCCATAGATCCTATGACAGGAGTGGTGTCTACAAAACAATCTCTAAATCGTGAATCAGTGACACAACATAGTATTCTAGTGTCAGCCACGGATGCTGGAGGAAAGAAATCAGTCGCTAGTGTATTGATTGAGGTTTTGGACGAAAACGATAATGACCCAACTTTCTTCAGCCCTAATTTTGCAACAGTGAGCGAAGACATGTCGGTGGATCTGAAGTTATTCGTTTGGAAGCAGTGGATGACGACAAAGGACAGAATGGCAGTGTAAAGTTTGAAATTGAAAGTGGAAATGAAGCCAACGTATTTGTATTGGACCCCTTTACTGGCTCTGTGACACTTGGTAGTTCACTGGATTATGAAACTGACCCACAAAGTCTGGTTTTAACCTTCAGAGTCAGTGATCTAGGATTTCCACCACGTACTTCATCAGTTACACATCAAATCACCTTCTCCCTCGAAAACGCCAACGACAATTATCCCGTGTTTTCAGCATCGCGTTATTCATGTACTATCCGTGAAGGTAATCATGATTTCATGGAACCCTGTCAAGTAAGTGCAACAGATGCAGATGAATCGGATGATGTCACATTCACGATAACCAGTGGAAACATTGACAGTGCTTTTCAAGTAAACTCTGTAAACGGTGTAATCTCACGTCAAAACATTCTCGACAGAGAAGACATTCCAAGATATTTCCTGAAAGTGAAAGCTACTGATACTGGCTCCCCATCTCTCAGTTCATACAGTCTTGTGGTCGTTGAAGTGGAAGACGAGAACGATGATTTTCCCAAGTTTGATCCAGTAATAGCTAGCCAAAGCAGTGCCAGACTCTCCCAGATGTACTTTTCGGAACTGCTACCAAGAAATACACTCCTTTTCTTTGCTCATGCTGTTGACAATGACATTGGAGTGAATGGTGAGATCTCTTACAGTATAATCAGTGACAACTCAGACTTGTTTCACATCGATTCAAACACAAGTGCCGTATTCCTTATTGGGAGTCTTGACTACGAAACAACCAGGACACATGTACTGCAAATCATGGCCACAAATCCTAGTGGTACCTCAACATTGCAAACCTACACCATCAACGTCCTAAACGAAAATGAAAACCTGTTTCCACCCGTGTTCCACCCTGATACTGCCTCAGCTGTGTCGATTTCAGTGGCAGCTCCAATTGGTGCACACCTGACACGTGTCAATGCTACTGATGCAGACCCTGGTCAGGACGGTGATGTAAGGTATTATGTAGCTGGTGGTTCTGGGTACGGGTACTTTACCATTGATCGGTTTAGTGGAGAAATCTCTGTTTCGTATGGTCTAACTAGTATCGAAAACTCCCACATAACTCTTGAAATTCTGGCTAGGGATCTCAGTGTCACTTCACTCAGCGCTAACTTCACACTAGATGTGTTTCTAAAGCCAGACAATGGAGCTAAGCCCTTTTTCACGAATGCAATGTACAAAGCATTTGCCTCAGAAACATTCGCAGCGCAAGATTCAATATTTGCTAGCGTTCAAGCATTGGTCAACGGTAGGCCAACGTCCGACACTACCTACTCCATTGCATCTGGAAACGAAGAGAAATTTTCAATCAATGCATCAAGTGGTGCAGTCTCTATTGTTGGTATTCTTAACAGAGAGGACGAATCAATGTACACGCTATTCATTAGTGCCTCCAGAGGTTCTACCATCAACACTTCATATACCCTCTTAGCAGTTGAAGTCGCAGACAGCAATGATCACACACCAGCGTTTGGTATCAGCTACGATGTAACCATTTTCAACAACCATCCAACGGGCCTTGCAAATGCCTTCATGAGGGTATTTGCCATAGATCAAGATGCTGGTCGGAACAGCAGATTAGAGTATTCAATAACATCTGGCAGCAGTAACACATTTGCCATTGATTCCAACAGTGGTGATCTATATCTTGTGCAGAATCTACCATCTGATGGAAGCAATTTTTACGATCTAACTGTAAGCGTAACAGATATGGGAGTTTTGCCTCTCACCCAATCAACTACCTTTACTATCACTACCACATCTCCAGCAAGTCCTAACAATGCTCCAACATTTTCCCCTTCATCTACCTCAGTAATGGTACCAGAAGATAGGCCCCCTGGCTCTCTTATATACACAGCCCAAGCCAGTGACAGCTCGGATGACCACATAGTGTACAGAATCACTCAACCGTTACCCAACTTTGCCATCATGCCAAACACAGGAGAAGTGTACCTAATCAAACAGCTTGACAAAGAAGAGGATGAGCAATACACTATCAGGATTGAAGCAAGCGATGGTAGTCTCACCTCTTCCGTATTTCTTCTCAATATTCTGGTCGGAGACGTTAATGACAACAGACCGGTCTTCACAACAGACGAGTTTGTATTTACAGTTGAAGAACACTCACCAAATGGTGAACTGGTGGGATCTATCACAGCCACCGATGTTGATGATGAAAGTGAAATTACATACTCACTGGTTGACTCAAAAGACCCTGACAGTATCAACCTCTTCTCGCTCAGCGAAGATGGAATGCTGCAAGTAGCAGATGACATTGACCGGGAAACAAAACTGGTCCACTTCCTGACAGTGTCAGCTGAAGACCACGGAGTGCCATCTCTCACAACTTATGCCCGTGTGAAGGTTGTAGTAACTGACATCAACGACCACACGCTAGCTTTTGTATCTCCACTCCAAAATGTATCAATATCTGAAGGTGCCACCGTGGGTACCCCCTTCTTCAGCTTGTCTGTGTTTGATCCTGACGTTCAAAGCTCCCTTAGTTACTCACTGTCACCGGAAACCACGCCATTTGCCTTAAATGAGTCAACTGGAGAATTGTATGTCGTGATGGAGCTTGATGCAGAGAAGCAAACAAACTACACTCTGGAAATAAGTGTTTTCTCTGAAGGTACACCAACAGATATTGCAACAACTACGCTCTTTGTGACAGCCACAGATGAACTGGACAGTCTTCCGGCCCTAACCAATCCAGGAAGTGTAATTCTGCTAGAGAATATGCCTCCTTACTCCATTGTGGGACTTGTAGGTGACAATGTCAGCCTTAGTGCAGTGTATTACGAGATCATTTCAGGAAATGAAGAAGATACCTTCTTTGTTGAACCACTCACAGGGATAGTCAGAACCTCAGTGGCACTAGACAGAGAATCAACTTCATCTTACACCTTGACTGCCCAAGGTGCCTTTCAAAAGAACTACGAAGCGAGCGTGACACTTACAGTTTTTGTTAGTGACGTGAACGATGAAGCTCCCACTTTCATCAGTCACTTTCTTGAGTACACGTTGAGTAAGGACTCCACTGTCGCTGAGCTAGACTTTACAGACAAGGACGAAGGAGCAAATAAGCAAATCAGTGGATTCTATATACCCGACCCAATAGCTGCAAAGAGCTTTGAGGTTGATTCCTCAGGTGATATTCGAATATTTGAGTCACTTGACAGGGAAGGAAATTTTGATGCAATAGATTTCGACCTCTATATTTTTGACTCAGGGAAACCACCACTTTATGATATGGCCCGTGTATCCATTACTGTATCAGATGTGAATGACAACCCGCCATATTTTCTGCAGTCCAACTACCAATTCACCGTCAGCTTGCCGGTTAACATTGGTACTCCACTATTTGGTGTTCAGGCAATGGACTTGGACAAAGACTCAACGATACGCTACGTTGTGAATGGTGGCAATGGAACAGACAAATTCAGCATCAATGCAATCACTGGAGACATTAGTGTCAGTAATAACTACAAGCTACAGGCTTACTATACTCTCACAGTTTCAGCCCAAGATGAAGGAGGTAAAGAATCAAGCGTAAGTGTTAATATTGCTACCAAGTACTGCGGTTTCATGAATTTGCTTCTCAACCCTAGAGTTGTGAGCAAAAGGCTCTTTGAAAACATTGCCAACGGTACAGTTGTATTTTCTCCAACTTTACTAACATTCGATATGCCAGCATCTATCCTGTATTCTTTCTCAACTGCTGATTCACTGTTTAAAATCAATGAAAACACCGGAGTTGTGAGCCTAAATGGTAATCTAGACAGAGAGAAACAATCTACTCACCAGTTCACTATACAAGCAAGGGACCTAAACAACCCCCTTAGAATTGCTCAAGCCGATATTGAAATCATTGTAGACGATGTAAATGACAATGCACCGACATTTCTGTCAGCTCCGTATGTGACATACGTAACTGGAAACTATTCGGGAGAGATCATTCGCGTCAGAGCAGAAGACAGTGACGAGGGGAGTAATGGAGAGGTGGGATACGAACTAAATGCTGTATGTTCTGGCCTTTTTGAGATTGAAGAAAACACCGGCCAGATATCCGTGACGGAGTCATTGGACACATTGCTGCTCGACACCTGTACCCTTACTGTTGTAGCGAGTGACAAAGGAAGGCCACCAATGTCTGAAACAACAACCGTCACGGTCAATGTCGTTCTATCAAATGCCCCACTCTTCACAATGAGTGGTGTGTACAGCGCTGAAGCCAGTGAGTCTGCTCCCAGAGACACACTAGTCATAACTGTAGTGGCCACATCCACCTCGGATAACTCACAAATCAGATACAATATTCAATCCCCCCAGTCCAACACACTCCCATTCTCGATTGATTTTATTCGAGGTGATGTCACGGTCAACGGTATTGGCTTGGACTATGAGGCAAACAGCTCCTATCGGCTCCAACTTGAGGCGGTCGACCTGTCCACTTCACTGACAGGGAGAGCAACTCTTGACATACAAGTACTTGATGAGAATGACAACCGTCCGCAGTTTAGCCTTGCACTCTACCAGAACAGCTTGACTGAAAACTCTGACATAGGCACTCCATTTGAGCAGGTCTCTGCAAGCGACCTAGACTCCGGGTCAAACTCACAAATAACCTACTTCATAGACCCAAACGACATAGCTACTACTCTGTTCAACATTGATGAAAGAACGGGGTGGATATCTACAGGTGGGGAGATCGATCGCGAGGAGAATGATTTCATCAGATTCTCAGTCTTGGCCAGAGATGCAGGCAGCCCATCACTAACTGGAACTACGATTGTGCAAATAGAAGTGGTCGACGTGAATGACAATGCACCAGCTTTCCTCCAGTCTTTGTATCAAGGGACAGTATTAGAAGATGATCAGCCAGGAACAAGCATTCTCTTTGTCACTGCAACAGATCCTGATGACGAAGATGAAGTACAATACGAAATCGTCTCTACGGAACACTCTTCAAACTTTGACATGAGTTCTAGTGGGCTCATAACTCTAGCAACTTTTGCATCGGAATTGATTGGCTTTCAGTACCAGCTAAATGTGTCAGCATTCGATGGGCTTTTCTACAGCTACACAGAAGTAATTGTCGAGTTGGAAAATGAAAATAATAATCCCCCTATGTTCAATGCAACCACATACAGTGCGTTCATCCTTGAAAATGCCACTATTGGAACTGAGGTGGTTCAGGTATTTGCAACCGACGATGACAGAGGTGCAAATGGTGAAGTAACATATTCAACGTCGAGCAACTTCTTTGCGATAAACTCTGAAACAGGTGTCATTACGGTGAGTGCAGAGCTAGATCGCGAGGCCAACCCAGATGGAGTGACATTGATCGTGATCGCAAGAGATGGAGGTGGTAGGACTGGAACTGCTGAAGTTGACATCGAGTTAGGTGACATTAACGATAATGCACCAGTCTTTTCTCAAGCAATGTATGGGTTTGATGTCCTCGAAACAACAACAATTGGAACGACAGTTTCAACCATTGTGATGGCTACTGACCCGGATGGTGGTTTAAATGGCCTCATTCAGTATACACTAAATCCACCTGCAGGTGACCCAACTCAATTTCCATTTGCTATTGATGAACAATCGGGTGCTATTAGAACCATACTGGAAGTGGACCCGATGTTTCAAAATGAATACATGTTCATCGTTAGTGCAATGGACATGGGTACCCCAGCAATGACAGCTGAACCATCAGCAACTGTTACAGTACAAGTTATTGCAGCTGGCGAGGTGCCGCCACGTTTTGAAAATGTCCTATACCAGGTTGAAATACACGAAAACAATCAGTATGGGGCACACTTATTGACACCACAACTTGTGACGACTAATGAAACTATTGAGTGTGAAATCATCACATATTCCCTGCTAAACAACGATGGTAATCTCTTTCAGATTGCTAACAATATGGTCTCCAACATAACAGTTACGACGATCTTAAACCGTGAAGTGATGGCAATACACACATTCACCATTCAAGCACAATGTTTGCCCGTGGAAGGCTCAAATGTGATGCAAGTATTTGCAGTGATAACCGCAACGGTACGAGATGTTAACGAACCACCAACATTTAGTACTCCATTCTTGATTGGGTCCATTCTAGAAAACATACAACTGGGCACCATATTGGAATTCACTGGTGGTATAAATTCCATCGAGGCAGATGATGAGGATGATGGTCAGAACGGAAACATTGTTTACAGCATCACTGAAGATGTTCCGTTTGTCATTGGCCTACACACTGGCATTATAACTGTCAGTGGTAGTCTTGACAGGGAGACAACCGACACCTACCGATTTGATGTGATTGCTACTGATCTTGGAAACCCCCCTCTTTCAGGCACCATTAGAATCAGAGTGGAGATCGAGGATACTAACGATTCTCCTCCAGTTTTCCAGCAAAATTTGTACCATGGGGTAGTAACAGAAAATGTTGAAATCGGGACACCTATTGTTACTGTTGCTGCTTCTGATGCAGACTTGGGAGAATTTGCTGTAAACACCTATTCTCTAAGTGGCAGTGATGTATTCAGAATCGGTACTAATACAGGTGAACTAACAGCTTTTGGTGAAATTGACAGGGAGACTACGCCCATCTATACAGTTGTTGTCACTGCCAGTGATGGAATTAACCAAGACAGTACTACTGTCATGATAAATGTCACTGACGTAAACGACAATCCTCCCGTTTTCAATGACACACAATATGAGATTGTAGTCGAAGAAAACTATGAAACCAGTATAGGTATCCTCCAAGTGTTTGCAAGTGATGTGGATCTGGGTGAGAACGCCGAAATTCGGTACGGTATATTAGAGGATCAAGAGCTCATACAAATCAACAGTACCACAGGAGAAGTGAGTTTTTACCAGACCCCAGACTATGAAATGAGCCCCCAGGGACATTTTGAGTTTCGAGTGACTGCAACGAACCCAAATGATGAGAACCAAAGAGACTTGAGCACACTGGTCATAGACCTAGTCGACCTCAATGATAATGCCCCTCAGTTTACAACTCTGGGAAGCCCTCTCCAGGTGAGTGAGAACCGGCCCAGTGGGATCACTGTAGTGAGAGTGGTAGCCGATGATCTCGACAGTGGACTCAATGCCAGAGTGCAATATTCACTGAGCGAGGAATCTCAGGAATTCTTCAGTATTGATTATCAGACGGGTACAATTCAAACACTGGTGTCATTTGACCGAGAGAGAAACTCAACTTATGAGATACTTGTAACAGCTACAGATCTTGGCATTCCTCCAATGTCTGGCAACACAACACTCTTGGTAGCCATATCGGATGAAAACGACAACCCACCTGTGTTTTCCCAGAGGAGTTACACAGTATCGGTCCTGGAGAGTGAGTCAATTGGGTCAGCAATAAGGAACATCAGAGCAGAAGATTCCGATGATGGCATCAATGCTGAGATCTTGTACAGACTCACTGGAGACAACAGTGCTCACTTTATTCTGATGATGCTTGGAGACGGAAGTGTCGACGTCTTAATAGATCAAGAGCTAAACCGTGAGAGTATTGACCAGTACTACTTGAACATCACAGCTTTTGATGGAGGATTTCCCTTCTTACAGGCAACCGTGCAACTAATAATCATGGTACAGGATGAAAATGATAATCCACCAGTTTTTGACCCACCGTTTTATGCTGTTGAGTATCCTGAGAGTCTGTTGGTGGGCAGTCAAATTGTAAGAGTATTTGCCAGAGATCCAGACTCAGCTGCTATTACTCAATTGACATACTCAATAGCTGAGCCTGGAAGCCATACCCAATTTGAAATAGATCCCATTGATGGCGGCATATTGCTAGCACAGCCACTAGACTTTGAACGAGATCAGGTCCACACCTTCATAGTGCAAGCTGACGACCAAGTCAACAATTTGGCCACTGCTTCTGTGAGCGTGAGTGTCACAAATGTAAATGACAATGCTCCAGAGTTTGTAATGTCAAACTTCACAACGATTATCACCGAAAACGAGCCAACACGTGAACTATTCGATTTCACAGTGCACGACAGAGACAGAGGCTCTGATCCGAGCACTATATCTTACAAAATAGAATCCGGAAACATCGATGGAATATTCGATATTGAACCTACGTCGGGAGTTCTAGCAGTCAATTCATTTGATTTTGAAGCTCTGACTGCCAGCAACTACCTTCTGGCCATCACTGCAAGTGACAATGAGGACCCACCTCTTGCCGGTACTGCGTACGTGACAGTCAACGTCCAGGATCTCAATGATAATGCTCCAGTGGGAGAGGACCAGGTATTCTACGTGTTTCTCTACAATGGGCAGCTCACGTTGACATCACTTGGGACTCTCTTGATACGAGATCCAGATACAGTCAACGACCACCAGTTCACGGTGACCGGTGGCAATAGCGACATCTTTCACATAGAACTCGGTGGTGGAATTGACATTCTCCAACACCCACCACCACCAGGCACCTACAGCTTTACTGTTCACGTCACAGATGGCACTTTAGGCGATGCAACAACAGTGGTCGATATCACAGTTGTGAACATTACCGATGCCCACCTTGCCAATAGTTTCACAATGAAAGTGGGGTCTGATTCGGCCGTATCATTCCTAGATACAAACCTGCAACTGTTCCTGAGGTCCCTTGAAGATTTAGTGACGGATAAAACTAGCATCATTGGGCCAAAAGCCTACTTGTTAAACATTACAGACAGTGGGAATAGAAGAGTTGATATTTCCATTGTTGTGGAATCAGAAGATGGTAATCCAGTTCACCCAAACCTCGTCCAACATCTTATACACAGCAATAGGGAAGTCGAAGCAAAAACTGGGATTGTTATTGTGACTGAGAATGTAGATCACTGTGCAGACGAGTCTGTTTGTCCACTGGGGACATTTTGCACAAAAACCTACCAATACAACTCATCAAGCTCAGTAATGGGCAGTGCTGCAGCCAGCATTTTAGGAATAGACATAGTGGAGTCCATAGCTTGCTCTAGTGACTCGCCAACATGCTCAGTCGCATGCCCCGAACAATCATACTGCGTCCAACAAAACGGACAGAGTGTCTGTATTGACGACTGCACTCCGAACCCGTGTAAGAACAATGGAAAGTGTCAAGATCAGAGGCCTGGGTACTACTGCTCTTGTCCCACTGGTTTTGATGGTAGAGACTGTGAGCTAACCACATCCTATTTTCAAGAAGGATCCTATGCTATTCTACCAGCAGTGACCACAGCAACGAATGGCACTATAACAATAGAATTTGTGGTAGCCGATAGAGAATATGGCCTTCTCTTTTATAGCAGCCGCTTTGACGAAAGTCTAAAAGATTTTATTGCCCTTGAAATTATTGATGGCCACCTGTCCCTGCTAATATCATATGGCGGGAACCCCAGAAGGATTTCAATCATGCTAAATGGAGACGGATGGTACATGGCAGTTGTGGATTATACAGAAACTGTAAGTATTGCTTTAATATAATACTCGAACGAACGCTATGGATTTTTGGCAGACGAGCACGAGCGGTTCAATTTTCGTACATATTTAGAATCATGTAGAACATTACAGTATGTGCAGTGCCCGTCACATAGAAAAATCCTGCATTCAGACGACTACGTAGGCTCGCTTCTTTTGCGAATAATTCTTAGACATTAACACCCACTAAACAAACAATGTATTCCACATTATGCTACGTAACGTTATCTAATTTTACTACTGCAGGAAATTGGACTTACCGTTAAGACGTTTGACCCCTTTACGATTCAGGAAGAGAGATTCCAAACCGATTCAAATTACAGGTATATACACACAAGACAAGTGATGTCTAAAATTGTCCCAATAGTCACAAGGATTCTCATGTGGGATTTCAGTGGGGAATGGAAACACAACTGCTTCCATTGTCACATTTGTAGCCCTAGCCCCCTTATTGCATTGAGCAATGCATTGGGCCATATCCCATATATACCCCTTGCCCTAACCCTTACCCTTAAAATTGTAAGGACTATGTATGCCATTACTGGATATTATTGCACAATACAGTATAGATACCTATATTTTTTATCTGTTGTCCTTTCACCTATGGTCACTGTAGTGCAAGCATAGGCGGGGAAAGGAACCAGTTATTTCTCTGGACCACCCAACAGCTTATTCCCTGGATTTATAACATCCATTCGTTTACTGTCAGATTCCCACCAATTGCTTTGTGCACCACTACATGGCATATTAGGACAACAGAAATCTAAATCTTTATCCTCCATTTTTATTTCTACTTTTAGCCTTACCCTTCCCAGTTTGTGATTATTGATTGTCTATGGCTCACAACCACTTACTTTCCCAACCCATGCACAGTTCACTTACACTTGTCCATTGCTGCAGATCACTAAATCTTGGAGGTCCATTCATTGTGGGTAGCTTGGATCCCACACTGAATTACAATTACGATGAGACACCTTATGGCAGGCTCAATTTCTGCGTGAGAGAACTAGTCATAAACGGTCGAGTCCAGGACTTCAGTGATCCACTTGATGCCGTCAACGTATCCCCTTCCTGCGAAGAGAACCAGTGCAACGCTGGTGCATGCAAGAATGGTGGAAGATGTATTGGAACTCAAAGTTCCTTTACCTGTGTGTGTCCTGTTGAACACGCAGGAGCAACTTGCAATGAGAGTAAGTTATATAAGACTTTGCTATCCACCATCAATGAACTGCGTTTGGTCTCAATAGATTCTGAGTCTGCAACATTCTCGGGAGACAGTTTCATTCAGTACGAAGTAATACAGTCTTCTTCTTCTTCGCGGAGAAGAGCTGTCAGACAGACAGAAGTCTACACAACAGGAAGAAACTATGTCATACTGGCTCTCATTACCAGCAGTGCGACTGGAACCATACTTCAAATGGGTCTAGAGAATGAGGGAAACTTTGCCATACTAGAGGTACATATATACACAGGGCGTGATTGCTTCTTCGTTTGCTACGGCAATGAGATATATCTTTGTATCTATCTCTTTTAGATTGTTGATGGTCATCTCCAGTTTCGCTTCAATCTGGGGTCAGGTGTTGCAACTGCTACACAGACAACAATGCAAGTCAATGACGGTAGGAGTCACACTGTGTCTATTGAAAGAAAGGAGACTACTGCGACACTTGTCATTGACGATACATATGTAGCTCGGGCCACGTCACCTGGAGGTAACACCACTTTAGACATCCCGAATGGCAGAATATATATGGGATCTAGTGTTGACACAGACGGAAAGGCAAGTAATGGTTTTACTGGGTGCATCACTGGAGCTAAGCTGAACCACAAAGACTTGCCCGTAAGTGGGTCCACAAAAGATTACATCGCTAAAACATCATCTGGTGTTGAGAGTGGATGCACTTTCGAACCTTCACAAGAAGGCGCTTTTCCAACCGTAGTAACCATTGCAGCAGGAGGGGCTGGGTTCCTTCTCCTCTTCATTATAGTTCCTGCCCTCCTCATTATCTGCATTGGGGGACGATATGCTTATCGGCGGAGGAAAAAATACAGCCCACGGCGCAGACAAGCGTCCTCACGAAGAAGTCCAACATTCAACTGGCAGCCGAGGCTCAGGACACCAGAAACGACATCCAGCAGACACAGGCTGATGCTGACACAGTCGTCGCAAGTTTCCGCATCAGACAGCTTTGCGCTCCAGGACGTAAACCAGGGACAAACAGAAGGAAGTATATTTGCACCGTCAACACCACATTTATCCGAGCATGTATTCACAACACCTGAACAAAGTCCAGAACAGCCTCAGCGTCAGAGACGCCGCTTGGGAGAAACCTTGGATCTGGGTGAAAACCAGCAGCACACACCTCAGGGTAATCATCACATCAGAAGACTTGATTTTCACCAGCAAGATGAGCAGCAGTTTCGCCCTCCAGAACAAACCTCAACAATTGCAAAACCAGTTGAAACTCCATCAGTTCCCAAGCCACAAACACAGCTCAGCAACGAGAGCTCTCCAGAAAAGAAGCCTCCCCCGCTGGACCCTACGCATGCCCGCTCTTTCTCAGGACACCAATCTATTGGAACAATGGGTACAGAGGTATCAGAGGTAGGCTCTGTCTTTGATGATTCAGATGTGGGGAAGTATGTTCTAAAACGAATTGAAGCTGCAAATGAGGAGTTGAAGTCACTGCAGATGGATCAGATGATGCCCTTCAAAGAGGAGGGCATTTCGAGCCTCTGGGATCAATAGGATCCCTGTATGACATTCTTAGGGAAGGAGACGATAACTTTGAGCTGTTACAGCGTCCTGTCTCAATAGCCTCACGCCCACCTCTAAAACCTAAGCCACAGCACTCTTCTCATTCTAACAAACCTAACAAACCACCCCGATTCCACCAAACTCCTAATGGTATCCAGTCAACAGGGCCCTCAGCTTCTCAAACTACTGTAATTGAAAAGCAAGTTGAACAGACCAGTAAAGATCCTGTGACTGGGGAGATCATATCTTCACACCATGCAAAATCTAACAGAGCACCACCGCAGAGAGCAACAGAGCAGCCCAAAAAAACACGTGACAAGAGAAGACGCAACCGAGCAGTTCCGGCTGTTGGCTCTGGGGAAAGCCTCATGGACAAGTTTCAGAAAATGAGTACCAGTCCCCCTCATGTAGGAGAAGATGGAGGAAACTTTGTATAATAATTTTATGTCACTCCAATATAATACAACCATTTTCAGCACATTTTGTTTATAACACATCCATATTCATCAATCTGATTTGTTTTTATTTTCAGTTATATCTATGGCATCTAGCCCAGATTTAAGCTTTCTTCCATAAGCCAGCATGAAGTAAAAGGGTACCACCACCCATATTCCATTGGGAATCATAAAGAGACCCAGGTATTGCTGCCAAGTGTGATGTTGGACCAAGTGACCGCCGGCACAGAAGTCGAAATACTGCATCATGTAGATGACTGTCTTCCAGAATGTCATGGTGCTCACAGCAAATCCACACAGCCAGGCTCCCCTGCTTTTCTGTAGAAGCTGTGAGTGAAATGTTGGGTGTCACCCCACCTGCTCTCGACTAGTGTTTTAGTGCCTAAACAAACTTTGTATAGGGACAAACATGGAAAAACCCAAACTCTTTGGGTGTGTTGAATAACACATACTGCATGTACCGCAGAATAAACGTGGCAACAAAAATCAATTACCAGAGCTACAGTTGAAAAGTTTAGGACAATCTCCACAACATTAGCCCTGTGATCAAGAACACTTCAGACCTCACAGCATCACCTACTTCCACTACTTTCTTACCAAGATTGAGCATATCCAAAAGTATCAGTCATATCTCCATACCTCGTGTCGATTTGAATGTAAAGTGCATCTGTAGAAGAACACGGCTACATAACAAATGCGCAACGCTAGTCGCACTAACATGGCTTGAAGAAATGGTGCCAGTCTCCGCCCGGTAAAGTTTTGGGTCTCAGCAGCACAAATGCAGAGTCCCAGGAGACTATCAGCGAGGCAACAGTGAACCACAGAAGGCCAAGCCTAGGAGAAACGAGCAAAAACGCGTGCTTATCTCTGCGCTCAGGTCTCGCAGTGCTCACTCACCTGTCCATCAACTCTTTCAAGAAACGGTAACGAGAAGGGTGGGGCTTGTGTAGTTTTGCGCATGCGTGAATTCGCGTGCGATCGCACACTCGATCACACATTCCGCGAATTCCTATCGCTCCGATTTATAACGGCATAATTATTCATGCTTTTGCAATATTTTGCTGCATGTGAGTTCCTGGTGCACATGACATTGCAAGTGTTTCGCCGGAGCACCATGGAGCTGCGGCCTTTATCGCAGCTCGCTGTCTTACTGCTGCTACTCGTAGCTCAGTCAGCCTGCACTGTCAGGTTCGAAATCGTGGAAAACACTGAAGCAGACGAGACGATAGGGCAACTGAACTTCACAGAACAAGAGTGAGTACACCGGATAGCGTAGAGACACTGCAATGCGACCGTCTGCACACGTTAGCACGGGTGTATGTAAACTATACTCCATCGCTGTGGTTAGCCCGAAGTGGAGCGGTCATGGAGCTGTTTATAGACACACGTACAATACAACTTGCCAATTAGCTAAGAATATTGTTTGCACTAGCTCCAAACTCAATTTCTCTTTCCCGTTTTGCAGTATCACAGTTTTACCATGCCCCAATCTCGTCACGGTAGTTGGCAATGTCCTAAAAACGGCAGTAAAATTTGATCGGGAAGAGATCATACAACTCAACGAAACTAGAGATAACATCCTACACTGCACTGCACAACTCCCCGGAAGTGTCGAAGACATTCTGATAACAGTTTTGGATGTGAACGACAACGTGCCGCGCTTTAGCGAACTGGAACCAGTCCATGTACTGAACGTTACAGAGAATTTCAACATTCCAAACCCCATTCAGCGGTTGGAACCACATGATCTCGACAACGGTCCAAATGGCACCGTTGATTTTCACATAACAGCGGGAAATGAAGAACACTTTTTCTACATCGGACCACCACTCGAGTACGAAGGGCCTGACACCAATCGCTTGGAATTGTTTTTCAATCGCTCCGTTGACCATGAAATGCACAAAATATTCAACCTTAGCATATCGTTAAGTGATCACGGAACACCGCAACTGAGCTCCACTCAGATTATTATTGTCGACATAAATGACCTCAATGACGAAAACCCTATTTTTATCATGTCAGTGTTTACCTTTGATGTGGAAGAAAACCACACTTTTGGACCTGAAAACCCATTTGGAAAAGTAATGGCAGTCGACGAAGACTCAATACCTAGCACCATGGAGTTTTCCCTTATAAACGAGAACTTCTCACCGACAGATGTGTTCGATTACGTAGGATTAAACGGTGAAACAGGCGAGCTGTATTTAATGACCACGATTGATTATGAGGCTGATACATCATTACGTCATTTTCAATTCTCAGTCCAAGTACACGAGGAAGGAATGGAAGCCAAAGTGGACATTGCCAGGGTTGTCATAAATATAAAAGATGTCAATGAAGACAGCCCTGAGATTTATGTCCATATCCATGAAAATTCCATCCAAGAAAACCTGAAAGACTTTAAAATTTTATTATTAAGAGCAACTGATAAAGATGGAGTCAATGAGCCCATTGTACAAGTTTATCCACCTGTTTCATTCTCATCTCGTACAGTCAATCAACTTACATCAATCACAATCAATGAATCTTTGGACCGGGAAGTGCTGGACTACGCAGTATTCAACATCACTGTGTATGATCAAGGCCAACCTTCATTGGCATCAAAATTAACGGTGGAATTGTTTGTTCTGGATGAGAATGACAACCCACCGACATTCACAGAGGTCGAGTATAATTTCATCACTGTCGAAAACGTTCCCTTGGATCATGTCGTAGCCAAAGTTGAAGCAAAAGACCCTGATGCTGGCGAAAATGGTTCCGTATCTTACACCATTACAGGAGTGACTCCTGCAATAGCCGAGAAATGGTTTTCTGTAGATTCCACCACAGGAGATATTAGTGTCAAGGCTACCATGAACTACACCCTAGCCAGCAGCGTCACTATAACCATAAAGGCAGAGGATAATGGAACAGTCAAGAATTACTCCACCAATGCCACTACTACAACTGTACATATCACGATCTCTCCATCAATTACATTCAAGCCTTGGTCATACCAAGAGCATTGCATCCCCAAAACCCAGGACACTTTGACAAAAATCTATTTGGAGTTTCGGACAACAGAAAAGAACGGCCTTCTACTCTATGAACAATCACTACAGGGAGAAAGCTTCATGCTCAAAATCCACGAGGGACAGATACTAGCTGTTACTCAGAACATTATTCAGAGCAGATTCGATGAATTTGATGTATCCACCAATCTGTGGATATCAGTCCTGTATGACTTCAGAGAGGTAAGCATCACATAGCTGCGCACCCCCAACCCTCAATGGGACACATAAACCAATGCACCGTCTGACTTTCCTAATTAGTCTTGAACCCGATCCTCCTGCATGCATTGCTTCAAGTGTGCGTCATAAACTACCCCACACAACCACGTCTGAAGGAGTGCCTATGTTGACCGGATTAAGCATAGCTATCTAAACTTGTCCGAACATAAATCTTGTTAACTCCCGACTGTGAATCTTACTTCATCACATATGGAGAGCAGTGACTGTGTGAATATGTACTGGCTAACTATTCATAGTTGTTTTTCAAGAGTTATATGCCGCAGGCTACTTAGTGAGCACGAGAGCTAATATTCATGCTACAAGCCACATTATGTTGTAGACATAGCTAAACACTTACCAAAAGACTTGGCAGTTATGACGATCTATATTTTATGCAGAAAACACTGAATGTCTCTCACTCTGAAGAAGCGGATCTAAAAGCTACTCTTGGGACACATGAAACAGCCAGGTATGTAAGGCAGGGGACAGATATACCCATAAGTGTGGATATATAGGCCATAAAGGGATACATGAAACAGCAAGGTATGTAAGGCACAACTCGCAGGGGACAGATATACCCATAAGTGTGGATATATAGGCCATAAAGGCAACTTGGTTTCCATATCTCGGTATGTATAAAAGTGGGTAATCTGAACTATATGGTATGACATTTATGATAATAATACTCAGATATTCCCCACCTGTGTAGGACGATGTCGGCAATTCCTTTATCTCCCATTCATGTGTATGCATGCGTGTAAGGGAGTATGAAATGGATGAATGTGCCGAAATGCTAAATATTATAGGGTTTATTACAGAGGAAAAGGAGCATGCAATGGGAAAATGCGAGTATAGAATATACATGTTCAGCATGCTTGCTTATGGAAAACTTACGTGACTAGAAACTTACGTGATAAGGTAGTGTAGAAGAGACATGTAGGAGTGGGGCCTTTGCTCATGCACTGGTTGACAACTCAACAGACCGGTAGTTTCCCACATTCCAAAGACACTTTCTTGTTTACACAAATTCCTCCCTTGCACTTTGTCGTCTCCCACCACGAAGAGAGCTCCGACAGCCAGACTATGTCCCTCTCTCACTCCCCCAGCTTTGCTGCATACTCTAGTAAGAAACACGCAAACTGTGTGTGTGTGTGTTATTGCAGTCTGATACTGCTCACTCCTTACTGCCACCTACTGCTTGCAGCCACACACACCGTACCTCCCCTTTGCTTCCGTATAGAGCTATGCTGGTATATAGGACATATGGGATTGCGAGCGAGTATAAGGAACCCACAAGTTCAGATAGAGCTACAGCATGTTGTGAGAGCTGCCGGTTCAAACCTCTGGGGTTTCCTTACTGCCACCTACTGCTTGCAGCCACACACACCGTACCTCCCCTTTGCTTCCGTATAGAGCTATGCTGGTATATAGGACATATGGGATTGCGAGCGAGTATAAGGAACCCACAAGTCCAGATAGAGCTACAACATGTTGTGAGAGCTGTCGGTTCAAACCTCTGGGGTTTCCTTACTGCCACCTACTGCTTGCAGCCACACACACCGTACCTCCCCTTTGCTTCCGTATAGAGCTATGCTGGTATATAGGACATATGGGATTGCGAGCGAGTATAAGGAACCCACAAGTCCAGATAGAGCTACAGCATGTTGTGAGAGCTGTCGGTTCAAACCTCTGGGGTTTCCTTCCTTGTATATACAAACCAAATGTACCATTTGACAAGGCATTGGGAATTGTAGTAAACAATAGCCAACAAAGGGCCCACTTTTTGGCATATCTGTAGTTTAGCGTGCTCCAGTGGCCGGTTTATTGAACAAATTCACCACTGATTGTGAGCCAGCAGTCTAGCATAACTACTTATACTTCATAAGCAGCGATCGTTACTGTATATACAGTCACGTATTGTGAGTGTTAACTTTGAAGTCGAGAGTCTAGACTCATAAAGAAGGCATGGGTGGTCAGGTATCACTCAAAGGTGCTACTCAAGTTGCAAGTGTCTGTTGAGTCACTTACTCCAAAGTCATGAGATCACGTCCCGCTTGCGTTACTGTGACAACATACCGCATTATGTGTGGGACGCAGCAGCCAAACATACTGGTCTATTGAGCACTCCATTGCACTGTTAAATGGGCCACTGTTCTCTCTTGACACTGTACAGGTGTGACGACACGACCGATTCAACCTCGCAAACATTCTATGTCGGAGGCATCGATGCTTTCTCCCACTTGCAGAATGCGAGCAAGTACGGAAGTTTTGTTGGGGTGATAAGAAACCTTTTCATTGGCTCCGTACTAGTCGATCTTGCCTCGCCAGTCCGGGGAGAAAACACCGTCCATGGAGTGCTGTTCACCTCTCAGCCAAAATGTGGAGGATCAGAAATGACCTGCAGTGGGCCTCACCACAGTGGGTGCCTCGACTATGACTTTGAGAGTCACTGCATCTGCTCCGGAGGATTCAACTCGCACACTTGCGCCACCGAAGAGAGTAAGCAAGTTTCACCACTGTTCTTACATTACACCCTGGCGTATATACTACTTACTGCATGTAAAAACAGTTTTCATTCAGCTGTTATATATCGTTCAGCTTTTGACCGGGCATGTTACATACGTGGACTCGAGCTCTAATTGGATGGCAAACATAGTTACCCGCATGACATGCTAGTAACCCTGTATGTAACCGATAGCCCTTTGGACTGTCGTATTGCCGCCAGCTGAGCCAGCCGATATGGAAATTTTATAAGTCTGGTCGGTCCCTCGGCAATACATGGTGCACGTACGTTCTTCAGCGACAAAGAGTGGGGCTGTGTGGGTGTACTTTCCCAGCTGTGCATGTGAGTAAACCAGTCTCACAAAAGGACATTACAAACCTGAAAAGTAGCTGTTACACCAGACACTAGGGCCTTAGGGGAAAAAGGAGTCACCCACCGGTTTAGCTGGAAGTTTTGTATGGCCAAAGAAATTTTATATGGTTTTTCTTTCCACTTTGGCAGATTATGCACCTATCCAGCTATCCAGCTCTTCTAAGGTGAAGGTAGCGGTTGACTATGCACTGTTTGTGGATATACTGCAGCGGTCTGGGCTTGTCAACCCAACCAACAACCTTCCAGTCACCACAACCAACTCCGGTAGAAGGCGCCGACGCTCACTGACAAACACCTCCAACTACCAGCTGGTGGAGTTTCAGTTTAGGCTTCTTAGAGAAAGTACTGGAACACTCCTCTATTCCAAAACTGGCTCCTCGATACATAACCTTGAGGTAAGACCCTTAGTTTCACAGAATATACTTAGCTTTCCTGTGAGACTCCAGGAATATTTAATGCATGTTTAATGCTTGACCTCTCCTCTCCCTTTTACTACAAACTCGTGATCGATGTGTTTGTGTGTAAAGAGATAAACGTGTGTGTCCCATGCCAACCAGAGGAATAGGTGCACACACCGTAGAGAGAAGAGAAATCACTAATACAGTGGGAGTGCTTGTTTAGACAAACAGCTTATACACGACTTTACTTCCCCACTTGCGGGTAAATGCCACAGGCACAGACGATCACACACACACACCTAAGCAAATGTCACCTTGCTATCTACCTCACTATCTGCACGTGATATCACAGGAAAAACCCACGCTTGGCCGCTCAAACTATCATTAGGTAAACTGTTTCCTTTAGTCCAGTGCTCTCTTTTCCTCCACAGCCACTTACTATTATCTGAAATGATCGCAATCACATCTGTGTGTACATTATGACCGCAGCGCTCGCCCAACGCAACCCTCCCCTTTAACCAATAGCCCCATACAGATGGTAGTACAAACACAAACGTATCCACAAAATTTTCCAAATGCTTGGTTCACGTACCATATGTTTCTGGTGCTCCTCTGGTGCTCCGCCCTTCCTTATATATACCCCCAGAAAGTTGTGTACAGGTTTGGTTGTTGTGACGAAGTGCGTCGGTTGTATGCACACAATTGGGTATCAGTAGTATTGTGCACTGTACCCTGTGTCCAGTTCAAGCATCACTCTAATGACCCAGAACAACTCACACACAACTGTGCTTCTAATGAGCAAAGCCATCTGTAAGCATACATAAGACGCTATATTATTGCATGGGCTTCTGATGGTAAAGACGGAGGAAGAAGACTTTCATTGGATCACGACTGGCTGCCGTATCATGCAGCCTTGCGGTGATGGCCAGACGTGGCCGGCCATAGCAAGCTTGTGTGTTCCGAAACACGATCCATATTCTTACCTACAACCACTGGTCATTGGAAGACCTCCTAGTGCCACCCACAATTCTTGCCTTCTGATGTGTGGTAAATCACCACATATGAAATCTGCTGATGTGGTACAGCCACACATTGCTCCAGCATCAATATTTACTACTCGTTCATTCAGCCTTCCATTGTGCATAAATTAGCTAAGTATGGATGTCCCAGCAAAACCCATTTGCCTAAAAAGCATAGTGTAGAGCAGTTGCAAGGGTGGGATGCTTGAGATAAGCATACCACCATCAATAAAGTAGTGCCTATCAAAACTTGAGAGTAGGCAGTTTTTCTTGGCAGACTGGCCCTGTGCACACACGAGACCCACCTCAGTCTAGGGGATAACAACAGATTCACTGGAATCCTTCTAGCGGTGCAGCGTTTGATATCTCAAGTTTCACCGCAGCTTCACCGAGCATTGTGCCACTCGCATTCCGTGTGTGGAAACACTATTTTCCTCATTGCATACTTCTATTGAGCATCTTTTTCTACAGCCCATGCTTACACACATTGTAGCATTTCAAAAGGGCTATACTTGATGCCATTACATTGGACATGTTTACATAGGGTTTACGTCCTCATGGTCCTGCCTAAACTCGGCAATTAGCCAAAGTTGCATACACAGCCTTCTCCAGATTAGCAGGACACTCTTTGGCTAAACGGCAGGGGAATTGGTGTCTTTCACACAAAAATGACTACAATTCTGTTTGGGAACGGAGGATGCTATTCAAACTGTGGGCCACAGAGTACGTGGAACTGGTGAACCTTGAAGCTATTTCCTTCCAATGTCCTTTTACTTACAGTTGTATGTCATATTTCTAGGCAACAAGGTTAACTGCATATCCTCTCTCTTCCCACACAGATCACCCGAGATTCATCGCAGCAATCGATACGCTACACAGTATCCGATGCGAACTCTCAATCCCAAGGGGTACACGTGCACATCGCGAAACGTTTCGAATTTGTTCTGGGAGACCTCTACACGGTATCCATAAGCATGAACACTACACATGTCCACGTTTCTTTCAACGGAACACACGAAACTGTTGTGTGGAATACAGTGGCACCATTCATTGAATACCCGTCCACTGAAATAGGCATCGGTGGAGCAGAAAACTCAAAGACTGCTTCGAATTTTACGGGGTGCATTGCTCAACTATCGATAAATGGGATCCAGTTTCCACTGAATGGACTCGTGGAACAGAATGACTCCAGCATCCAAATAGTGGGAGATAGTAGCAGTCCAAGTGTCAGTACTACCTGCGACTTGTGCCAGCTGGAAAGACCGCTGTGTTCCGATACGTTTCAGTGTGTCAGCGACAGAAGCGGTGGTTACACCTGCCAATGCCCTGAAGGGAAAGTACTGAGTGATGACGAAGATGAGTGCATTGAAGCTCCTTCTGTTCAGCAGCCTGCACCTTTAACCCCCCCTGGGGGCAAAGAACTAACTCTTTACTACATCATTGGTGGTGCTGTGGGAGCTGTAGTTCTTCTTGCTGTGGTAGTCACTGTTGTTGGCTGCATCTGCTGCAGACGACGGAAACAGAAGAGCGAGAAGACGTACCATGTCGGGGGAGACCAACACCTACCACATTTGAGTGGGGGGACGACACACAAACACTCACGAGGCAACAGCTACACCGATGTTCTACGCCGACCGAGCATGTGCACTTCGGAGCCCGGGTTTAGTGTGGTTTCAAGGCACAACCACGACGGCAGCTCGAGCACAACATGCAACGATGAGGACACTGAGAGTCACTTACAGCACATGATCCGAAGCAAGTCGTCCACCAGCGGGGAGACTGGGTTCCACACGGCGAGCGAGAGAGACGACCAGAGAAGCCTTCCAAGAATGGAAGACTCGGGAAACGAAAAAGATACAGACTACTCGCCTTTTGAAACAGAATCCGATGATTCGCAATCCTACGTTGAGATGCAGAGCCCTGTCCCCATGAACATGCATCACAGCCACTCCAAAGCAAGGCCAAACCTACATCTTCAGTGTTTCTCCTCACCTTCAGGCTCAGTTAGACCAGTGTCCAATATAGGAGCGCCGCTCACTCCCAAAGAAAAGAAGTTCATCACACCCATACGGCCAGACAGCCGCAGCGAGCTGGGCGAAGAGACTGACTTGGACACCGATTTCTCTTCCACTGTACTCGCGCGACAGACGCCGTTCAGTCGCGGCGGCTACCGCGGTGGCTCCCTAAAGCTTCCCGGGAGACCAGAGAGCGCAATGTCGGGACACCACCAGTGGTACAAATCGAGCACGACCTCTGACACTGAACGGGAAAGGAAACGGGCCGAGGGTGGCCATGCCTACTACCCTCCAAACCCCTACCAGTCTTTCCGTCGCACTCGAGCAACCAGTGCTTCATCAGCCCAGCAGGCTGAGGCTGACGACCTAGTCAGCCCCCTGCAGAAATGCTCTTCTCTTACTCCACCGATCCTACAAGGCCCCTCGAGACCCAAGAGGCACCCCCACAACATCACTCCCCCAATTTCCCCTCTCACCAATTTTGGCCATCGCCACCACCAACACACCACTTCCCCCCACATACACCAGAAGGAGAGGGAGCTTTCAAATGGCAGCAACACTTCTGAGTACTCCTCTGCAGCCATTCTGTCGAGGTCGCAGCCGTTGAAAATGCACCACCCGTTCTTCAACAGGCAATGTTCCGAATCTCCCCGAGTACCTCCGCATCTCACAACACGCCGCTACGTGCCTTCGTACATGCGCAGCTATAGCGAAGAGAGCACCCACAAAGCAGAGAAGAAATTCGTTGACCTCGGCTCAGTCCGAACCAATTGCGACCCAATCCAATACTGGGAAGGTCAGACCAGAATGATGGCGAATGTCGACCACCAAGTAGATGCCTTTCCGGTTCTCTCAGAGTCTTTCACTCAGTATGAGGATAGCACTGTTGGAAGTCGGCAGAGTGGGCCCCAGCACCAGTCGTTCGCCAGTCAAGGGGGAGGAGAGGGAACCGCAGAGGTACTTGATGTTGGGGGGCTGCACGACTGCGACACTGACTCAGTTGCAACCGGAACGACGCTCAAAGGTTCGCAAAACGAGCCGCGGATTCTCTTTCCATCGGCCGACTGCTCGGACGAGTATAGATGCACTCCTCGAATGATGAACAGTGTGCTAAGTCAGAGTGACAGCAATTTGCTCCAACATTCCGGCTCAGTCCCTCCCTCACAAGGCATGTTCGAAGTCTAGTCAACACACTAGCCATACTTCAAAAACTGCACCATAATATGTACTTTATAGCACTTACTTCTATCTTTTCGTGATAAATTTCTATATGAATCATGTACCCGTATGCCACCATCATTCACTTCCACTCAATATTGTTATAATTATACCACAATTTGTCAGTGATTTTGTATTATTTTTTAACATTTTGCTGTTTGGCCTGTTTTTTTAAAAATAAAATTTTTGCAGCAGTGACGTAACCTTCTACAGTGGGGGCAGCAAATATCAAATGTGTAGGCAAGTAAGCTAATTATAGTCCCACTGTACCAAATTAGATAGCGAACAGTATGGTGCATACTTCCCATATGGGCCCTTGTGTGAGTGGGTCTATCCGGCGAATCCAACTGATAATTAGATCATGACTTCTGCAAGCCAACAGGCACGGTATTTCCTGATGATGTTTTCATGGTTCGTGCTAAGCATGTGTGTGTCTTCCACACAACTGTAAACTCCCTTGTGGACGCTTCGTTTAGGGAATTAGCGAGAAATTCAATTTCTCTGATTCCTAATTACGTATTTTGTCAATGTTCTTGACCAGCAGCGCTGCGAGGGACACACGCGAACGCAATCATACACAAAAAATAACCGTTTGTGTGCGTGTTTAAGAAGTGCACTGGTAGTGGGGCCGTTAAAAATGGACCTCTTGTTTTTTACATCAAACATACATACGTATAGCAATTACGTATGTATAATATATCCGTCTGTATTCCCATTTCTGTAATGTATCCGTCACAGCACTTCTAGTAGTGCTGCACTGTAAAATTCCTCTCTTGAGGTACGTACACACAACAACTAGCACAAGTGCAGCATTCATATTATGCTCTTGTGCACCCTCTGACTCTACTTCTCTTGTTCCTTTCAGCACATGTGCAGCACGTGCTATTCCATGTACAGAGGTGCATACCGCGTTCATGAACCTATAAATACTTGGAATACCCATTGAGACACTCCAGTCGAAGCAGAGAATTGCTACTATACACGGTACAAGAGCCTCATAGGCACCTAACAGACACCACACACATAGTGCATAGATCTCTGTGTGTGTGTGTGTGTGGGGTGTACAATAATATGAAGAGAATGTGTGTTCCCTCATTTGTACCAATCCCAGTGCTATCAGTTTTTCGCAGTGGTATGCACACCATGTGATCAGCATTATCTCAGTGTCTACTGGAGAATTCCAGTCAGAGGGCCATGGGACAGCAACCGTGTGTAGCTCCAGTTTGTAGTAGGTGGCCACTGAAGCATGCATTCTCCTTACTCCTGCCTTCCTCCTACACAACTTAAGTGATTAGATAAAATAGCATGTCCATTTTTTGTGAGTGCATGAATTACTGCTTCCTTTTAGACAGTGTTAGAAGACTATATTATGCCTAAACTAAGGATGTGTGGAAAATGTGTGATTTCACACAAGGCAGAATGAGCGTATAAGCAGAAGGTAGGGAATTTGGAAGTAGAATTTCTCATTCACTTTCATAAAAAGTGCCAACATTTTTCTTAGCCCTAGACCTTTCAAAACAATCGCTCCACACATTTATATACCTCACTTTAACTTACATTCTATAAGTGAACCTAATAGTGTTGGCAATAACTAGAACTCCCTACTTGAGCTGAAAAAAAACTGGAGTTCATGTGTGCTAATAGCCTATGCATATTGTGTAATAAACACAATGCCTGCCGTACCGGGTATATAGGTGCGCAATGGTGCGGTAAGGCGAGGGAAGGGTGTCTGTCACACTGGCACCACACACCTCAGATGAGTTGCTATACTAGGCCTCAAGGGAGGCCCAATTAGTTCCCCAATGGACCAGGGTTGCTGTTTGTACAACCCGTGATCCCCTGCAGTGTGACTTCACCACCATGTGACGTATTGAATCCGTTCCCAACAACCTCCTTTGTGACTTACCCGAAATCTCAGTGGAAATGTCAGTCGGGACTTTCGTGTTTTTTACACCCGTGCGTACTTTCGTGACTCGGAAAGAAAATTTATAGTTAGTAGTTATTTCAACGTGTTGACGGAGCATGAATTAAAATTCCCTCCAGGTGCATACATACAACTATTGCACCTGTTTGTTTGTGTAGGTATGGAATGACTGAGTGATCACACACACACACAACTAGACCTTGGGCGTGGGGGACAATAACATACTGGCAGGGCTAACCTATGGGGTTTTGAGATACAGGTTTTTCTATTGGGGCAAATAGCCTACTTCCCAAATGTATTTACCCGCCTCTGAACTAAGATGCAATCACTAGTAAAAAGATCACACTTGCCCCACACCCTCCCACTTCAATGTTAAGTCACACTTCACTCACCTATATAGTTCTCAGAGAGTGACGAGACGACCTGGCTTGTCGTCTGTTTCAGCGTGTCCAATGATAACCATTAAGACCCAAATATTTGGAAAATGTGATGGTACATTGCGCAATATCACCGTGTACGGTATAGCCAAGGACTGTGAACCCCACGCAAATCTATGCCGCACAGTCGGCAGTAAAAATGTCAGAGTTCATAGCATTTGTAGGCTATAGTGCATGACCAACAGATAGAATTTGCCTTATAGAATAAGGAAAATCGTTAACCTTACCTGACAAGTGACCTAGGCATACTATGATATGCAGAACATTATGTTGGAATTCTCAGGTAAGCAGATGGTATTTTCGTTCACATACCTTCACAAAACGTTCGTGTTGTGGTATGTATTTGTTCATTAGGAACTTTGAGAACCAATCATAATATGGTTGTGAACGCAAAGATACAATCCCAAATACAATAAAAATACTGCGTTGAACGACTGACCAATCAAGAAAGGTTTGGCCAAAGTGAAACGTTACTGTGCAGCAAATCTCGGTATAATTGTGTTTTATTGTTCACTATGGACCATAGCGTATCCAAGCACCTGGGCTTGAGAATGCAAACATACCATCTCAAGCACATTAACTACCACTAAACAGCTAAAGCACTCTTATATAGCCAAAGTAAATGTGGCTGGGCTACTAATCGAGGAATTCTGGTGAGTAATTGTTCATTATGGACTAGCGTACCGAACCACCTGGTTGGAGATGTAAACACACTATCCCAGATTCTTTAAATGTACCGATACCACATGACATGACCACACCTTCAGACACCTCACCGACTGAGGTGTGTCCACACGTTCTTTCTGAAAGCAAAACTAATCTTGCCTGCACTATTGCGACCGTCCAGAGCAAGGTGTTGACCCAATCCACAAGATTGACCAAAAGCGTGCATCTGTTGCAGCAAAGACTGAAGCTTATACTCAAATCTAGCAAAGCAATGACTGTAGCTTGTTGCAAAAACTCATATCAGTGTGTGGATTGACACTCCATCTGTCGCAGCAAAGACTGAAGCTAATACTCAATTTAGCAAAGCAATGACTGTATATAGCTTGTTGCAAATTCATGTCAGTACACTCCATTTGTCGCAGCAAAGCCTGAAGTTTGTACTAAACCTGTGCAAATTCATACGTACATAAATCCAGATTAGGATCAATCGAGACGAACGTAGATTGACTTGTTGCATATTGAGATGAACTGAGGTAGGTGCACCACAGTGTGCTCACATTCCAATCAAGATTACGTGCACCAATCATCCACGTGGTGAACTCTGCATGTACGTTAAAAGGTAATTCCACACCTAAGACGTGAGAAACATTTTATCACATTTATATCCGAGAGTGAAATACCGTCCGTCGCTATGGAAACCACTACAAAATTCACGGCAGAGTACATTTAGTGTATTATATAGCAGTCTTGCCCAACCGAGCGTTGCTTTCAAAACATGCTGTCCACGTACGAATGGGCAGTGCCGGCTGATTGGCATAGATGGCGCTAGTTAATATAACTGGTTAAACTCGATTAGACAGTAACACCTTGAAGCTATGCAAGACACCAGGTGGTACAGTGGAACCTCTCTCTAAGGTCACCCCGGAAATGAGGACACCTGTCCTCCCAAGAACAGTTATTGCATGCAATTTTTAACTCTAGAAACTTCTTCTGCGGCCCCACTGGTGTGTGGATAAGATTGGTTCCCCGCGGATAATTTGTGTGAGAGAAGAAGAGAATGCAATGCGACAAAGTGATCGGATCTCCTTTCAGTCAAGGTTATTTCTTTCATATCACCTACTTATTCATGGTGTGTGCAGCATAGGGCTAATAGGGGATGTAACTAAATATTTCGTGGTATTGCTGTGTGGGTATGGAGTACACCCACTCAGGCATATAGCACGCCTTTTATGCGTAAACTTCCTCAGTGATTGTACAGGGTCTTATCCATGAATTGTCCAAAGCAGAACACATGTAGCTGGGTTAGATGTATAAACATTACACGGTCGCTATACTTCATGGAAAAAAAACAGCCGAAGAAGGACGACCAGCGACTACGTTCTGAGCATCACAACTGCAATCCAAACTGTTTATACAACATCCCTTTCCATAATGTAGTATTGTGTGCATAAGCAATGCAGTTCGATGGCCTATTATTGCTAATGTGTGTGTGTGTGTGGTGGTCCCCCATGTGTGTGTGGGGTGTGTTACACATGAAGACCACGGGCGCCCTCCGCAAACACAGTATCATAACACGTGTATATATGTGGATGCACAAATTACGCTGGCGCACGAAATGCACGCGTGACAAGCACTGTCGCACAGTTAGCTTTCTTCGCCGGCTTTTAAACCACTTCTGACAGTTTTTTCATATGATAGCACACTCAAGTAATCACGGTTTAAATGTTACTGTGAATAGTTTGAATAGTTATAGGCTTGCTTTGAACCACTTCTGTAAAGTTGATCGTAAACTCGAGTAATCGTAGGTGGCATCGAATGTCTAAGTAGGCAAAAGACACCACTTAGACATAATAAGCCCTGATATTCAATTTAAGGCCACTTTCTCTATTTCAACACATTTACCCCGAAAGGCAATGAAATTTGAATGTTAGGCATGAACTTACAACTAGGACTTGTGCCAAAACTTTAGTTAGACAGCGAGTCCATGAAATCTAAGTGAACTAATACTTTGCACTGTTGAGTTATAAGGATTCTAAATAAAGAGCCCATGCTGCCACTACTTAACTAGTGACTAGTACATAAATTGGAGACATGCTTGTAAAAAATCTGCTTCTCTTTTGCTTACACTTTGCTAACAAAACAAGTCAACATAATAACACAACCTCCAGAGAGCACCACAGTTTCGCAAAGGCTCTGACTTTATTATTTATTCTTGCGTCCCTTCCTTGGTCTGGGGAACTCAAGAGGGATTCTGAGGACAGCTGAGCAGGAGTGTGTATCAACTGTAGTATCATCCTCGACACCAGACTTTCTCTTCACTCCCAACTTGGACACTCGGCAACCGAGGGACTTAAAGTTCTCCATTAACCTACATTACAAGAGGAGGGGCAGACGTATAGTTCACCATAATCCTACAGAAAATCAGGAACAGCATTATTATCGCTCTCTACTACAACAAATTGGAGAGAGAGATAATACCATTATATATGAGCCTATGGGAAAATCAAGGACAAAATGAAAGTGCATAACCCTCGCCACTGTTGATTATGGAGGTTCAATAATTGGCTGTCTCAGAGAAGATCAGAGACTGCTCTTCCTTTAATAATTTCAGGGAAAATCAAGGACAAAATAATATTATAGTTCTCCATAAGCTATAATAATAATAATAATAGGTGGTTGCCATAGCCATAGACCACGCACCCAGAGCAATGGGCGGAACCGTTAACAAATGAACATACACCATATGAACATGAGGTGTCTGTCTCACCTTCCAGACACCTCAACAAGCTATAAGAAAGTTCAACCCAGTCAATAGATATACCATTTACCAATTCAAATATAGTACATGTACACCAGAATATTGATTCCCATAGTGTAACTAGGTACTTCTGAAGGTTCCAGACACACTCCAGAAACACGGTCAGTTTACCATCTACCGTATGTGGCAGAGCTCTCAAGTTCCCACTGAGGTAAACTGACTCTCAGACAAATCACTCGAGTCGAAGGCTTTGATGTCTTGCACCCTTTGGGGATATCCTATTAGTCTTTTATTTTCTCCTTATGGTCTATGGTCCTATGGCTTTTACTTTAATAATGCTGCACAAAATACATTCCCCATCTCTCTCCATACTTCTTTGTGGTAAGTTTCAGATCCTGCTGCAGAACGGAGCAGTCGACACTGAAGTCATCCAGAATGAGTGTCAACACCAGGAGATGAAGAAGAATCTTGTCCTTCATCTTTCTGCTTATTTTCCTTTGTTGACCTCTGCCTTGCTTGGAAGAGGCATCGGAGAATTTCTCAAGAAGGTTTGCCTTTACGTCTGCCGGCGGTAGTTCACCCGATAGCTGTAGCCCTGACATGTGTTTTGCAAAATGTGAATGTGAAAACTACGAGGTGGAAAGGCAAAGGCACAACAAACAAATCAACTACACCCAGGACGTGCACACGGTTAACCTAACATAAGTGCTCTTTGTCTCGTGGGTGTACTTGGGTGGAGGGGTGGTGGAGGTATTTCTTGTTATTCCCAATGGCTGGTGTGCTAAACACATACTTTTCATGTAGGCCACACCCTATTTTAAATAGTGACAAGACAAGAAGGTTGGCTGGACTAACCTTCCCCCATTTGCTTGCTACAAGTACGAAAAGTTTATATATTTCACAGTCCATTCTAAGGGCTATTTTCACTGCACACTCCTCACTAGAGACACGCTATTCAAGATGGTTTGATGGACTATCTTTCCCTTATTTGCTTGCGAATATTTTCCCTGAGCTTCCTGAGGACTACTGCTGCAAACTCCAGCTATAGTCAAGGTATTCAGGATGGTTGGCTTGCCTGTCCTTTCCCCTACTTGCTTGCTAAAAGTACGAAAAGTCTATTACCCAATAGTACTGCACACTCCAGCTATAGTCAAGGTATTCAGGATGGTTGGGTGGCCTATCCTTTCCCTTACTTGCTTGCTAAAAGTACAAAAAGCCTATTACCACATAGCACTGCACACTCCAGCTATAGTCAAGGTATTCAGGATGGTTGGCTTGCCTGTCCTTTCCCCTACTTGCTTGCTAAAAGTACAAAAAGTCTATTACCACATAGCACTGCACACTCCAGCTATAGTCAAAATATTCAGGATGGTTGGCTTGCCTGTCCCTTCCCCTACTTGCTTGCCCAAAGTACGAAAGGTCTATTACCCCATAGCACTGCAACTCCAGCTATAGTCAAAATATTCAGGATGGTTGGCTTGCCTGTCCTTTCCCCTACTTGCTTGCTAAAAGTACAAATACGGTTAATGGGTAGCTGGGGTGTTAGAAACTTATACCGACCACCGATGATAGGTAGACGTACAGTTGCCTGCAATAATATATTAAGTATCAGTGGGAGTGCATGCGTGAGGGCGCGTAGGGCCTCCTGCAGACACCTGACAAAATACCTGTGTTCATAACCTCTACCCACACCACCACCCAGAAATAACTGACCGCGACACCCGGCAAATGAGGTATGGCGGACATGATTTCTATTGCCCACAGAGCCAACACGTCCAATTGTATGTAAGAACAGTACGTGCTATAAGCACATGACTGCTTCCTTACCTCACTTCGATGTTTGAACAACTAGGTCACTTGCGCCTACGTACGTCTGGGTCTAAAGGCTATCGTTCTAATTCGTCTAGTCACACTCTGTATGTCTATTGTCACTTCAGAGGCAGGGAAGGTACCGACATACATGTATTATTAACCCTCGGCGTGCATGCGCAGCGAGGGTTACGGTGCTACTAGCAGGAGACCACGAGTAAACGTATACTACGGCCCAGCCCATCAGTTAGCGGTATCGCGCAAGCGCAGTTCACCGAGGGTTTGCACTTCAGTGCTTTTCATTATAATAGAAGCGTAAGCACAGTATAGAAATCGTGCAACCGTAGAAAAAGGGAGCACAAAAGTCCATAAAGGTAGTAAACATTACAAGACACACACACACAAACCTTTCTTTTCCAAGTCTCTCTGGTTTTCCTGTTACATCTGAATTGAGCGCAGTTCCACTTAGTTCTAGAGCAGAAATTAGCTGTTCCCTTCAGACACGTTTCCGTTGTGTTTCCTGTAAGTGACGCGGGAATCTTGAATACTTGGTGGGAGGGATCGTACTGTGGAGAACAAGACGTCTGAGGGTGTGGTAACTGCAGAGAAATAATAGAGAGAGACCTCACACCGAGCAGAGAGTAGTGGCTGCATGCGCGATGGTGTCAGCATGATACACAGGTGTTTATTTTGTTTACGGTGTTTTTAATTAGTAAGAACCACGATGCATGAAAGTGACCGAAATACTGATATGGGTGATTACTAGATTGCTTGGAGGTTCTGATCTGGATATGTACACTGAAAGCATGTTCATACGTGGCCTGGTCTCTCATCCTGTTCAAGTTCTCTCTTGAGGCCAGGACGTCACAGCACTTCCCGTCTCCTGAATCAGCACTCTCAGATCTCTAGAGAGATGACGTATTTACATGAGGTGTAAGGTTCAAAGTGACTCTGTGGCATTGAGGATGTGTATTGCATCAACAGCAGCACGAATTCAACAGCTAGGGTATCCATATCATAGTCCCTATGTGGTACATCTAACATTCGTTACCCTCTTTTTGTGGGCGGGGAAAAGAGCCTGGTTCAGCATGTGCATTTATAATTGCCAAGGAATTCTGTGGATTCCGGATACTTTCGCCGCACGTCCATATTCACGTTTGTAGGTGTGGCTCTGTCGCTCGCACAGTAGCTGGCTTAGATTTCAGCGTGATCGTCTTCTTCCATCACCTTTCTGTCATTCCAGTGGGCTCTGACACCCAAGTGAAAGAACACTCTGGCGTGTTCGGCCATAAGTTTTGGGTTTGGAAAAGTAACCCTTGGCTGTTTTGTTATGGACTGCAGTGGACATTTTAGCCACGTGTAATGTTGTATTGCTGTCCTCCTCCTGGCTATAAGATCAACTTTTGGAGTGTGACATCATGCATGACGGCTGCTAAGTTTTGTTTCTGCATAAATGGTACACACCCATGCAGTTTAATTGGAGCATGCGCATACAGTGTGTACCAGGCCCTTGTATGTACAGGTCTCTCTACACCCTGTGCAGCAGTCAGTGGCAGACATTAAGACAATAATGTACGGGTAGGACAGTACTT